GCTCTACTAGAAATAGTACTAGATGTTCTAGATTAAGGTTGTTCTAGATGTTGTAGACTGCTGCGCAGGCTTAGATCTAGTTAATCTAGGTTGTCTAGTTATACTAGTCGCGCAGCAGGATTGTTAAGTTGTGGTTAGGTAGTGTACTTATTATTGTCTAGTTAGTTTCTTGTATTTGCCTAATAGAGGCAGTAAGACTCTTAATTATTAGATTTAAAAGGGTTCTTGCTAATTGTTGTAATAAATTGATTTGAATAATTGATTTATAAACAGGTGGCTTTTATCCCCCGCTCTTGTGCGACCAGCTGCGCGGTCCATTCCATGCAGTTCCATTCCAGCCGAGCCAGTGTTACGGCCAGCCTTGCTCATGTCTGACAACGTTATTCCCTTATACAGAATAACTTGTAAATTACTAGAGCAGCCCCACTGCTCTCGTCCTATATAGTCTTAGACTTACAGAGGACGTTAAACTAATCAATCAAGAGTGATAACCTGCAAAGTCAGCAACTTTCCCCAGTCTTATGCGAAGTCGGATTCATCGCGGGGTTCGGCGGTTCGGATGCAAAGGCTTTGATGTTAGGTACAGTACACTCGTTGTATCTAAGACAATCTCGTAAGCAGCAGCCCGTAGTTCTGAAGAGGTGCTTAGGAAGTTTGAAGTGATGGGAAGGGAGAGAAAGAGATTCAGCGACTACTCTCATCACCATCTACGAGTCAACGTAAGATGAAACTCTCACACTGCAGAATGAATTGCCATTCAGGGAATCCAGTGAGAGCGTGATATCGAGACAGACATCGGAAAATTCATTGCGAGTCTGCGAAGAGCGCAGCGCTCCTGCTCCGACATGTAGAGGCCATCGCACTGTGTAATGTCGATGCTCGCACGCGAAACGGCAGCGAAGAGTAGCCGAGTGTCTCTTAGCAAGCGTACGTCCTGCAGAACATATCACAGAATGTCTCGATATCGTCGTTCACACGTAACGTGTTCTATCAGTAAGCTGGCCACATCAGTATCCTGGCCACCCCACTAAAACGCGCTCAACGCGTCTTATCCTATTAGCTATAATACTATACCAACAACCTGTACAGCCTTCTTAAGAAGGCAGATTAAACCTTGCTATTATATCTTTTTAGAATAGACCTTCTTAGTCCCTCTGTGCCCTTGTAAGGACTTATAATGTCCTATAATTAACTCTTTAGACACGCCTTTAAGGTATCCTCTCTAAACACAAGGCAATGCATGTTAACTAAAACCTTAGCCCTATTAAAGAGGAGTCCCTTATTTAGTAGATCTTAGACCTTAACTATTGCAGGTTTCTACCCTAGATTATTGACGTATGACGTATAGCAGACGCGCTACTTGCTGGCCACAGCTAAGATCCTCTTCCCCTATCTATCAGCAAGTGCTATTAGTCACGCTTTATTAACTGCCAGCTAGAGCTTTAGACAAAATAGAATAGGAAATTCTACTCTTAGAGGGCATGCTGTGAAGATCCTGTCAGGATTAGCGCGTGGTTTAGGCTGGTAGAGGAGACACGCGTTACATATAGAATACCTAATAAGGACGTCTATAACTTTAATAAGACTAGGTTTATAATAGGGGTAGCTTTAATGTTAAAGGTAGTTACTAGCTCTAACACAGTTAGTTGCGCTATAGTTATTTAGCTAGGCAATTGTAAGTATGTAATAATAATTAAGTGTATTAACGCGTTAGGTTAGTCTATCCCACCCTTCCTTATACTAGCAGGGAAGCTCCACTAGGCTAGCTAGTATCAAGATCTCCTACTTGACTGGACTGTTGCTGTTAGTGATAACAGCTAGATAACAGATGAGCTAGGCCTTGACTGGGTAAAGCACTTTACCAGGCACACACAGACTCGCTCATCAGGTGCTTGTTGTAACGGGCTAGGCCCGATGGTAGCGCCTCGGCGCTCGCCGGCCTCGGCCAACCTCCGAGAGGAGGTGCCTGCCCAGCTGTACCCCCAGTCAGGAGGTCCCAATCTTGACTAATTGTGTCACCTCCGCACGGAGGACATAAAAGTCTGCAGACCTCCGCCTGCAGCCACCCCTCAACAAATCCATTTGATTCGTACTTGCAAATAGCCCGCAGAGGCCAGCTCCTTACACTTGTTGGCTACTCATTCTTGACAGTCACAGCAGCCACGCTACAACTGAGTTTGATCAGTACTGTGCAGACAACCTGATTATTACTCTCTGTATGCCTCCTCACACGTCACACCTCCTCCAGCCACTTGACGTTGGCTACTATTCTCCTCTTAAGATGTTGTATAGACATAAGGTGTCTGAGCTTGCCTGCCAAAGTATCTTCTATGTGGACAAGCATGACTTCCTATAGATATACTTAGGGATTAGGCAGACTGTCCTATTAGAGAGTAACATTAAGGCTAAGTTTTAAGCAACAGGGCTTATCCTATTCAGTCTAGAGCGTGTCCTAACATGCCTTACTGTAGTTAGAACACTATCTCCACTAGGGACAGCTACTAGTATAGAAGTAGCCTGGACAGCTGAGACACTACATACTATTAATTAATTGCAAAAGCAGGCCCGCCTTGTACAAGATCTCCTTAGGCGTTAATCACAGAGTCTAACTAGTCAAGCTATCTCTTAGCTTGTTAAGGGTTGTCAGCTTACTATGCAATTAGCAAGAATCCTAGCTTAAGAGAATACAAAGCTACGTGCCTTAAATTAACGCCAGCAACATAAGCGTCAAAATTGTAGACAGTATATATCATGTGGGGGAGCTCTACAGGTTGAGGAAGCTTAGTTACTAGTCTTACAGGCTAATAATGTGGTTGAAAAGGACGCTTAGGTTGACGCTGCCCCACGACGTCAGCGAGCACCACTAACGTGTAGCAAATGCCACGTGCAAGGTCACAATAGGACTTAATGTAGAGCTATCTAATCTATCTTACTTCTAAACCTCACTTAATTTGACCATGTGATTGTAGAGCAGTTGCACGGCAAGTAAAGCGCGTTTTAGTGGGGTGGCCAGGATACTGATGTGGCCAGCTTACTGATAGAACACGTTACTTTCAGAGGCTTCCAAGTCTGCGTAAAGAGCTGTTTTAATGTTGGAGCTGTAGCCGAAAGATCTTGAAAGACTTCGTCACCGCATTTGCTAATAGTAGAGTGGGCTACAAACGTACAGGATACCATGAAAGGTTCAGCGAGAGGTAGATGAATGCCTCTGTCCACCCAAGTCTCAGTAAGAGACTTCCAGGCTAATTACTGCCCAGATCTTCGAACTTAACCTAGAAATGCTGCACCTTGTTCAATTTCATATTCACAGCGAGGTGGTCGAAGAATGTTGTGTGGCTTGATGGACCTAAATAACCGGGATTGGCTTAACGTCGCGACTTCTTTGATGAGTCATCAGACACTGCGAAGGCGTTCAGGCTTGCAGGAGCTCTTTGCGATTTTGTGCTTGTGTTGCGGAGCTTGGCTTGCGCCTTCCCGCTTCTTGGAGGGTCGGTCGCGGTAAACACAGTGGTCAGCATTTCTACTGGCGCTGCACCGGGAGCATACGGGCTTTTTGTGGCCACAAGACAGCTTTAACTGCAAGGATCGCAAGCGGGCAGTCGATGCGACATGTCGTCTTTGGCGCGTACCAGGGTAGACAAGAATTCGGTGGGCGTTTGGCACTTGCGCATTGTCGATTTCTTCGAAGATTCGGAGCGTCGGAGTGTTCGGCATGAGCGACGGCAGCCGCGAGCAAGCGCGCACTGCGACCCCACTCAAGGCCTTACGCGCTCGAGACGCCGATGGCATCGAACACCAACTTTCGTTCGTATAAATAACAGGAGACCCTGTAAGCTCTTCACATCACAACAAGTGCATACCTTTTCCGATATGTCGGACACCATGAAACTTGCAGAATATCTGTTCACTCGCTTGAATCAGCTCGGCGCCTCCGCGGTTCATGGGGTGCCTGGTAAGCATGCTCTCCGAGGTGTTGCTGCAGCCCATGTAAATAACCATCGTGCCTAGGCGACTTCAACCTCGACTTGCTTGACTATGTCGAGCCTTCTGGATTGCTTTGGGTCGGAAACACCAACGAACTGAACGCCGGCTACGCTGCAGATGGCTACAGCAGGATCCGAGGCATCGGCGCCATTGTCACCACCTTTGGTGTGGGAGAGCTATCAGCAATTAACGCCATCGCGGGCGCCTACGCCGAAAGAGCACCCGTCGTGCACATAGTTGGAACCCCGGACCGCGCCACCCAGGATGGTCAAGGTCGTGTACATCACACTTTCAACGATGGCAACTTCCGGCGATTCGGTCAGATGCACGCGCATGTCACAGTAGCTCAGACGAGCTTGAGAGATCCCCTCACTGCGCCGCAGGAGATCGATCGAGTGCTCCAACAGTGCCTCATCTACAGCAGACCTGTTTACATTGAAATTCCAGTCGATCTAGTAGACGTGCCTGTGCGATCGGGAAATCTCCAAATCCCCATCAGGCTTCCTGAGATTCTTGAAACGCCAGCAGTCAGCGATGCTATCAGACAGGTGCTCGACAAGCTATACGCAGCCAAAACCCCTATCATCTTGTTTGATGGCGAGTGCAGAGCTCTGAACATCACCAAAGACGTACAATCGATTATCGAAGCTTCTAAAGTCCCCGCCTGGACAACCTCGTATGGTCGCGGGCTGATCGACGAAAGCATACCCAGCTTTCAAGGCGTGTATAAGGGAGCCTTCGATGAACAGTCAGTCCAAGACTTCTTCAAGCGAGCAGACTTGGTCCTGGTGTTCGGGCCTCACTTTAGCACAACAAACTCCTATGCTCTGACCGCAAAGCCCGAGTCAGACATCAGCATCATCTTCACAGATACCGAGATCGAGATCTGCGGTCAGGTCTTCCGCGACATCCCCGCGCCACTCGCCGTATCCAAGCTCCTTGCAGAACTCGACACATCAAAGCTCGCCCGATACTCTGCATCAGCCCTACAGAGCCTGCCGTGGCAGCAAACACAAACTATATCTCTCTCAAGCATGCCAAAAGACGGTAAAATCTCACATTGCAATCTCTGGGAGGTCTTCACTCCCTTCATTCGGCCCGGCGATATCGTCATGGGTGAGACTGGCACGTCTGGCTACGGTGTGCGAGAAATGCGCACACCACCCAATGTCCGGATTTTCGCGCCAGTAACATGGCTATCGATCGGTTATATGCTGCCCGCTGCACAGGGCGCCGCACTGGCTCAACGGCAGATGCAGCGACAAGCCAACGGCACCTTCAATGGCAACGCGAACAGTGGCCGCACAATCTTGTTTATTGGAGATGGGAGTCTGCAAATGACGGTGCAAGAGATCTCAACGATGATACAACACAACCTCGACGTGATTATTGTGGTGCTGAATAATGATGGATATACGATTGAGAGGGCTATTCATGGCCTAGAGGAGTCTTACAACAATGTCGCGCCCTGGAAATATCTAGGCGCACCGAGTTTCTTCGGCGCGAAGGAGGGCACGTTCACTGCTTCAGCAAGGACATGGGGCGAGCTCGAAGCAGTGCTCGAAAGCAAAGAGCTCTCGGATGGCAAAGGGCTAAGGATGGTAGAGCTATTCTTGGATCGTGAAGATGTGCCCAAGGGCCCATTGGCAATGCTAATGGGCAAGGAGCAGAAGCGGACGGAAGGATTGAAAATAAAGCCGGTCACGATACCATAGGATCCTACTGGAGAAAGCAAAACCAAAACCTGTGCGTTACAAAGGTCGAAGTGCCCCAGCGCGCTCACCAGCCCATTTGCCGTGAATAGCTTGTCGAGCGTTCTTACCCCAGAACGCAATTGGGACCGCCACTAGTCCGCTCACGATCTGCAGAACAGCAAGTTCGATGCCCACAAGCTTGTAATCATGTGCCTCGATCCACGGCCTCAAGATAAAGCCCATGGAGAAGCTGAGAATATAGCATCCACCTCCCAGAACGCTGATGGCCGGGGCAGCCCATCGAGGGAAGGCCTCCGTGACCCACATAGTGTTGCTGATCGACAGGGTAGTCCACGAGAACCCATTTAGGCCATAGGCAAGATAGTAAGACGCGAAGTGAAGCTTGTGGTGCACAGCGAACCCATAAATAATCGTACTCAGTGCGCCGGTGATGACTGGCAAGATGTATCCAACGAGAAAGTGCTCAGCCTCGCGAACGCCGCGGTTGCGTTGCGCGAGGCGGCTGAGAATCTTGGAAATCAAAACGCCGCCTAAAGGGAAGGCGAAGAGTGCACCGACGCCGGAGCATATGTTGACGTTCGCGATCAGCGCCGAAGACAGACTGTATGGCGGCGAGCGCAGGATCTCGGCGTATGTGACGCCGATGAAAAGCATGCCTGCGAAGTTGACTGATGAAGCGAGGAAGACCCAGAAGATGAGGGGATTGATGGCGCAGAACGCCATTTGGTAGTAACAGTGACCGACAGCTGTCCATGACGCGAAGGGTGAACGAGAGAGGCCGAGACGATCGCGTAAGCCATTGAAACCTGTGCGCTGCCCTGTCGGCAGGTCTGGTAGGTCGCGGTAGATGTCTGAGTCTCCTTCGCCATCCTTATAGACGGTGAGTTTCTCGGTGGCGCTTTGCAGTAGTATGAGGCCGTCAAAAGCCACGGTTGGTCGCTTGAAGTAGGTTTCAGGATAGAGAAGAAAGACGAGTACAAAGGAGATGCCCATAGGGATTGACCAGTAGTGGTAGTATTGGCGCCAGTCGTCGCCATGGTTAGACATGTAGGGTACGACGGCTATCAAACTGGTGCCTGCACAGCCTGCTAGTGACCAGAGAAGGGCTATTGCCTTAGGTCGTTGATGTATGAAGGTCATGTCTATGACCATGAGCAAAGCCTTCTTATGTCAGTTTCTGCGGGTTTAGAACGGAGTCGATACTACTTACGATGGTCACAGAGAAGCCTTCACCCAGGCCAAGGAAACATACGCAAGTGAGCAGTTGGTTAAAGTTTGCCGCATATCCAGCACCAATGGTTGCGAGTAACATCATCAGTGTGGCAATGAGGAAGACCAGGCGTCTTCCCATACCCAGTGAAAGTGGCACCCAGAGCAGTGCACCGAGGCCCATGAATAAAGCAGGAGCAGTGGCAAGCGTCTCGATAGTCCATGGATGGATATCCTTTGTGAATTGTCAGTCATAGGTGTAGGTGAACGCTACTAGCCAGACATTGCACGTACCTGGCCATCGAACTCCACCATAATGCCATGGTAGACCATGCTAGCTGCTTGAACCACTGTGAGTGACACGATGGAGAACCATGCCACTGATATGATGGCTCCCGCTGTTTTCCATCGTCCCCAGTTCAGAGGGTCTGCAGGGCTATCGGATGGTACGGGAAGACTCAGTGTTTTGCCTGAAGATGTCACAAGGAAGATGCTGCCGGATAGATTGTATGACTCGTGTTTACGTCGAATGGCTCTAGCGCTGCGGCGGCTGAGGCCACGAGACAAGCGAGCGAAAGGCTTGCAATCATCATCGCGGTCCTCCGCAGAAGGCACAAGGGTAGGCTTGCGAAGTGGCTGAGACGACGGCGGTGGAGCCAGCTCACCTTCAGGATAGAGGCTTGAAAGAGATGACATAACTTGGAGGCTGTGTACTGAAAGATAACAAATGAGACAGAAGGTGGATGACAAACAAGCGAGGGAGATGCGGTGAAGATGCAATCTACATAGCAAGTTTTGGATGGTTTCTAGCATTCGGTGGCGGTTCTCAGAGGACCTACTTAAGAGACGCTGTAGTAAGGTCCATGTGTTCGCTGATCGCCCGTGACCGTTGATCAACGATAATCATAAGCCCGTCGTAATTTCTCCATTGAGTGGGCAGAGATCCCAAAGCATGCACACCCCCTCCTCCCCTGTTCGGGTGCCTAGCGTGATTTCCAGCCAATCTGTGAGCCAGCGTAAAGCTTTTGCAGGCATCATTTATGCGTGCGTATGGTCTAAAAAAACCCTAAAGGGCCTTGAATCTCTAACCTACAAGGGTGTGTAAGCCTACTGTGGGTACGTACGGAGCTGTCTAACCACTTAGGAGGCCAGCACAGGTTGTAAGGACACTACACACTCGAACAGGGGAAGAGGGTGTAGTGCAAGGTGTCACGGCCAATTTGAAACGCTAAAAGACCATGTTCACCGATGCACGGTTTCAGACGTTGAATCGCGCATGGCTACGGGAGGAAGCGAAGATGCGGAGCGGACTGCGTCGCGGTGGCATTGGACATCGCGTTGCCGCCTCAGACCTCGAGGCCCCAAGGCCAGTAGTTGACAAGGTTCGTAGGGTTCGCTCCCCTGTGACTTCGAAACACGGCATGAACCGCGTGTTACCAGTACAGCCCTGTCTCTGCTCCTCCAGTTCGTCACGATGTCATTCTGTTGCTTTCATGAAACGAGTCTGGGGTACGTCCTGCACTCAATATATGACATACCACACCTCAAGAAGCAGAGTTTGTACACATCAGACTTGTCGTAATTGACGTTCACCAAGGCTGTGAAAATATCACCGAGGCTATGGGCCAAACCGGTCCGAGTCACGTCGGTGCCCAAACGCTTATACCCCCGGAGACTGACCTGACGGAGGGCGACTCCAGCGGAAGGAACCGTGGCTGGTCTTACGTAGCTTCCTTTGTCAGCACCGGAGCTCCGCGGACGCTTTGCCCAGCGCTCCAACCTCCCTCATCAAACACCACGGCCAGCGCGTCTTTACCCTACGCTTCTAGTTTCGAAACCAATAACAATGCCTCGAAATAACGATCATGCTGCACCTCGCTTTGTTTGGAAGCAATGACGAGGCTGTGCGGGAGGCACTCGTGTGCAGAATGAAAAGGGCAAAGACGCACGGGACTCCGCCTTTGACGATTTGCTGCCCAGCTCTTCGTGGGCGTATCACCATCATCCGGATGTTGATGATTGGTGTGAAGGGCGTTGCAAGACGAAACGTTTTCGACCACATGAGGCCATGAGAAGCATAAGAACGGATTGAGAGTTTCGGACTGGAGAGACATCACAAAGTTGATAGGAATATCGCTTCCTCGGTCCTCCCTGTTTGACGAAGCCTCCCTGCAAACCGCCATGGCCGCCTCGAACGGATCATTTGCGCCCGATGCTCTGCACCGCCGCCTTTCGAGCGACATCGCCGAAGCACATCAGGATTCGTACCCCAACGTTCATCAGCACATAGATGAACAAAATTTCCGCGAGGCCTGCCTTGTTCTCTCGACTGAAGCGTACGGGCCGCTGCACCTCATCATCGATTTGGGCAACGACTACCCCCTTTACGCTCCGGAACAATATCTCAATCTACAGCTTCTGTTTCCCAGCATCCTGCTGCCCGTGAATACCCGCAATACTCGCTTGACTCTCCTCCTGCCCCTTCTGCCAGCTCGCATACCTCTCGTGGTACCAGCTTGTGATGTCCGCAGTCCCCTTCTCCGCAATCCATTTCGCAAGGCTCACGCCATCATCAATAGCCCCGTTTGCACCTCCGCCGCCAATGATTTGCTCTGCATGTGCCGCATCGCCCATTAGCGCTATCTTCTTTAGACCCAGGTCCTGTAACTCAGACTTCTGAATGAGGATGCTGCGCATCAACCAATGCAGAACTCTCTCCTTGCGCAGCTTCTCCGCATCGAAGACATCGGCGAATGGCTGAGACAGCTCTTCTAATCCTTCCACCTCCGTATAAAATTCTTGTGGGATATCTTTTGCGGCAGCGTTCGGCCTATTGGGCTTGAACAATGCGTCTGATGACCCCCGCGAAGGGCGCGAGTAGATCCAGCTGATGCTGACCTGCTCCGGGGTCGCTTCGCTGATGCTGATGTTGAGGACTATGTCGCCATTCCGAAGTTCCAGCACTGTTGTGTTTTTGTAAGAGGAGGCGTACAACTTGTCGAAAGTCTCCCGGGGTATCCTACGCTTGCCATTGAAAGCAACGTACGGTAGAATGTCGGGACTGGCTGAAGGAAGGAACTGTTTGCGAACAACCGAATGCGGTCCCTCGATGCCAATAGCGATGTCAGCTTTTACGCATTGTCCGTTGGCGAATTCTAGGTCAAGGCTTCCATCCGTCTTGACACTCTGCAGCGTATGCTCCCATCTTACGTCCAGCCCTTCTCTTAGCAGCTCTTCCAACTTTCCACGGTGTGCTCGAAATGATGCTGGTTCTAGATTTCTATAGCCATAGCCTTCGGCGTTGATGTTGCCGGAGCCGCCGATACCGGCATCGACAGCAACACGCTTTCTGAACGTACTTTCGTCGATGTCGAGTGCCTTCAAAAGTGGACGGTAAGATGCTGGTTGCAGCGTGATGGCATAAGTATGGCGAGGGCTGGATGGTGCTTTCTCGTACAACACGGCGCGGATGCCGCGATGTAGGAGGCAACGGCCAAGAGTGAGACCACCAATGCCAGCACCCACAATGCTGACTGTTGGTTGCGACATGCCTGTTACTCTCAAATATGTTGCAAGGAAGCCGGAAGACCGCGAGACTTTGATGCTCTGGTGGTCGTGCTGCTGAAAAGGACGACTTGCATTGGCGATCGAGCTAGATCGAGCCAATCAGAAGTTGGGTTTATTGCTGACCTTTTTGGCGACCATTCGCGCTTGCATCTTTCCGCTCTCTAACAACGCTCCTCTTGCTCAACAGCCTGCAACATTTCATGCGAATGCTTGCCATTAAGATCTTCGCCGACTGCTTTGGTGGCGTCAGGCAGCTTGTGCTATAGGCTCGCGCATTCAACAACCCTGGTTGCTTTCTAGATGCTGTGAAGCGTTCGAATGCTCGAACCCTACCGTTCTTCATCGACTTATCCTGTAATTGATCATCTCTATCAGAAATACAGGCCACTATCATGTCCAGCAAAATCTCGATATTCATATATGTTGCACTGCAACCGGGTCTAATGGCAGTGGCATCAAGCAATCTCGCTTGGCGCTTGGCGGTGGTGCAATTATCGGATTTAAAGATGATCAACTTCACTCCTAATCACATTATTGCACAATATCTGTACTCGATCTTCCAGCAGCACTCCTCCTGACAATTGGAGAGTCATGCGAGCCCCATGTTGCCTACGCACTGGCACTCAGCTGTCGCGAAGTACACCGCACTTTGAGCGATGTCCTTTCGAAACATCGAAAACGCTGGCGGTACTGGAACACTGTCGAATCTGACGATAAGAGAAGACCTTTCCACGAAAGGGTATTGGAGATTACGAGGAATAAGCATCTTGCGTACTATGTCAAGACTCTGTGCTTTGACTGTGAGCTTGAAGAACGTACATACAGCCAGTCTGAGAGTATGGAACTGCTGGGTCAAATGCGAAAGCTGACAGATGTCCATGGAGACACATTCGATGTGTTCAAAGACAGTTCCTGGCGACAGAGCTTCTACGTCGGTCCTTAGCACTCCCAAATACGATGGCTCTCCACCTATCTAATTTTTATGGCGCCCAACCTGCACAGATTGGAGTGTTTCGGTTGTCTGGTAGGTGATAATGACCTTTTGCAGCTGCTCGTCAACATCGCGCGGGATTTTTCAACGCCGACGGGATTGCCGTTACAGTATCTGAGGGTCGTTGAGGTCAAACTGGATCGTAACATCGACGAAGGCGGGCTACCTATGGATTGGCTGCTAGCCAGCATGCATCTGCCTTGTGTCGAATCGTTTGCTGCAAGCAGGATGGGCAGCTGCGCAAGGTTTCTGGACTTTGATCATGTTCCAAACTCGAATTTGAAGAATCTCGTACTTTAGGATTCGACATTCGAACCGCATCAACTGATTTCAGTTCTAAGCAAGATCAATAGTCTTCGGACTTTTGGTTACGCAAATGGCCAAAACTCTCTTGTCTACGAAGGAGGGTCATTCTCATTAAAGAGAATCACTGCTGCGCTTCTCCTGTATACTGGTCACTCCCTGAGATATCTGACCGTACGCGGGGGGGACTTCGACGTGAGTCGGATAACCAAGCACGAACCCATGTACCCCTCGCTGACTTGCGGCAAGTTACCCATGATGGTCGATAGCGGTCTTGAATGGCCATACGTATCGTTTGCAGGCTTCAAGCAGCTGAGCACCTTGCGATGTTCGACCTCACTGCTTACGAGCGATCCGGAGCTGCCTCGACCAGATGAGCATCTTATATTCGCGAGTGACTTCGAATGTCGCGCTGCTAGTGGCACGAGCTACACATGACAATTTCCTCCAGCTGACCCCTGGAACCTTGCCGCGACTAGCTTTCGCATCGAGACTGCCACAGTCCCTCAGAGCCCTGCATTTGGAAGACTACCAGTGCCACACACCTTTGGCATATTACGCTCTCTGGGAGTTTGTGCAGAAGGTGGATGGGTTGTTGCCTTATCTCAAAAAACTGTACCTGAGCGACTGGGGTCATGACTACTCGGAGAACAAGGGCTTCCTGGACATAGTCGCTCGAACAGGCCTCAAGTACAAGGAGTTGCACGATCCATTTCACCTTGGCATGGGGTTTCGGTGTGACTATGACAGCGCGAGTGTATATGTAATCACGTGGCTTAGATCACATGATATCCTATTGTAGCAGGTACTGCCCGGTGGGCAAGTGCGAGAAAAGATAGCAATACACTCGTTGATCACAGTCTCCGACCGACACTGCTCACGCAGTTACAGTATATGAAGACAGCTATTGAAACGATGCGGAAGAGTGACGGCGTCCAAAATGCAGGGCCAACACCGTCCTGAACAATCGTGCCAGGCCCGGCATAATGGCAAGCAGGTGGAGAATATGAAGCACGCGTTCGGATGTGGGCACACTCTGTACATCATGTAGCTTTGATAGGCGACAAGCTTCGGTAAAGGTTTGAAGCGTAAAGTGTTGAGGCATGACGAGGTGTACCTAAGCAATGATGTGCTGCAAACCTAATATGATGAAGGGCGCAATTTGGAGCGGTAAGAGAAAACCTCTCCCACGTCTCTATCGGCATTGAATTGATTCATTAATGGGCTTTACTCGTTGCCATACACGATCTTCACACAATCAGATCGCCTTCTTGGCAACTACGATGGCGGCGCTGACATCAACCCTCAAATGCAGTCGAGAATGCATTACAGCAACAGGAGATCGCTCCAAGGTCGAAGAAGTGGGTCTCTATGAGAGGAGTAGAACTGCGGCTGCACCAACAAAAGCGCTATAGGAAATGGCGACGTTGGCCGATGCCGCGCCTGTGGAGGGAGTCGCTGAAGCAGAAGTAACACCAGAGGTATGTGACGTACCGCTCGCAATCGCGCTACTTGTGCCAACAATCTGCGTAACGCTCGCCGTAGAAGAGCTCGCTGCACTTCCAGAAGCCGCAGAGCTGCCGCTCGTACTTGCGCTTCTCTGGGCGCTACCAGTTGCGCTTGCCTGGGCACCTAGCTTTTCCGCCCCACTGGTCACCGTAACAGGCAACGTCAGAATTTCCTCACTTTCATATGTCGTCGTGCTACTCCCCGGAAAATTCGCCTCACTCCCCGACGCAAATTCAATGCACGTCACGGTCGCTGCGCGATTACAATCTACGCTACCTGTAAACACCTGGGCGTCGCCGACGCCCATGTCGAGATGGTATGTAGAGGGACCGTAGATGAGGATCATCTCAGGGAAGAGACCGCAGTCGCTTGCGTCGGTGCCGGCGGGACAATTGAGGGCCATCGTTGTGGCGGAGGGATTTGCGGAGATGATGGACGCTTCGATGGATTGCGTGTCGAGGATGTAGAAGGGAATGGAGACGACCGAAGTTTGCGCTGCAGCGAGCCAGAGAAGGGCTGCGAGAACGAATGTGGAGCGCATCTTGATGGTTGTGGGGTGGTGCAAGGTTGTGATGCTCCCAAATGTAGATGTTCAATGTAGTTGTCAAGAACGAGCGACAGGTAACCAACGTTTGGTCAGGGTATTGGGAGAGAAGCAACTCGAGGACAGTGAAATTCGAGATCTAAAGCACTACCCAACCCTATTGTACTACCTGTACTTCATGTAAACGCCGTGTCACAGTCGGAATCTGGCGCGCAAAGGGGTTGGACGCCAGAAGCTGTTTCATTGGGTTTGGCCTCGTAGCGGGCTCTCTCGGGACTATTTCACGGCTTCAATCCACCAATCAGGTCAAGCAATTTTTTCTGATGCTTCTTCATCGTGAGGATATTTCATCAGCCTTGTCGAAGGCAATTCAGGTGTTTGAGTTCCCTCTATGTCCGTGAAAGCAATTGCTTGCAAGGACTGACCGCATCTTCGTGGAATATGCGGAAGTCCGGCAAAAACCACCAGATTAAACAGACGACATCGCGGTAAACAACTCTTCTTTGGAACAGCCGTTTGCGCGTGTCGATTGTTCCAAATTGAGACAGAAATGGTGCTGCAGTTAAGCCTTCGTCATTCATGGGTATCATCGCTTCGACCAGAGCCTCGTCTACCATCTTCCAGGCCCACCAGGCCCACCACCCATACCACCTCCGCCGTGATGGCCTCCAGGCCCGCCGGGACCTCCACCCATACCACCTCCACCGTGATGACCTCCAGGTCCTCCCATACCTCCGCCATGGTGACCTCCCATTCCGCCTCCTCCATGGTGGCCACCAGGCCCTCCACTCATGCCCCCAAAGCCGCCGTGCTGCCCACCGGGACCTCCAGGGCCGCCCATGCCTCCGCCGCCGTGATGTGACTGTCCGCCAAAGCCACCAGGTCCGCCCATTCCTCCTTGGTGTCCGCCATGGTGGTTACCACCACCCATACCACCGCTCATGTTGGGACCACTGTTCATGCCGCCGCCGTAGCCACCTTGTTGGTATTGTTGCTGCGGTGGGTGTTGGCCGTGCTTAGGTCCCTTGTGCAGGATCTTCTCTTCGAGCTTGTGGAGGAGACCCATGGTCGGCGATAGATGTCGAAGTGTGATGCAATGTGATTGTATGTATTTGTATGGGATGAAAGTAGGAGGTCCTTGGAAATCTCCTTTGCTGATTGATGATTTGATGGCCTTGTCTCAGGATAGTCAAGGACACTTCATATATACCTACCTACAGAGCTCTCCTATGGTCCAATGTTAGCCATTACGTCACCTCCCGGAAAGCACCGCCGCCGCGTCACCTCCTTTCCTTCGGTGTAAGTCACAGGCAAAAACCAGGATGTAAGGTGGTTCTTGCTGTGGTTCTTACGCGGCATGACGATTCTTCGGCTATGTTGCGCCACAATACGCGGCTACGACCCACTTGGTCCGGCTCAAGCGGTCACGAAGGCTACGATTCGTAGCCTACGGGTTCAGCCTTGCCATGCTATGTAAGATCCCAGAAGCGTTACCGATGCCTGTCGTACATCATGTTGCTCGAGTGCATTTGTGGCGCGTAACGGACGAGAACATGAAGGTGTTGAAATTTCGGAGAGGATGTTATTTTGTATGTATTGTTACGTCACACGCTGATTACACTCGGCCGATATCGCACCTCTTCAGCCAGCCAGCAAGTTCAGTGACTCATGTACGCAAGATAAATCGGGAACACAGATTGTCTGGAATTGCTGTGTTAATCGTCTGGCAAAGCCTTGGAATTGTCCATGTTTTCTCGCCATTTCACGATAACCCCAAGCACAAAGGAAAACTTCACGCCACAACAATGCTGTTGATCAAGGCCAGGAACAGATCTTAGATCGCGCAAAGGCTTATAGATCGCGTCGCAAAATTCAATGGTAACGCGCTTTGTGTGGATGAGCCCATTTGGTATTGATGTCCATCGCAGATCCTTGTACCAGCACCACCAAAACCATCTCTTTGTCAAGGAATGGTCATCTATGTTGACCCCGCACAATTGTGCACATTCGAACGGACATCTGAGAGGCTCCAGCGATCTCAGTAAAACGCTGGCAAAGCGCTGTCACCGCCGCTTCCACCAAGGGTCGCCTGGATCGACTGGGCGCGTCTGGCGAATGGATCAACTCGGTTGCAAAGATCGATGCGATTAGCTCTAAAGATTCAAACCTGCTCCTTTGTCTCAGCTGTTGTGCATAGGTATGCATCATCGTTAACTCTCGAGAAGGAGCCTTCGCCAGACGCAGTAACGGACGAGAGAGTATAGGTAGCGACCGATGTGCTCAGCATTACTGGTCGAGGTGGGATGCGCAGTCAGGTTCGAAAAGGAGCCATTGGGAGTGGAGTCGCCGCCCGACGTACAACAGGAGTCGTGAGATTCGCGCGCCACCCCAATCCGTATCGCTTTTACGCTCGTACACAGTATCCTATCACCGGTGCACTCGGTCGCCCAGGGTTTCAACGCTAACTGCGGTATGGTGATCTTGAAGCTGATCTAGGGGGCTTGGCGTGTGGTGGTGGTGGAAGGAGCGCTCGCTGGATGTAAATCAGCAACGCGAACGCCGAGATCAAGATCGCTTACGTCACAAGCACCGGCCGCCAGCATCCGACACCTCTCCTCTGCCGGCCTCGAAGGCTAGTCCTGTCCCATCTCACCTCAGATAGTTTCAGCGTCTTGTAGACACCAGCCTTGCGACACGACAAAAAAAAAGAGGCGCGCAGGGCCTCGAAAGCGCCACGTCATCGCCATGGCTGCAAGCCTACCAGACTTCTCTCGGCCGACGATGAGTTGAAGCCACAGTCGTCTCTGCGATAATAAGTCGATGTTGAGGAATAGCTGGCTTGCTTGATCAGGCCGTCCAGCGGCACCACAATTCAGCTGCTTCCTTGATAAGATTCGGCGAGTATCTCACGGACTTTGACTATGTCAACGTTACCTTGCTTGGACGAACTGTGTATGCGCTGACCACTCGACACCGAGAAATGGCAGTACTGACGCATAGTGGGCGCCGAAACTGTTAACATGCGGATAGTGACCACGCTCTTGGCCTCGATTATGCGCTCCCATCTCCCTTGCCTCGTACGAAAGAGTCTGCCTCACGATGCCACGAGGGTACCGCGTCCCACTATTGTGTTCTATTTTCTTCGCCACGCGGCTTTATATGCAGCGGCCCCACGCTCGCGGCGCTTCAAACAGCCTACGGATTCGGGACGTTTCACATCATGCGCAGCATCATCCTGACATCTGTCAGTGCACAGTGCAGCAAAACGTCTTTCCCAAGCCCTGCAACAAGTCGACAGCACCTGCATTGTGACAGCAGTTGTCAACGTCGTGTACGGCTGCCACTTCGTTATGTGGACGATCCCGCTATCAAGGTATCAGAACATGTACGCCGAAGCAGCTGCCTCAAATGATTCTCATCTTGTTTCCTCGTTTCTCGGTGCAATTGGCCACGAGGATCACGCCGGAAAATTTGTTATGTTTGGAAAGACGACACCAAGACGTGATTGTCTTGGCTGTCAGACACACCGCAACCACACATGCCAATGTTTCGCACAGCCAAGAAGATCTGAACTTTATTGATCGACTGCGCGTTCAGGATTCAGGAAGCACCCAAGAACCAGGTCGATTGGGGCACCGATCTCGAAGTTGAGGTCAAGGTCGAGACTCTCGGGGAGCCGCACTGATTTCGGAGCACGGTCGCCCAATCATTTGCAGGCCGGCCCCTGTATGCACGACTAGCTCCATGCGGATACCAGGATCTCTAGCTATGCATACATCATCGTATGTTCGAGCTTGTCAAGGCTGCGTGAGGCTCTTTCCGCTATCTAAACCAAACGGCTGGAGCCATTAAGAGGCCCACAACCCTACGTCTACCTTCGCTGTCCACGAGGCCATGTTTCATGCAAGCTCACTGGCATAGGATAGCCGCACAGTCTTTCTTTAAGTATTTCCTTAATCAAGATGCATACCATGCCTTTATGCTTGATAATGCATGGCCTTTGCCATCATCCCAGCCTAGAATTCGTTGATCTTTTCCCCTTCTCAAGCTTTCTTTCTAATTTTCTTTCACGTCGCCGCTGGTTCGGATTTCCTTCTCCTTCCTAGGTGCTGTGTTCATTTTCACATTCTACCAAGAGGCAAACAGATACTCGTGAGACTCGCAATCATGTTTCGATCTTCCTACCGTGTCTCGCAATTCCAGGACCTCGAGCGTAACCGCCGCCGAACCGTATGGCCTACTGCGATGGGAGACGATACTCAGATCAGCAGACCGTGGATCAACCCCTATGATGTCTCTGCCGAATCGAATCAGCGTATCACGAGTGTTTTCGACACTGAAGGCCGTGCTGCACGTATGAGTGCCATGGTGGACTCGGCGCTCTTCCCGCCATCCCTGCAGGCTCGCAATCGACATTCAGCATGGGTTGGGAACAGCGCACAGAGACAGACATGGCTCGCCCCAGTGACACAGGCTGATGTCAAGGAGCGTACGTGGTCTGGGGAGTTCGACGTTGAAAGGCGGCCTTCTTGGCAGTCACGCGGATCGGACAGGCGGAGCGGCGAACTGGATATGGATGATATCGAGAATAATGTCAAGAAGGAACCATACCCAGTCGACTGGGAGGAGGGGGATCTTGAGAACCCTCTCAACTTCAGTGTCGGTCGCAAATGGTTTAACGCTATGATGCTTGCTTTCGCTTGCTTCATGGTGTCGATTGCATCTTCCGGATTCTCGCAGGGCACTGCGCAGCTCAAGACCGAATTCGACATCTCGCAGACCACTGCTCTCCTGACCACATCGACCTTTGTTCTTGGCTTTGCCGTCGGCGCTCTCATTCTCTCACCGCTCAGCGAAGTCTATGGCCGTCGCGATCTCTACGTCATTACATTCGGAGCCTTCGTAGCCTTCAGCGGCATCGTGGGCTTCTCCAGCTCCATGACTGTTGTCATCGTCTTGCGCTTCTTCGGCGGCCTCGCCGGCTCCTTCACGCAAGCCGTCGCCCCCGCCGTGGTGGCCGACATGTTCAACGCGCAAGACCGCGGGATCGTCATGTCTATCTTCACGCTCGCGGGATTAGTGGGCCAAAACCTCGGCCCTATCATCTGCGGGTTCCTCGTCAAAGCGTACGGCTGGCGCGCAATCGCAATCCTGATCACCTTCGCTTCGGGTCCGACTTGGATCGTCCTCACGCTCACGTTCCCCGAGACGTACGCACCTGTGTTGCTGCAACGCCGCGCAAAGCGCCTCACTGAAGAGACAGGCAAACAGCACCAAGTCGCCGGTATGGCGCCCAAGCCCATTGCGCAGCAACTCCGTGTCGGCGCGCTGCGGCCCTGGATCATGTTGATCTACGAACCCATCGTCACGCTCCTCTCGCTCTTTCTATCCGTTGTACACGGCACTCTCTTCCTCCTCTTCGCCGCCTACCCTATCGTGTTCCAACAAACCCGCGGGTGGGAACAGGGCGTCGCGTCCTTGCCTTTCGTCGCAATCATCGTCGGCATCATGGCCTCGCTCGTATATGTCGCGCTCGTTGATCAGAAGCGGTACGCGCGCGTCGTGGCCAAGTACGACGGGAATGCGCCGCCCGAGGCGAGGCTGCCGCCTGCGATGCTGGGCGCTGCTGCGCTGCCTATTGGCTTGTTCTGGTTTGCATGGACAAATGCCCCGGAACTGCCTTTCATGATCTGCGTGTCTGCCGGCGCTTTGTTTGGATTCGGTATGGTTTTACTCTACATGTCGCTCACTAACTATATCGTTGATGCATATCTCGGGTACGCTGCTTCCGCTCTTGCAGCCAGCACCGTTTTGCGCAGTATTGCTGGCGCGGTCTTTCCTTTGTTCACGGCCCAGATGTATTCCAGTCTTGGTATTCACTGGGCGAGTAGTGTTCCGGGCTTTCTGGCACTGATATTTATTCCTTGTTTGTTCATGTTCTACAAGTGGGGCGACAAGCTGAGAGGAATGACGAGGTTTGGGGCTGAGGCCGCAAGTATGGCCGGCAAATAGACAAAGAGCATAGACTTGCCAAATACAGACATTAGAAGTTTCATTCAGATGACTATCACATCAATGCTGGGCGACTCCACAATGAGATGCTTGAGCAAGATGTTGGCCCATTAAATTCTTTATGGCTACGACGTTAGAAGTACCACCCACATCATTGTGACATGGGTGTCGGGCGCCGACACGATGAGATGCTGGAGCAAATGCGGGCCTCTCGACTTCTTCTTGGCTACCAATCTGTCGCAGCAGATGTGGATTGGGATGGGCAACGGATCGCTCCAGATCAAAGTTTGGAGTAAGCTAGTCCAGTCGAGGTGGATCAGTAGTATACATGCTGTCTTTGTGAACAGCTCGGCAGAGGAATCTGATCACTTCTTGCTCAACACTCTCTGCCTTTCAAGATCATTCAGCTTCAATACAATCATCAATAATGGGAGTGAAGCAAGGTGATATTGAAAGTAAGTAGGTGGAACGTGAGAATTCTTGCATAACTTCGGCCGATCTAGTGTACATGCGCATCAAATCTGTGTGCTCATTAGAGTTACCCTTGTCCTCAACGCCAAGTCGCATTTGACCATGACCCGTTAGCACCACCATCGACAGCCAGACCGCCAGCAGCCCCTTTGAACCCATCTCCATCTCCGTTCGTGATAGGTTGCTCCCAAAGACCGGGTGGATGTGGAGGCGGATCTTTCAACCCATAGGGGTAGTCGAAATCATTAGGCCACCAACAATCAAACTTGCGCTCAAAGCCTGCGCCGACCGGATAGAACTTGTCTAGCAAGGGGTCACATGAGAAGGTGCGTTTGTCGGCGATCATGTCGGTAGGACAGAGCATCAGCCCAGGTGCATGGCATGTGCCGAGCATTGCTTGCAGCTCCTCGTCGTTAGTCTCAGTTCGGTAGCTGGGCTGGCAGCTTGGTAACATTCCAATGCCATTGCACTTCGTGCAGTACGTGCAGTGCGGGTTTTTAGCGTTCTGGTACTTGAGCTGCACAAGGGTCTTGTCCTTGTTCCGAGGTTCCGATACCGTCAGCAGCATCTTGTATAGCATCTTTGACTCGCGCGGAGTTTCGGGGTAGGTCTCGATGAGGCTGTTGACGACATCTGCCTCGGAGAGGCTCTGCCAGAAGTGCCCGGCATCATTTCCGTGTGGATTCTTCAACCACCATTCTAGCGAGGCAGTCTCGTACTCCATCTTCTGGATGATGGATAAAGTCCATTGACCGTCACGGAACCAGGCAAGGGGACGTCGAGGCGCGTCATCGTTGGCCGGATCAAATGGCATGCGGAACGTGCAGTAGCCTCCACGGATGCGGGTAGGGTTGCCGCCATTGTCTTGCCACTTGTTGCTACCGTCATCGCACACGACATCGGCAGGGCTGAGTTTTTGCACGCCACAAGGCTGGGCGCAGTCATTCACGATGTCCCAGGGGTTGCTCGCATCGCGAGTGTTGATCCTCCACTCTGTATGGCACATCCGCTGACAGCCCTCGACGGGCTTAGAGATCTGGAAGTAGATCTCAGACGAGGAGATACTCAATGATTCGGTGACATTCGTATGCAACGTGTAACCCATCATGTCTTCCTGCGGGCGTCCCATGGCTCCAATCCCCGCGCTGATGTTGTGACCGAGGAAGATGTTCGAAGACATACCCTTGCCAGCGTGACATCCATACTCATCCCACAAATTCCACTTCAGAGTGGCAAGATCAGGTTGCCTCTGAATCTTGTGCTCAAACAATACTGTCCACTTGCTATGAGGCGAGACCTTCTGGCCTTCGGTGCATCGTGGAGTAGCAGAGTGCACCAAGGCAGGTTCAGTGTATGTTGGGGTTGGAGTGACCGTGACCGTGGTGCCGGGGAATGACAAGACCGTAGTGAACGGCATTGCCGGTTGAGCTGTCTCGAACTCACGAGGTATGCTGTCGGGACATGCGGCAGGCCTACAAGGACCAGTCTTGCAGAGCGGAGCGTTATGGTCGCCGTAGCACAGATATGCTAGACAGCGCTTGGCACAATCGTCGGGTTTTGAGCCATCTTGCTCGCAAGCGTCCTTCGTGCATTTCGCAAAGACCAAATCGCAAATGGGACAGTTCGGCACGATGCTACCGGTTGGATATGCGGTGACCGTGAGCGTCCTACTGGGTAGGGACATGACCGTGGTGAATCCGATTGCCGGATCGGCTGTTTCGAAGTTGTGAGGCGGCTCCTTAGGACAAGCCGCGGGCCTACACGAACCATGCTTGCAGTAATCGGGACTCGTGCTATCATAGCACACCGCTGTCAGACAGAACTTTGCACATTCCACAGCATCCGAGCCGTCTAGACATCGCATCTTGAGGCATTCGTTGAAATGCTTGTCGCATTCTAAACAGTGGGAACCTGGAGTACCTGTGGGAACTCCAGTACCCCAGGGAGCGGTCGTCGACTCGCTCAAAGTAGAGGGCGGCGGCACTCGCGAAATCGTGGACGAAGAGATCGTGCCATTGCTGGACAGCAGATCGTCAGGCATTTCGTTATTTCCTTCGTCATCGTCGAGCGAGAGAGGGGCACGTGTGCATGCAGGCGCGTCCGAAGAGGTTGGCTGCGAATTGTCGCCTTCATCATCGTCGAGCGATAGAGGCGCACGGGTACAGGAATGGCCTTTTTCAGGCTGCTCGTTGTCCCCCTCGTCATCTTCCAGTGACAGCGGCGCGTGAGAACATGTTGGACCATCGGTGGTACGAGGAGGCTGTGGATTGTCGCCTTCATCATTGTTGAGATCCAGCGGCGCGCGACTGCACATCGGAGCTTCACTACTGGTACGCGTGAAGCTGGACTCCGTTGTCGTCGTCGTGTAGCCCAGGATTCCGCAGCCGGTAGAAACTTCTTCAGACGTAGTACAGGTGGATGTCAGGGTCTCAGTTTGCGTGTAGTTCATCCACGCAATCGTAGTTGGGGCCAACTTGGTGCTCTCGAAACAGGACACCACCTTCTTGGTGACCGTAGTCTTATCATCTTCGTCGCACTCATCGGGCTTTCGTGATCGTGAGGGCGCGGGTGTAATAATACTTTTCACCGTGGTTGTCATTGAAATCCCCAGCAAACCACAGCCAGAGGTAGTCGCCTCAAACGTAATGCACGCTGAGGTCAAGGTTTCTGTCTGCGTATAGTTGATAGAGGCTACCGTGGTAGGTTCCAACTTGAGGTTCTCAAAACAAGAAATCATCCGCTCGGTGACTGTGGTCTTATCCTTCTCTTCGCATTTGGGCGGCTTTCGGGCCAACACAGGTGTAGGATCGGGACCAGGCTTAGGGCCGCAGCCGCCAGGCAGAGTGCACTGCGGGCCGTTACAAAGGGCAGGTGGGCAAGGGTCGCAGCCCTTGTTGTCAGGAAAATCGTAGCAATAGCCGTTGCAGCCAAGTACGCCGCACTGGTTGCCCACGACTGCGCCAGGAGGGTTCGGCCCATCGATTGGTGGAAGACAACCAAACCAATAGCAAGGGTCGGGACCGAAGAAACTGATAGGAAAGAGGAGATTCCAATTGATGGGGAAGTCGCCATCACAGATGATCGGAAGACCCATGAAGCCACAGCCTGTATGAAGTCAGTGAATGTTGTAAGACGAAAACAACATGCCGGAGTACTTACCACATCCTAGAAGCTGGCACTTCTTGCCCTCTTTCTCCGCAGTCTTGCGCTTATTCTCCTCGCCCTTTGTGCACGTGCGAGGAGCGCAAGCGCAGAGAGAATTGTTAAACAACGCGAGAGAAATACCGAACCAATCACGACACTCCGCTGTGCAGTCCGTTGGCACGCAGTCGGGGACAGGAAGCTCCCACCACCAGCTCGTAAACCAGTGGAGGTCAGTTCCCTCCTCCGGGATCTCGTCTGGGATGTCACCTAGACAGATTGGGTGGCACCATTCCAAGATCCAGCAGAACCAGGGGCAAAATTTCACGTGGTACTCAGCAGGCTTGGGCCAACAATCGGGACACCATTGATTGCCCCATTCGAAACACGCAACAGGAGGAAACTCAGGAAGTTCGCCAATCGTCATCTTACCCCAAAAGCGGCACCACTCCTCACCTTCACATGGAGGGCAGAGAACGCCGAACCTAATAGTGAGATCTGGCCCGGATGTCGTGATAGGCTGTGCTGAACCTACGTAGGTAGTGCCACCGGTCTTGGTGCCGATCGCAGATTGCGTTGCCGTAGTAATGCTACCCTCGGTGGTGTACGTGGTGTGATCCTGGCCAGACGTCAAAGCGGGACGAGGGAAAGTGGTGCCCGATGTCGTCGACTGGCTCCACGAGTATGTCTTGGAAGACTCCGTTCTGCTGGAAATGGCTGGCCAAGGCACTGCAGAGGAGTCACTTGAAATGGTCGCGGTGATGGACCACTGAGAGGTCTCCGACGTCTGCGAATTACCCAACGTCATTAATTGACTTGACGGTATAGTCAAATATGACCATGAAGATGTCTTCGAAGACTCCGTTCCGCCGGAGATCATTGGCCAGGGTGCTGCAAATGAATGACTACTAGTAGTAGAGGACGGGTAGATGAGAGACCACGAGACATCAACAGAGCTTGAAGATGTTGGAGACCATCCAGTCGGGACTTCCTGCGACATTGCAGCGCTCGATGATACCACTGAACTTGAACCGGAGGCGCTGGTAGTTGAGGCCGCGCTCGACGCTGATGATGACGCTGGTGCAGAAGACTTCGACATCGAGGGCGCTGATGTGGAATCTTCAGCGACCAACGATTCCGGAACTGACAACCCCACTGAAGGTACGACGGGAAAAACAGGCGTCGGCACTCCAGAAGACTCGGCCTCGGAGGCAGTTGAAGGAGTGACAGCAGGTGCCGAGGATGCAGCTTGTGAAGACTGAGACGACGCCCAGGACGTCGCTGGTGTTGATGGTGCGGGCATCGAGAGAGTACTCGTGCTGGAAGAGGTCGCTGACGCTGGAGATACTGGGCCTGATGACGGCACCGGTGCTGGAGGCTTCTCCGATGCGCTGGGCGCAGTTGACGATGCAACGGACATGGAAGATGTTGCCGGAGCCGAAGACACTGCGGGCGCTGACGATGGCGCTGGGGCTGATGACGCTAGGGCTGATGAAGCTGGGCCTGACGATGGCACCGGCGCTGGAGGCTTCGCAGAAGCGCTGGAGGCAGTCGAGGACGCTGCAGGCTTTGAGGATCTTGCTGAGATCGAAGACACTACGGGCGCTGACGGCGGTATTGACTGTGCAGATGATGGAACAGTGTTGGAGGCAGGCGGAGGAGCGACAGAAATAAGAGGAGCAGAAGGCGAAGGCGGATCAGAGCTATGCTGTGGTCCAACTGGTCCGATAGGGCCGTCACCAGTGCAGGAAGCGTAGTCAATGGCCCAGAGCGTGGTACCTCCGAGGCAGCGATTGTTTGCAAGCTCGAGCTTGAGGCCGAGTGTCTCGCTGTCGTCGTAACCAAACCACTGCCCGTCAAATACGATTTGCTTGATGTCGGCACCTTCAATTAGCTTCGGCTTCAGGTTGTTCTTGCTGATGGCGCGCTGTATCTCGCACTGCGACAGGATACCGTCGAGCTCGGTACACTGGCCGGCCTTGGAGGGACCAGTCCATGTGCAGTTGAGGTGTGCGCAACTGGCATCTGCGAGGATGTATCCACGGCCGTAGTTAGCGATACCAAGGTTGACCTTGGAGGGAGTCAAGTCGGTGGACCAGAGAAGCTCGAGAGCCGCATCGATTTCCCTCAGATCGGTATGGGGCTTTGCGAAGGGGCCGAGGCCGGGTACAGACGAGTCCCAAGGCTGACGATCGTTAGCAAGGCCGTGAGAATGAAGATGTCATATGGGATTACTTACACCGTGGAGATCGTACGACAAGACGTTGAAAGCGTCGACCGAGCCCTCGAGAGCCTTGGGATCAAGGTTCTTCAGGTACCCATACTGCGCGGGAAGGACGACAGACAGACCACGTGAGCCCAGAGCCTCGCGCAGATCCTTCATGAGATCAATCTGGTTCTGCTTGTCAATGGCAGGGTTGCCGCCGCGGCTCTCCGCGCCAGGCCACTCCCAGTCGATGTCGACACCTGAAAAGTCCCACTTCTTGAGGAAGTCAAGTAGTGAGGAGATGAAAGCGCTGCGGTTGGCCTTGGAGCTCGCCATCCGCGACCAGGTGTGTTGCGTGGCACCGGCATCAGAGAATTCCCATCCACCTGAAGGAAATTAGTATCTGAACACCGGAAAACGTGGGTACGGGTGACTTACCAATGCCAATCCACTTCTGCGACCCATCCTGGAGACCTAGGAATTGTGCGTACAGCTTCTCGTCCTCTGGGTGCATGGGGCCAACAGCAAAGGTCTTGGGATCGATGGTCGCGAACGAGAAGATGATCTGCGTAAGGCCAGTCGTGTCGATGTCAGCAGGCCAGACCTTGTCGCATGGGCGGCGACGAGTATTCCTGGATATGGTCAGCAAAGTTCGGAGCATTTAACAGTTGGTCATTGACTTACCAGCCCTCGTAGTACGCGACCCTGCGTGAGGCGGTACCACTGACCTTGCCACATGATGGAGTGGCCTCGGTCGAGACAGTGCCGCACTTGCCAAAGCCTTTCTGGCACGGTGTGCTCTCACCAGAGGCGGTGGAGTCACGGCAGAAGAACTTGCTGGCGCCGCAGAAGCCGAAGTGCGAGCAGCAGACGTTCAGTGGGCACGACTGAGAGCCATTTTTGCTGTTGATACCGCAAGGCGCCTTGGCATCGCAGTTGGCAACGCAAGACTTCTCGCAGTGCTCGGCGCGGTAGCCGCATTGACCTGGATAATGTTAACCAATGTCAAGGTTGAAGATACGGGATATGCATACCTTGAAGATTGCAACAGCTGCCATGGGGGCAGGGGTTACTGGCGCTGCACTGGAGATCAGTGCTGCCCAAGGTCGTGACGCCGCCATCAGTCTGGCTTCGAATGTACTGCTCCTCGATGTCAAGGATCGGAAGCACGGGGTCGAGGTGGTGGCGCGGGGCGCCGTTGAGTGTCAGATTCCATGGTTCTGACTGCTCGCCAGAAGCCAAACCGCCAAAGACGGCCAAACCTAGGGAGGCGGAGGTGACGAGGCGCAGCCGCATGCTGTACACATGCGCTGTGTGGAGGATCAATAACGGTGGTGGGGTATTGAGTCGAAAGACGCAGTGGGTGAGGGAAATATAGCGACTAGACGGGATGAAAGCCTTTATGAGTGCAAGAGTCACAGTGCTAGTGGGACGTAGGTGAAAGTGAAGGTTGCTCGGGAAGGATCGTCATCCTGGAGGAGGTCGGTGAAGCGATGGCTCGAACGGTCGGTCCTTGATAGTGGGGCAACTTCACTCGAACCGTACTGAAACTGTCCCGCCAAATCTTACTCAAGCAGTTACCCGTCTTAGTGCATCTATACAGTGACGAAACCGGGGCACTGTCGATGAGCTATGGCCTACAGCGTGATAACGAGCATTGTGTCTGACAGCATTGTATACATCTAGCGATAGGCAGAATTTCGGGACACAGACCACGCATACCTCCAGTTTCGGCCTTGCAGAGACTACATGACCGATATAGTCGATCAGGATTGCTGGTCAATCCATGATTTAGCAGGCATCCTATATTCAAAGCGCTTCGAACTGCGGAGACTCAGTCCAAATTGTTGATTAAGGAAGCGACTGCTGCCATCTGTGAGCATGCGATCGATCAGTATCATGTCCATCGGTCATCTGTAGGTAGGTCGTTGGTCAAGCGCCGAGGCGCCCTGAGGCTTTCCTTTGCCCGCACATGGAGGTGGAATGCTAAAACGAGCAGCGCACCTACACCTATGCTGTTCGTGGCAGGCAAGATGCAAATGTGATGGTAAACCATTGTCGATGATGTACGAGACGAGCTCCCCGAGGTGGGTGATGGGTGATGTTGAAGGCAAGCGCGGTCCACCAGACGCGAGAATGGCGCGCCAAATCGCGCCAGCAGCGCCCCCTCCTCTCCAACGAACAAATCTTCCTGTCGAAGTCAGATTGCCAGATGGCACGGGTCTTCTATCCTGATGCCTCGTTTATGAATGTACCACAAGACTTGGTACCGCATGCGCTCAATGATGGCGATCGCATCGTACTCACACGAGGGCCTTGGCCGCAATGTCGGCTGCGATATGAGAGACGAGAGTATTTGAGACGTCAAGAGACCTGTAAGGACCATACATCAGATCAGCGTTTCGAATGTCACTTGTCAAGTCTGCCTGCACCGTCCTGTCAGCGTCTCAGGCGTCCAATCATGCTAGGTAATCAGGTTTGGGATTAGCGGCCATTGTTGACTGAAATGTCCAGGCAAACTACGGGACTAGATCGCATCGAAGCACTCGCGCTCGCTCAATAAACCCGTCGTGATAAGTGCATTCAGATATAAAAGCCACGTCGTTTTGCTCTGGCTGCACCGTAGCCCCCCTCGCTGCACAATCGGAAGCCGGAAAGCATACAACGTCATGTCGTCGCGACCTCCAGCCGAGTTCCTCACACTCCCGCCGGAGCTGATTGAGGATGTCGCGAAGCGAATTTCTGACAGAAGATCTCTGTCTAGTATGCGCATGACGTGCAAGGCGCTTGACCAACCAGCCTCGAAAGAGCTATTCAAGTCTGTCTACATCTCCCCTGCGGGAGAGGATGTCAGCACCTGGAACAGTATTAGCGAGCACAATGTCATTCGTCATATTCCTCGTCACGTTCTCATTCGTACACATTCAGAAGAAGAAGACGACCGAAGTAGCTGGAATGGCGACATTGAGCGTGAGGAAACTGGCTCCGACTTGGAGAACGCGATTGCCGCGCTCTCAAAGTTTCCCAACCTTGAGTCCCTCCAGATCAGCTTTACTGAGGAATGCAAAGGCCGCGCCAAGGAGTCGTGGGAGGATGATCCAGCCGAGAGCGCGTCGCAGCGCGAAGACATGCTGAGGCTTGTGTTCCAAGCCATCAAGGCGAGAGCGGTGGACAAGGAAAACAGGACAATCCGGAACCTGACCCTTGAGAACCTGCAAAACTGCCCCGTTCCGGAGTTTACGTCGTCAGAGCTCTTCCGAGACGTCATGGGCCAGCTGGACGAGCTGCATGTCTCGTTGACCCAGGAGTACAACGAGCATGGTCCCGACCACGACTACACCAAGGTCGAGCTGCGGACTTTTCCGGCGCACTTTTGTGCGGACTGGCTGAAGCCTATCTCCAGCAAATTGAAGGCGTTATCCATCTATCACCATAACGAGAACTGGGGACCCTTTCCAGGTACGTCTTGGCAGCCTGCGATTCCCCTCTATCTAAACATTTGGACGAGGGTAAGATTCCTGACTTCCTCTAGGCTACTTCGATCCCAGCGGCATTGAGTTCCCAAAGCTCGAAACCCTCGCCCTGGGATACTACACGCTTGCGCACGACGCCGACCTGGACTGGATTGTAGCCATAAAAAGCCTACGCAGGCTTGTGTTGCACAACTGCATGATCGCCTCGTACGTACGTATTTCCAGCGCGAACATGGCGGAGTGGAAAATGCCCACGCAGGACTGGATCGCCATGCCCAGCGAGTACGACGACAGCGAGTTCAAATACGACGGCACGTGGAGCTCCTACCTCGATCGCATCGCGGATGGCCTGCCGAGCCTGGTTGACTTCCGCTTCGATCAGGGCGGACTCTATCACGACAAGCCGTATAGCGTGGTCCGTCGTGGTGATTGTGATGTCCGGATCTTCCCTAAGCGATATGTCGTTTTCGACAATGGGATTTTGCCGACGCACTGGCCTGAGGCGGAGAGCGATGGGGAATTGTACACGTGGCTTGAGGATGAGGATGGGTTTCCGAATTTGCATGAGACGCATTTGGAAGAAGACCAGGAGAGCTTGGATAGGCTGCTGGAAAAGACGAGATCCAGACGATGAGCTTATGGTGCTGTATTGTAGCGTCACGGAAACATGCAGTGCTATCAGAACACGATGTGCGTGTTTGACATGAAATGGCTAAACTAGTTATTGTTATAGCTACAACTACGTAGTCTTCAGAGACCTCGAGGGTACACACATATCCCCTGGCTGAACGCCGACTGAGTACCATAGTCTATGCTCTCCATCAGATATCTTCGAAAACATGGCGAATATGCAAAGCGCTCCCTCGAATGGACCCAGCCATCAAAACGATTCAAGTCCAGTCTCCGCTCCCGCGATATTGTCCGCCAACATTGCACAGCGTCACATACCGCCGGCCTACACGGTGCTGGCAAACCCACACCTAAACATCCAACGAAGCATTCCCCCACATCACCACCATCAAGCACGCCATCAAAACACCTCGCTGCCCAGTAACGCATCCCAGCACACAGGCATTCACATCCGTAATGCATATAAGCTGTTTTCTTCTCAGCACAACCGTGCAGAACCCGCACAATCTGACCACGCACCACGCGCAAACACCATCGATAATCTATCACACAATGGCCGTCCCCGCAGACCGCAAGAAGACGTGCGCCCACTCCTTCACGGCCGTGAAGTGCGACACCAACGTCGCGTAGTGGAACTGCCAGGATTGCTACTCGGGGCCACATAATCCGATTTACAAATACGACAGGTGCGGCTTGAGGTTTTGTAGGCCGTGTGCGGGGAGAAAGTGTAGGCGGGTGGAAGGTTTATGCGGGACAGCGGTGGAGACGCTGTGCGTCTTGTTGCCGAGGGTGTCAGCTCGGATTGGGGATTGGAGCGTGATGGAGATGAAGCTCAAAGTTTCTGTGAGGACGTGGTGAGGGGACTGGGCGGCTGGGTGTCGATGGGAGGTTGCTGTGGGCTGGAGTGGCGTGTGTGAGATCTTTGACTCTGTGGACTTACTGCAGCAGAGAGTATGGTGAGCTTCAGTGTCACATGATGTGCATGAATATGGTGTTCTTGCTCGACGGACATCCGAGTGATGAGATCTTGAGCTGGTGGGTGACGTTGAACTCCCGTCCCTCCTGTTCCACTATTTGTGGCTTCTGCGTGCGCCATGGACCTCATTTCTTGTCGCACGCTGAGTGTTGACTGCCTGTTTGAACTCAGACTTTGTTACTAGACAGCTTCCTTTGATAGCTCTCGCACATCATTTCCCTCATGCATTACTTCAACACCGGCCGTCGTCCTTGCAATATCTCATTCACCAGCTGCTGGCTATCAATGCTCTCTGCGATGTATCATTCATTCATTCAGCAATTACGCGTGTCACGCCAATCTCCACGTGGTGGGTCGACGCTGCAATCCTCGCAGCATCTACAGCATCACTCTTTTGCACGCATCTGCCCTTGAAGACACGAACCATGATCATTACGACATCACAGACGGACCATCGCAAGCTTCCAGCATATACTGAGCGACATGTTCAATCTGCATCACCAACCAATATGCACAGATCTCTAGCATAAAGGCAGTACTTGCAGCCATTCTACAGAGTCCTCACGACACTCGACAGCTACCAATACTTACACACAAAGCAACAACTGCACCCAGACTCCAGCCGAACTCAAGTCTCTAAAGACACCAACACGCTCGGCTAACATGGCAGACCCAAGCCGATACTACTACCCCCACCGCGAACCCGGTTTCCGCCCTGACACCTATCCCAGCAAAAAGTGAAGCCCCAACGGAGCCCGGCAGCTCGGAGCGCATTTCCCAGACTGGGCGCCCTCGGCCAGCTACACGCAGAGTCCCAACCGGCAACCGCCCAAGGACGAGAAGAGGAGCGCCGACGGGTGGACTACGTGGAGGAGGGAAAGTACAGGCGGGCCGTGCCGTACGATAGACGTTCGGGGCCAGTGTGATGGGATCCTAGTCGTGGGACGCGTACTATGCTGAGCATCCTGAGCTGAAGAGTCACAGATTTCCTTGGGAGTTGGGGGAGAGTCAGGAGTGTACAGTGGGAGGCGGGGAGCTATCCAAGCCACAGCTGTCTTATTATGATCAACGGAGCTACCGTAGACACAGTAAACCAATAACAACAACCAATGGCAAGTTCACTCGCATCCCCCACCACAAATGCAGATCGCACATGCATCGCACAGACGGTAGACATCCTGCATCGTGTCACGACCACGACTCGTCCAGCTCAACGTACAGCCGGAGCTCCTTCTCAGCCATGACGCCATGCAAACGAGCGGCCTCATCTGCGCCGAACAGCGCCGCCGTATCGGCAAAAAACGCGCGCACAACAAACTCCTTGCTCCACGGCAGCACCGCCAGGCCCGCATACGCCACCTGCCGCACCCGGTCGGCCTGCGCGCGGACCCGCGCCTCGCTCGCGCTCGCGGCGTCTCGACGCGCACTCCTCGCCATCCGGCTCTGAGCCTCGGTCTCGCGCCGCAGCAGCGCCATCTCAAAGGCCACGTACATGTCCCACAGCGCGGCGCAGTGCGCGCCAGCAGCGTCGAGACGCGTAGCGCGCTGGAACAGACTGCGCACCGAGTGGCTCGTCGAGCCTGCGACGGCGCCCTTGAGCGCCTCGTGGCGGAGCGCAAACGCCCACGTCGCCGCGCTCGATGCGCGGGTCAGGTTCAGCGCGCGATGCATGGTGCCGCGCACGCGGTCGTCGATGGCGAAGCGGGATTCGTTTGCAGCGTAGGTGGAGAGGAGGATTGTGTTTGATGGGAAGGCGGCGAGGAGGGGGGCGAGCGCGTCGCGGATTAGGCTGGGCTTGACGACGGGGGTGTGCGTGGCGTGGTGGGCGAGGAGGTGCGTGAGGGTCTGGGCGTGCTGTTCTGCGTGCGGGGAGGTGCCGAGGCGGTGCGAGGTTAGCCAGGCCGTAAGGTTGGTGTGGACTTGGAGCGCGCTGGAGGTGTTGAGGGGTGCGGTGAGGTAGGCCAGGAGACTGAGGAGGGCGGTGCTTAGGATGGCGCGGGGGAGGTCGTGGTTGAGAAGCGCTGTTTCGAGTGACATCTGTAGCGCAGAGCGTGCCGACTCGATTGAAGCTGATTCAGGTTGGGGTTTGGCTGCCGGTGGCGGGTCGCTGCAAAGAAGCAGTCGACGTAGTGCCTCGGCGTTGTTGCCCATGCGCAACGCTTGCCAGACATAGCTGCTCAGAAGCCGTAGACGGTCTGCTGGGCTACTTTTGATGTCGAGTGCGGCGGCGAAGACTTGCTCGGCTTTGGCAGTGTTGCCTAGGTGGTTCTCCACCAGCCCGTACATGTTGTAGAGTCGGACGCTTGTGGGGTTGGCTTTGAGCAGGCGTTTTGCGGACTTGGCCACGTCTGAGGGGAAGTGCTTGCTTTCAAAGGCCAGGAGGTACTCGCCAACGAATTCGCTGTCTGGCATGTTCGTTGCTAGGAGCCTCAGAACGCTCCTGACAAAGCCAGGATCGAGTCGTGAGCTTTCCAGTGAGAAGGTCTGCCGGACCAGGAGGTCGCTCGTCATCTGGAAGCTGGTGATGGGACTTTGAGAGTACTTCGACAGCGCCTCTGAGAACCGCGGAGTTTCCGAGTCCGGCTCGGCGGAGCATTTGGTATCGATCCTGCTGCTCTGTAGATAGGGGTCTTCCCACCAGGGTCTCGTTGTGTCGAGCGCAGCTAGTGGCGGGAGTCCACAGAAGCAGAGGAAGGCATCGATTTGCATGTCAGCTGGAGCACTGGGAACGTTCGCAACGACGTCTCTCAGATCGGAGAAGAAGATGGTGTGAAACGGGTCGTCTTCAGCCACATGATCCGTCGAGCGGCCGGGGTAGCGTAGCTTCGTCATGTATTCCTTTTCGCGTCTTCGAAAGTCTTCGGTGGTAGTGACTGGACCTCCAGCCCCTTCCAAGATGATCGAGCACGGCGGCGGTACTGCATCGTCGATCAAAGTATGCCTCCAGCCTTTGCTGCCTGACTCGCCAATGCGCGGTGCTTCGCTTTCCCAGAATTCTTCAAATCGTTGTGTCTTGTCTGCGGTAGGATGCTGCGGAGCCAGGAGATTGTACTCCAGCACAGCCTGCCACGCTGCCAAGGCGAGTTCCTGGTAGCCAGCTTCCTGGATCAGGGCCGTCAGGCGCACAAAGAGATGCAGCGGAAGATGCAGTCTGGATGGCGTGGGCGCAGCATCGGCAGAATCTGTCGACTGCAGTGCGTGCAGGGCTTGCAGGAACGCTGCACGGCAATCGTCGTACTTGAACCTCGAAAAAGTCGACTGCACAAAGTCGAGATGAGCAAACCACAGCTCGACGCTACGGGGGTGCTTGCCAAGCACCTCCCGCCACCTGGCTGCCACCTTTGCAGCATCCCAGTGCCGGCGGGCTTCGCGCAGCAGACCGACCTGGAGCTCAATCTGGCTCGGTCCGTCGTTACCGATCCTACGCAGGGCTTCTTCGTATGTCGAGATGCGCACATCAGCTAGGTTGCGCTGATCAGCGGCTGAGAGCTCGGAGATGGCTCGGTCCAGCTTCATCATGGCTTCCTGGTGTTCAATCAGGTCCAGCCAAGCTTGAAGATTCGATGGGTCGGCGCGCGTCTCGCGGATCAGCCTGGAGTTCCTCTGCGTGACTTGGGAGTGTGCATTCGCGGCCTCGGTATCGGACTCGTAATACGTGTCTGGGTCGTCGACTTTGCCAGGCTCGACTTTGCCAGGCTCGACTTTGTCAGCGTCGCGCTTCTCATCGATCCCACGGTAGTCTACGTCGGGCGCAGCATTGGCGCCCTCGTCGCTGTCATGTCCAGGACTTTGTTTTCTACTTTTATTTCTAGTACTAGAGAGGGCGATGAAGTCACGTGCAGCATCGGTCTGGTGGCTTTCGGCCGTCTTGATCAGGCGCAGCGTACGCCTGCCCTCTCTTGCAGCGTGCTTGTCTGTCAGCATGCGCTTTTGCCGCGGGCGCACGAGCGGCGTCAGCCAGATGCTCTTGTCCGTCGAGGACTCGCGGTCGATCTTCTGGTCCGGCAGGCCCAAGACATTGCCATGGCCGGTGCGTCTGTAGGCGGGGACGTCATAGCGGTTCAGTGTTTGGTATCTGCCAATGTCCAGATCCCCTCGGCGGTCGCTAAAGTAGGGCTTCTTGGAGGAATCGTCTCGGTGGTGCTCTCCATGTCCTCTTGGCGGCGATTTTCCTTCACCGCGCCTCCTCTCCGTCCATGGCTTGCGCCTCTTCTCGTCACGCCGAGGTTCTTCCGGGGGCGGTTGTTCGGGCGGCTTCGCCTGTGGGCGGAAGCTTGCGAACCTGGGGACGCCCGAGCTCATGCTGTTGGCTGCATGGTGTTGTTCGCCGGGCTCCCTCCTCGAGCAAGGGTCGAGCATGGCGAGGGCTGAGTGCGACGGGCGGTGCACGTGTCGAGGCGTGAGGGCTGAGTGCGGAGCCGGTCTGAGTGGTGCTCCGTAAAATGTTCGCAGTCCGTGCGCGTTGCGCGGTGCAAATCCTGGTGGATTCGAGACGGTCGCGAAATTTTGGAGCGTTGCGACTGCAGACCAGGTTCCCACCACACGCCGCCCCGACAACAGTCCACGCCGTCCTGACAACAGTCCACGCCGCCGTGAAAGCAGTCCACGCCGCCCAAAAGCAGTCCACGCCGCCCGAAAACAGTCCGCGCCGCCCCGAAAACAGTCCGCGCCGCCCCGAAAACAGTCCACGCCGCCCTGACAACAGTCCACGCCGCCGTTCTGCTGCGTCCGATGGCTCTTGGGACCCTGCGCGTTCCCTCGTAAGCCCGCACACGCTCTCCCCCCCCGCGAGCCCGCGTTCCCTCGCAAGTCCGCCTGCCTGCCCGCCCGCCCGCCATGGCGACAGCGCTCCAGAAGCAGCTCGCGACCATTGCGGCGTCGAGCACCCGCCAGCTCGACCTCAAGGCGCAAAAGTCGGCACACGGCCAGTCGCTGCTGTTCGAGCCCAAGGTCGCCGGGTCGCAGTCGTTTGAGAGCCTGTTCCTCATCTGCCACGACGGCTTCCGCGAGCTGTGCGGCCTCGACGGCCGCTTCCGCCAGTTCGCCACCAGCCTGTTCAGCGCCCAGAGCCCGGCCGAGGACCGCCTGCAGATGGCCGCCGCCGAGGTCAAGCGGCTGGACGCCGTGCTGGAGGCTTTCCTGACGCTCGTCGGCCCGCGGCTGCTGCTGAAGCCCGCGCAAAAGGCCCTCGAGTGGCTCGTCCGCCGGTTTCGCGTCCACGAGCACAATACCGAGACGCTCGTGCTCGTGTTCCTGCCCTACCACCACACGGCGCAGTTTGTCGCGCTGCTGTCCATCCTGCCCGCCCAGCCGCGCCACGCCCTGCGGTTCCTCTTCCCGTACATCCAGGCCAAGACGAACCCCCCCCGCCAGACGCTCGTCTACACGGCCATCAACACGCCCGACTTCTTCAACGCCCTCCAGTCGCACATGGTGCGCGTCCTCGCCGCCGGCCACGAGTCGGCCCGGCTGCTGCACTTCTGGGCCTCGGTCACATACCAGGCCATCCACGGCATCCTCAGCAGCGGCACCACGGGCAGGCGCGCGCTGCAGGCGCAGAAGACCGAGGACGTGCTGCTCCGCGTCCTGCCCGTGCTCAACAGCTCCATGCGCCTCGCCCACGGGCCCGACGTTGTCGTTGCATGCTACCTGATTGTCCACGCCCTCGTCACCAACGCCCAGCTGGGCGACAAGGTGCTGGACGGCCTGATGGACGCCATGGTCCGCGCCCACGACGCCGACTCGCTCACGCAGTGCATCCTGGTCCTGGCCGCCGTCGCCGAGCAGCGGTCCAGCGCGCACATTCCGGGCGCCGTCGCAACGAGGCTCCTGAAGACGCCACAGCTGTCGAGCGCACTGACGGCAGCCGCTGCGCAGTGCTCCGTGGGGCGTCTTGCGCTCGGCCTGGCCCTGGCCGCCCTGAGCCGAGCCAGTCGCTCAGACGAGAAGCGCGCCACGTTTGCCGACATGGTCGACTCGAAGCTGCTCACCGCATCGCAGACGCAGATTGCGCTGTCGACGCTGCTTCGAGCCCTAAAGGACAGCGCGCTCGGCTCCGAAGAGCACGCCGAGCTGCTCGAGCTTGCTGCGAAACTCGCCGAGGACGGCGCGCTCGCAAGCAGGCTGCACATGACGGCCAAGGAGAACGGCGTGGACCTGGAATCTCTCGGCCTGTCTATCGACCACGCCACCGAGGATGCACTGGCAGTCTCCTTCGAGTCCGAGGACGAGGACATGGCCGATGCCGACGACGGCAGCGTGCCCTCAACCACGCCAGTGCCCAGCTTCCACGCCACCAGTTTCCTGGACCCCACGGCGTCGACCGACTACAACGCCGTCGCAGCTGCCTTTGAGCAAGCCGTGGCCTGCAATCAGACCGCCCGCTTCCTGGCCTCTCCTGAGCTCCAGCAGAACGATGCGGACAGGTCAGATGTGCATCTCACCCTCTTGGCCCGCACCTGGTCCACTTCGCCATCTGCCCCCGTCCGAGTTGCTGCTCTGCGGGCCGCTGCATCTGCCATGAAGCGCACTGCAGCCACGGCCGACTTCCAGAACGTGATCCCCTACCTTGTCCACGCACTCTGCGACACGTCGTCCGTCGTCCGTCGCTCAGCTGCGGCTTGCATTGCGACGCTCTCCAAGCGAGCTGCCTCAAAGACGCCCAAGGTCTGGGGCTCTGCGCTGTACGGCAACAGGGCGGGCCACATGGCCGAGCTCAGCGCTGACGACGCTTCCACCTTCCTGACGTCCGTTCTCAGCCCAGTCCTCGAGGAGTGCGTCATGGACTCCAAGTTTGTTATTCCCGCAGTGCGAGACGTGCTTGAGGGATCCACACTGGCAAAGTCCAAGCAGAGCGTCAAAGCGCCCGTGCGAACGTCGGTCCTCGCTTTCTTGAGCAGTCACGTGGCAGCTACACCGCTCCTGAGGGTCAGAGTCAACGTTCTCCCCGTGTTCAACTTTGCCGGCAAAATCTCAGCCAGTGTCCGCAACGATGCCATTGTCCCTCTTGTCCAGCAGTGGTCCGCAGCTGCTGCGTCAGACGTTGCAGCAAGGTGTGCTGACGAGCGCATCTCGGTCGAGGATGCAGACAAGGGACACCTCAATGCCCTGCTTGCCAAGGAACCTAAGAGTGCGCAGTTGCTAGGTGACATCATCTCGGGGACCCTCAACGAGGAGCGCGTTGCTTTGGTGGCTGCTGCTTTCGACCAGGTCAACGCATTCTGGCCGTTGCTCAAAACCGACGCAAGGCTCCCGCTCGCTCAAACCATGCTTCATCTCTCGCTCAAGGAGAGCACCGAGCCCTTTGACCAGCTCTGCAAGGAACGCGCTCTCGAGACTCTGCGCAATGTCAAGCTCGACTCCACCACTCTCGTCACGTTCCTCGACAGCGTTCCTTCCGCGCTGCCCATGCCCGACGGCCCGCCGAGCAAGAAGAGGAGACGGACAAGCCGCAGCGAGATGGCGAGAGTGGACGTTTCGTCTACAGATGAGCTGCAGCGCCTGTTGAGACGACTTACCTTGGTGCTGGAGCTGATTGAAGGGTCCAACCCCGGGTCGCACCCTGAGTTGTTCAGAAACCTGTTCAACGTCTTTGGCGACCTGCAGCCGCTCAAGCAGCAGTCTGGCTCCGAGCTGGTCTACCTGCAGAGCATGATTCTTGGCGCACTGACACCCATGGTAAACTTCTTCAAGGAGCATCCCGAGACGACCGAATACCAATCCGCAGTCCGAGCCGACCTGCTCATCGACGCCATCCGCCACTCCACGAGCCCACAGGTGCAGAACAGTGCGCTGCTGCTCATCTCGAACCTTGCGACATGGGTTCCTGACCTGATCCTACACAACCTGATGCCCATCTTTACCTTTATTGGCTCTACTCTGCTTCGCCAGCAAGACGACTACTCGGCTCAGGTTGTCGACAAGACCATCTCGCGCGTCGTGCCGCAGCTGGCTGCCTCGCTGCGCGCAAAGCACAAGAACTTCCTGACCGGCGTTTCAGACCTGCTGCTGAGCTTCACCGCAGCCTTTGAGCATATTCCGCTGCACCGACGACTCAAGCTATTCTCTGAGCTCGCCCGCACTCTGGGCCCCGAAGATTCGCTTTCCGCCGTCATCGCCCTCCTCGCTGACCGTTACCACAACACCAAGACACAACGCAGGTTCTCGACCGAGCTGCTGCTTGTCTTCGAGCCCCTCCACACACTAGACGCCATCAAGGGCTATCTCGACCTCGTCGCTGATGCGGCTGGGCCGAAGCGCAAGGTTTCTGATACGCTCTTTGGCCTGAACGAGAAGAAGCCCGCCGAGGTCGAGTCTGCCATCCAGAATCTCCTGGTGTGTCTTGCAGACCTCGCGGCAGACGACAGGCTTCGCACCCATGTCACCAAGGCCTTTCGACGCAAGTCGGACAACAGCAAACCTCGCCAAGTCTTTGCCAGCATTGTCGAGGTCACCATCCAGCTGTCGAGGCAGGTTGCATCTACGCCCAAGCTGTACGAGTGCTGCAGCCGCGTGTTGGCTCGATCTCTGGATCTCCTCCCCTCCACCGAGCTTGTCAAGTCGGCCGAGTTGCTTCTTGCAAAGTCGGATGCTCAGGTACAGGTTGCGGCCATCAAGTCCGTGCAGCTGCGGGCTGCCTCGGTTGTGCAGAACGACCGCTACGCTGTACAGGCACTGGTCTCGTTCCTGCCCAGTGTAGAGGCGATATTGCAAAAGTCCGCGTCGCTGGATGCTAAGATCATCTCTGTCAGCTGCATCGACAGCATCGTGGAGCGCTTCGGCAAGAAGGATGCATCTGCTGTCGCATCAGTCGCCCAGACCATCGCTGGCCCACAGTCGCTGTCGCACAGCGACGACAGGGTCCGTGTTCTCTCCTTGTTGTGTCTGACATCCATCGTGGACGTTCTCGAGGATGACTTCATCTCGCTACTGCCGTCTGTCCTGCCAGTCGCCTTTGACTACCTTTCCAAGGCTATCGACGAGGAGAATGTCGGTCTGCACAATGCTGTCTACACCCTCATCTCAGACATCATCGAGCGACTCGGCTACATGTTCTCGCGAGAGTACCTCGACACAACGCTGCGGCTATCGCACACGTCTGCTGCCGCTGATCTGGAGGAAGCTTGCGATGACAGTCGTCGCGCGTTCTACCAGAGTGTATCGGAGCACCTTGGCGCACAAGAGGTCTTCGCTGCGATCCAATCCACTTGGTCGCATGCTGTATCTCAAGGCTTCGATGCATCGCTTGAGCACCTCGAGTTGCTTCGCTCCACCGTCGATGTCCAGACCAAAGCCAAGCTCATCAAGTCCAGCTCAACGCTCTTCAACCTGATCCTCTCCAGCTTCAACCTGCGCACAGCAGTAGGCTCACAGAAAGAGGCAGAGTACGACGACGAAGAAGTCGAGCAACTCGAAAACACCCTCGTCGAGTCCGCACTCGCCATGGTCCTGAAGCTCAACGACGCCACCTTCCGCCCCTTCTTCGCCCAACTTGTCGAACAGGAAGGCCCCGTCGGTGCAAAGCCCGAGCGCGCAATCACCTTTTACCGCTTCCTCGCCGCCTTCTTCGACAAGTTCAAGGTATTTCTCCGCTCCCCGTCGCGCCTCCTCCAAGCTAACGTTTCGCAGTCCATTGTCACACCCTACTCGAGCTACATCATCGACCACGCCGCCACGCTTCTTTCTCAACTTGTTAGCGAAGACGCAAGTTCAAAACTCCGCAGCGTCGTTCTCTCGGCACTCCAAAAGACATTCCAGCACGACCAAGACGGCTTCTGGCAATCGCCTTCGCACTACGGCGCCATCATGGCGCCCCTCCTGGCCCTCCTCACCATCACAGCGCACGACGACGTCACCACAGACGTCATCCCCTGCATCACGGAGCTGGCTGCTGCGTCGGCATCGAGCCTCGACAACCACCGCGAGATGAACGCCGTTCTGCTCAAGTACATGCGCGACGAGGCGGCGCACACGCGGCTGGCGACTGTGCTGTGCGAGCAGAGTCTTACCAACAGGCTGGGCGAGGAGTGGCTCGGCTTGTTGCCGGAGATGCTGCCGTTTATCAGTGAGCTGCGGGAGGACGACGATGAGATTGTGGAGCGCGAGACGCAGAGGTGGATCTCGAGCGTCGAGGCGGTTTTGGGCGAGGATCTCGAGGGCATGCTGCAGTAGCCGGCGTGCGGGAAAAGTCGGCGTGTTGCACTTGGGCATTTGCAGGCGCGTGTTAGATTCGGGGCATGTAGCTATATCCTCACTTCTTGATCGATCCATCTATCCATCCATCCATTCATCCATCCATCCATCCATCCATCCATTCATCCATCCATCCATCCATCCATTCATCCATCCATCCATCCATCCCATCTGCTGTCCTTGCTGCTGGAGCCTCGTAGGCGTGCCTCGTGTGAGCTCCATCCCGCTCCTGAGCCGTCTCGCCACGGCGTTGCCATGCGGAGAGCGATAAAGCTGAGCGCGATATCAAGCATGGATATTATACACCGCCCTGTGTCGCGCGACTCCCTACGATCAACAATCCAGCCTGTCTCTTCCTTCTCGTCATGCGTTCTATCAAACCGAGTTACCGTAGTGCATACGCTGAAACTTGCTGATGGCTCACCTTTTCACTGCGTCACGCTACGGGTAGACGTCGGTAGGTATCTACGCCGCGCCACAGTTCTATCGTACTACGATTATACCCCCTACCTTGAAACGGCAAGAAAGCATAACGCCGCAACGGCGCGCGTCCCGGCGGCAGCTTGCAACAGTCTGGGAACCAGCAGGGCACGTTGCGTCTAGGTGCTACTCGGGGGCTCTGGGACGGGCGTGTGCGAGGTAGCGGTGGGAGGGCAGCGAGTGGCTTGGTCACTGGACGGGCAGCTGTTGCCGCGGGTGGGCACTCCGCTGTGAGTGGTTCGTGTCCATGGACGATGCACTTTTCGACGTTGCGAGATGATTGTGAGAGCGGAACGAAGATAAGTCCGTGGGCACACTGTCCACGTTCACGCACGTCAGCCAGCCCTATCCCTCACTCGCATTACTCGGGTCGCGATCTCCTCGCTCTCGTCCTCGTTCGTCGTCACGTCTGTTATCTTGGGGCGCCGCAGCCGCTGCCTGATCTGTCCAATGGTCAGGACGTCCTCGGCTTCCCTCAACGGCTCCTCGTCCGAGGCGCGCCGCGACAGCACTCTGCTCTTGACCAGCGAGAGCAGCGTCTGGATCCCGCGCAGAAGCGGGTGCAGCGTGGGCACCGTGCCGCAGACGACCAGCAGGAAGAGCTCGGCTGTGACCCACGCGAAGATGTCGTACGTCGCCCATGTCTGGTCTGTGCGGTTCCCGAGCTCGGCCAGGTACTGCGTCTTGATGCCCGAGCATATCGAGGTCAGGATGTTGAGGCCGAAGACGATGCAGAGCTGGATCCGCTGCAGCCGGCTTATGCGCAGCTTCCAGAAGATGGTGAGCGGTAGAATGGCGAGGCTGGCATCTGTAAAGGTGAAGAACGCTGCATGGTCGGTCACTGGTCCCAGCGGCGTGATGGGGGGCTGACTTACATCCAGTGAAGATGCCGTAGCCTGCCATGACCTTGGGGTCAATGCAGGTGCCTTCGATCCGAGGATCCCACAGGCGTTGCGGTGGGCTACATTGCATGAACGTCAGCAGCGAGCACGAGATGGCTACGCAGTTGGCGATGCCAATCGTCACGGTCCATATGTAGATCCGCTGCCACGTCCACCCGGTGTCTCGCAAGATGGACAAGAGCAAGGCTGAGATGGACGTTTTCCCGGCCGCAACACCCACGATGCCGAAGATCTGGGACGTCCAGTTCAATAACATGACCTTGGTCAGGTTCTCCATCCCGCGCTTCTGCACATCCCAAATATGCTGGCAACCGCCCCGGTTCGCATAGAGGGTCAATACACTGGACCAGCCTAGGAAGCACGCCTTGACTCGGTCAGCCCGCGCTCAGCCTGCCTGGCGATCCACGTACCCAAGTCACACCCATGAAGATGTCATCCCATCCCATTTGCCTTTTCCGCATGCGGAATACAAAGCGCAGTATGACCGTGACGAGCGAGACGGAAGTGAGAGCCCACATCATGACGACGAGGGCGGGCCCTCGATCAGGCACTGCGGGCTCATCTTGTACAGAGTGCCCATCCTGTCGACTGAATCCATCCATGTCCATTCGAGAGAACGGAGATACGAGTATCTAGCTCTCAGTTAGCAAGCAGAGGCAGTCGGCTGCAAGCTACAAAATCTGGAACAATCGGGAGGTAGTCAGTGCCTGTCTGTAGGCATCAAGTGAACCAACAAACCTTCTGAATACAATCAACTCTGCCGACACGGCCGGTCTTTCCTGCTACTGAAGAGTCAGGCGTCGAGGCCCGTTGCTCAAAACGGTCGCAAGTTCGAACAGTGCGTGTGGCTTTTCTTTATACCATTGGAAGTGCGGCGCAAAGGCTGTACCACCGTGCTGGTAAATCTCCAACATCTGGTCGGAAGAGCAGGAACGAGCGCGCGTTCGAAATTGCGCAAGACTACCTTTCAATTCGTCCTGGACGCTGGCACATATCTTGGACTCGAGCGAAGGATCGCTCCTGTGGCGCATGCAGTCAAGCGCGGTGCGTGAACGTGTAGAAATAGTCTAGTTCATCCTCCGCCGAGCACGCGTTTCTGCTTGGAGCGATAAGCCCGCCCGCGAACTACTGGACCGAGCCGCTCCCTACTTCAAGTAATCCCCACGCCTCCCGTGCAACCGAGCTCGTGTGCCAAATAATCGCGACCTTGACTGACTCCAGGATGACGTCGCAAGCCAACCCGCAGGAGCTCATCGAGCAGCTGCGGCTTCTCGCCGCCGATCCTAGCTCCTACTTCCAGGATGAGGCGCAAAAGCATGACTTCCAGAAGCTGGCCCGGCAGGCTGAGACCGCGGTAGAGGAGCCGTTTGAGACCATGCAGCGGTTGGTGTATGGCGTGAGTGGGCCACAGCGTTGTGAAACCTGCAACTGCTGATCCAACCATAGCCTCTTCCGCTTGTGACCGCGCGCATTGGTCAGGATCGCGGTATCTTCGCTGCTCTTTCTAGCAAGCCTGAGGGAGCTCAGCTTGATGGCCTTACTGAAACCACCGGACTGCCAAAAGGCGTTCTCGAGTCTGTACTGGACTACCTGTGCACACAAGGCATGGCCACAGAGTCGAGCCCGAGAACCTTCAAAGCTACGCCGCTGACTCACATGCTCCTTGTGCCACTCTTCAACGATGCTGTTACTCACTTGTCAGTCTCGCTGGAATCCAAGTGGGCTTCTACTGACCTCTCACAGTCATGACAACTGCGCACCAGCGTTCATCGCCTTGAATGAAATGCTCAGTAACCCTCAAGCAGGAAAGACCGCTTTCAAAATAGGACAGCACAGTGAGGAAGACTTCTATACATGGATGGAGACCCACCCCGCTCAACAAGGTGCGTTCCATCGATTCATGGCAGCTCAGTTTGCGATGCTCCCGACGTGGCTCGATGCGGTCTCTTTTGACACAGAGATCGCCCAAGACGTCGGTGTGGAAGACGTTGTATTCGTTGATGTCGGCGGCGGTAACGGGTCGCAATGCGCAGCTCTTAGGAAAGCCTTCCCAGAGCTGAAGGGCCGGGTCATTCTACAAGACCGGTCTGTGGTTCTCGAGAAGGCACTGAAGGTCGATGGCATGGAGCTGATGGCGCACGACTTCCTCACAGAGCAACCAGTCCACAGTAAGTTTTCCGGCAGCCTGCTGCATCGACTTTTCGTACTAACATACCCCAGACGCGCGGGCATACTACTTCCGCCAGATCTTACACAACTTCGACGACGACACATGCATTCAGATCCTCCAAATGCACCTCCCCGCTCTTCTGAACAATCCTAATAGCCGGATCTACATCGACGATAAGACTCTGCCAGACGAGAAGCCTGATGCAAGCGCCCCAGGTGTCGAGTACACAGCCGCGCTGTCTTTGGCGATGAAGGCCATGTTCGATGCGCAGGAGAGGAGAGAGAAGCATTGGCGTTGGTTGTTAGATCAAGCGGGTATGGAAATTGTAGAGATCAGGAAGTTCACCAAGTTCGATGATAGTGTGATCATTGCGAAGCGAAGGTACCAGGACCAGTGGCGTTGAGGCAGACCTGGTGGACGCCCCGATTTCGGAAGGGATGGGGTATCTCGGCTCTCAAGTCGCAGAGGATGCCGGCTGTAACAGCGATATACTTGTAGCCTCCACAGCTTATGACCAACCCTATTCTTTTGAGACATGCATTGCCTGTAGCCGACTTTGTCTGCTCCTCAAGACCATGTTAGATGCTCGCCCTTGAGAATCCCTTCTACGACGAACCAAAGGCAACATTGCACCGTTCTTCGACTGCCTTTGCCAACAATCGCAGGTCTGGACTTTCCTGCGACCAATACTGGAGCCTCGCTTTGTTCATCTTCAAGGCCTTTTTTACGTCATCCTCTGAACGATCGATGAACACCAATGTGACATGACCCAGTAACATCCTCTGCTTGGCAGCACAGAGTGTCAAGATATTCGCCGCCGCCAATCGGCACATAGCCCACGTGCCTTCGAAGCGGTAGTGAATGCCTATCTCATCGTTCATGGCAAAAGCATTATCGATGGCTTTGTGCGCCATTGCTAGGACGGGATCAGACAACTCTTGCCGTGGCAGATTGGCCGCAATGTAAAGAAATGGGCGATAGAGGAGAGAACATATATACACGTAGCGCATCCGCAAGGCAAAGTGGTGGTCGTATTTGCCCACCTTGCACGCCGCGGGACCGGTGAACTGGATTTCTGGGGGCAGCGACTGGGTCCTACGCATAATCAGCAGAAGTTCTGAGGAGTCTATGAATGGAGCGCACCATGATGTCAACTGCTCTTCGAAAGAATGCGCGCTCTTCAGCAGCAGTGAGACAGGGCGATCTAACCAGGAAGTGTGGTCGCTCTTGTAGAAAACGTCAAGAATCTGGTCGATGGTTCGCCGGAGAGAGGTCTCGGTAAGGCAATAGTACCATGCTGTAGCCTGCTCGGTAGAGGCATGGCCTTGCTGTGTCGATATGAAGTTCTCATCGGAGACCGGGCTTGGTCCGTTGGGATCGCAGGCCCGCTTTGTTACGCTCTCTGGTGGCGGAGGAAATGCATCAGTACATGGAGTCAAGTTGATGCCCGAGCTAGGTATGCGAAGCTCCGCCAGCATCTCGCTGTAAAGTCGTCAGTAATCAAGACGTGGGTGATACTGGAGGAATATGGTACCTTTCCAATCTGACGCAGGTAAAGTAGGTACGCCTCTCATTCGATGTGTACTTCAAACAAGTTGCCCATTGCTGTCTTTGGCTGCGTGCTACTGCTTCTCGGTGCTTGCGATGGTTCATGTACATAATGCTAGCTCTGGTGAAGTTTTGTCCTGCCCGAGAAGGTCGGAGTTTGTAGATCCAGTACAGACCCGAGAGCACGTAGCACTGTGTGGATGTAATGTGTGGATCCAATAGACCGAATCTTCGCCGCGCTGCGTAGTAGTAAGTCTCAGCCGTTGCCCAGTCAGCATCCTTCCGGTGACTCGAGTTAGAGCTGGGGACAGCGGCGCCAAGCGGTTTTGCAACGACACCTAAGGCAGCTGCAAGTAGCTGAGTCACTCATGTCAGTGATGTAAAAAGAGGTCGTAGTCATCTTGCTTACCACTAGACAAGAGGACGGGTCCCAGGCGGGGCCTAACTCTGCAACAACGGACACGCAACGGCGGAGATGATCGACATCGAGAAATGGGTTCCTGCTGTGCACACAGAGCAAGAAGTTCTCGACACAGGCCGTAAGATCTTGCCCTTGTGGATTTGTCTGGATGAGAGAGCTACGCATCTTCGGCCCATGGGGCAGGTCGTCCTCCTGAGTAGGCTCAGCCCAGATGCCTTCGAAGTCCGGGGTGAACACGGCATCCGAGACATCTTCTGCTGTCGTGAGGTCGCTATTATCCCAGATAGGCCACGCCAGTATACGCTCGACAGAAGAGAATGTACACAAAGGTTCTGCGTAAGACGGACTAAAAGTCTCCTTACGTGGAGTATCGATGCCAGTGCTGAGTGGCGAAACAAGTCCCACATTGAGGCCATATGTGGGGAGTGGAGAAGCAGCAAGGCCTTGAGATGTGAGACGGCGTAGGACCTCGTCAAGTCGCTCCAAGATCAGAAGGCTGGCGGGATCGAAACTGCTATCTTCAGCCATCGACATTATACCCAACGATGAACAGATTGCTTACGAGGAGTGATCGACTTTGCTGTCATCATATACACATCGGGCCCCCATGCGTATGCAGGATGCGCACGCAGGTCTTTCATTTGTGCACTTGTTCTTACGGACGCGACAAGTGGTGCAGGCTGTAATGGCGCGCTGGCGGGGATAGACAACAGACCCTCGCTCATTGTTTCCCCGCTTCCTCTTTTGAGTCAGGGCAAAATCCTTGTCCAGAGCCTGGGTCATATTCGCGGGCTGGGAGTCCATTGAGTTTGAGTGCAAAGAGGTGGTGCTTTGAAGCTGACAGCCGCGACTCCCCGGAGCGGCTAGAATCGCGGGGAGTCGCGGGCCGATGCTCACTGCCATCGAGGCCAGAAAACACCCAGCCATCAACAGCTTTCTCCCTACTATTTCTACTCGGTGAAGCTCGGAACAGCAATACCATGTGACACAGAAGCTTGGACGCAGCCTTGATATTACGCAATCCTCATCCGAAGTCAAACACTCACGTGTATCACGTGTCTCCTTCTGCCTCCTATTGTAATACATCAACCCGCTCACGCTTGCATTTTCTTTCTTCCCCATCTTCTCCTTGCCAAATGGCTTAGATTCAGATGCAGTATCTTTTCTTCCTAGAATAACACCTCAGACTTGGTGCACTGTACACCCGTCCAGTGACCTCGAACTCTCTGGTTGCCCGGGATCCAGATCGACTGCCATCCTTATTTTTTTTTGGAAAAGCTGCCTGTGTCACTGCACTGTGTGCCAACTCAGGCGGGTTGTGCCCATCCTCCTGCACTACCGGGATGTGTGCGCGAACCTTTTCGTTGCTCCGAGTCCAATGGACGAGGGTCGAAGAAGATCGGAGGTCACAATTGTGTCTCAGATTGTCCGTATTGACCCAATAGACAGGCATACGTCCTCGTGACAAAATTGGGCCGGTATTGGGCGCGATGATTTACGGGGTCCGATGAGCTTCAAGGTGAACGCCCGGCGTGGGCATGTGGAAACATGTGGGAAAACAGGTAGTTGTACATATCTAGTTGTTAGAGCATTTTACAGCTTCTCAAGCCTCTCCAGCCTGTAGCCCCCCAACAACTTGCCTCCATCCAATCTCACTGTTTCTCCATTGACATGCGCGCCTGCGCGACTACTCAAATATACCACGGTCGCCGCGATATCTTCCGGCCTGCCCACGCGGCCATTCGGGCTTTCCTTGCCCAACGCTTCTTCACCGCCCTGCTGATTCATTATATCCTTCGCCATCTTCGACATAAAGAAGCCAGGTGCAATGCTGTTCACCAGAACATGTCGGGGGCCTAGCTCAATGGCAAGGTTGCGGGCGAGGTGGAGGACGGCAGCTTTGGACGTGGCGTAGGAGTATGCGCCAACTTTGCCAACTGAGCCAATGCCCAGGCCGGCGACGCTGCCGGTCACTATGACACGGGAGGGGTCTTCTTTGGACGATTTTGCAGTGAGAAGGGGTGTGAACCTAGATGTATCAGTCGTTGCGGACGTGTGAGAGCGAGGGAACTGACTTCTGGATTGTGAAGAAGACACCCTTGACGTTCAGGTCCATAATCTTGTCCCACCCATTCTTCTCGTCCACTTTTTCAAATTCAGATCCCCAAGTTGCACCTGCGTTGGCAAAAAGGATGTCCACGTGGTCTGTGTGTTTCTTCACCTCTGCTACAAGTCTTTCGATCTCGGATAGTTTGGAGGAATCGGCTGGGATGGAGATAGCTTTTGCGCCCGGCGCGAGGTTGGGAAGCGCATTGAGCGCTGCGACAGCTTCCTCACATGCGCTCGCTTTGCGGCTTGTGATGAAGACCTTGGAGCAGCCTGACTGAAGAAGGCCCGATGCTGCATGAAGACCAAGTCCGCGCGATCCTCCGCTGACCACCGCGACCTTGCCATCGAGTCGAAAGATGGACGAGAAGTCGGTGAGGTTGACATCTGCTTGTGCTGACATGGTGGATGTACAAAGCAACTTTGTAGTAATTATCAGACTAGAAATGCCACCTGGATGGAGACGTTGATGATGTCTACGAAAAGCAGCTCAATGTCATCAGAAGACATGTATTTCGGTCGCGGGCAAGCTGGGCGTTGCGGAGCTGCCTCGGTGCCCGACGATGGCATTTTCGATACCTATCGTTGTACCGAGGTACGATTGGCACTAGCTCAAAGGGGCAGCGAGCTGCACGATGAGGCGGAGCTCGCAGGGTATGCACAGATGGTAGAGCTGTTCGTGGACATGGCGAAGTATTCCCGAAGCTCATGTTGGCAACTTCAAGAGGGCAGTCGTTCTGTGTGAGTGCTCGTTCGCAATAACCCGCTTGCCGATATCGGCATGTCCCACAGTTACACGCGCTTATCGCCGGCATCTCCTGCACATTTGGTACGGAGTACAGCACGTAGTCCCGGAGTAACAATAACCTGAAACTCAAATATATTAGTCAGGGGTACTTGGTTGTCCCTCATCAATAATTGCGAGAACCTGGGCAAAATGGCGACAAACGAGACTCCACCAACCCCAGCATACTTTCCCACCTCCGCCGACTCCCCACTCCACCCTCCCACAGCACTCTACCAGAGACTCCGCCACCTGAAAGATGACGACGTTATCAAAATCCAAGATTTGACTGTCCCACCGCGCTCCGGGCGTGCATGGAAAGTGCCAGCAGGCTCCCTGTTCCGCCTCTCAACGCCCGAAGGGCCCCAGGTTGGCGATTTGAATATCTGGAATGCGTCAGACCCACGGGAGCGCTTCTGGGCCGCGCGCACAAGGCAACTGCAAGGCTCTCATATGATCGAGGGTGACAGGTTGTGGTCCAATCTACCTTTCATGCGCCCGCTAGCTGGTATTATCTCTGATAATTGTCTCGTCAAAGATGGGCCTGGGAGTGCAAAGCAAGGAGGCCGCCAAGAGACCAGAGACGAGAGAGGAGGAATCACAAAATGGGGCGGCCGCTGCCACGATCTTCTAGGCACGAGATGCGACCCTTACATCAGTTCTAATATCTCGGGTTCTGACTACGACTTCCATTGCCACAGCAACCTCGTACGGTCTATCCTGCCCCATGGGTTAACAGAGTTCGACGTCCACGATGTGCTCAATGTGTTCCAGGTCACCGGCCTCGACTCCCAGGGGCGGTATTTCATGGAGGCGAGCCCGGCCACGAGGGAGAGCACCTTGACGTTCTTTGCTGAGCAGGATCTGTTGTGTGCATTGAGCACGTGTCCGGGAGGTGATTTGAGTGCATGGGGCTGGAGTCAGGCGGACGAAAGTGGGGTTGAGGAGGGGAGGGACATGAAGAGTACGTGTCGACCGATCAGAGTGGAGGTTCTGGAGGTGAAGGATAGAAGTGTGCTTGGAGGGTGGAAGAAGCCAGAGAGGAGTGCGTATAGGGGGTGTCATGGGATGAAGATTCCGGGAGGGGAGGACTGATGGGGGCGTTGATGTGCTAACCAAGTCAGACGGGCAGCATCTCAGGCAGACTCCGGTTACCTTTGCACTTTTGCACCGTTCAAGAAGTCGTTGGTATTCTTCAGAGATGCTATCAAGAAATTATGTAGAAACGAGTTGTTTGTGATCGGACAATTGAAGTGTCGATGAAGAAGACATAATCTAACGTTACATGGCAGGACTGTGGTTGCCTTCGTGTGGTTTCAGACGCTCCTTTCCGAGGGTTTGCTACGAGCGTAAAGATGATGAGCGGGGATGATGGTGCAATCTGAGGCGGTTTTCAATCATGTTCCACCTATGTTTGTTGTCACAACTCCTATTTTGCTACAACTTTCAAGACAATCGGGAATTATTCCACATGCGATATAACATTAATACAATGCAAAATCATTCGGTAAAGTTGGCAAGGGTCACCAGAATCTTCCCATAGAGTTATGAAACTTGAAACTGTGCTCAAGCGAAAACGCGGTTGCAGGTGCAGGCCGGCTACTCTTGATAAGAGTAAAGCAAGCGAAAGGCTTGGTATCAACATGTTGCCGACATTAAACAGCAAATCTGGAAGCGAAACACTCAAGCAAACCTTCTCGGACATTAAGGTCGGATGATTCCTCTCTTATGGCCTTTTGCTACGCTACTCAATCAGAAGGTCAAGTTAAGGTTGTTCGTGAGTTCCCAGCGTTGGCGTTTGGTGCATCACACAGCAAGATTGGCGAGCTTGAGTGTGAGACATGTCTTGCCCTGTGGTGCTGCGTACAATGATACCAGCACTGCACAAAGGCGTCACTTGGGTTCTCCTATTCGCTAGACTCTTCATGTAATATTTTGCGATCTCGTGTGGGGGTATTTGTTGACGTCGATGTTGTGGCTTCCGTCTAGACTCTTCGTCTGCCTTTTAGCCTCCAAAATAACCGATCAGGAAAAGCACTAGAACACGCCTCGAAGCTCACCAGCCTGCCGCACCCTTGCTGGAACACGAGCTTTCACCGCTACGCGACACGGAAGTTTCCTTTTACATTTCACCCCAAGCGACGCAAGCGTGCAGCGCTGGCGACCACTGACGGCTGAACGCACTGCTGCCAGTCGTTCTGTCCCGCGTCACGTTTTGACTTTGCGTTCATTTCCGCAAGTCCGCAGGTCATATCACCAGGCCGGTTGAAGAAGGCTGTGCGTGTCTCGTTGGCCAACCCGGCGTGCAGATCCTCGGCGCTGTCAGCGAGGGCGCGTTGCAGGCGAGTAATAATCCAAGGAGCACTGGCCGCATCCCTCAACGGCGCCTTATCGGAGAGCGGATCAGGAGTCGACCCGGTTCGAGCAGACAGCTCCGGCCTCGCCAAGCGGGTTTTCGGTGTCGGAGTGGGATCGGTTGCGCGGCCAAAAACATGCAGATCTCCAAACGTCTATTCATGGCAAGCCCCCGGTTGCTCGTGTCGTGCAGGCACAATCACAGCATCGAATCAATACTTGTCGGCAGCTTCGGATACAGCATGGGGGCTACTGGTTCCACACGCACTAAGCGAGGGCAGCACAAGATATCTCACGACGACGCATCAACATGCACGCGTGGACATGTCAGGCCATTTGTGCCGATCTGTCGTATCTGCGTGCACGGGCAGACCGATATTAACACAACCGATGGAGACCTTCGGGGCTCGCTCCTGCGGATCACACAGTAATTCTCTGCCGCAAATAGGTACCTAGTGAGAAATATGGGAGCATCTTGAGACGGAGACGACCGGTGGAGGCCTTGAAAAGGTGCGAGTTCCGTGCGGACATCGGCTGCTGTGAGCCAGCCAAGGGGCGAGACAGACTCCGGTGTTCTAGACACCACGACCGGCAGTTGTGCCGCACGTGTACCTGACCTGCGGGCACCTTGACAGCAGCATCATCGACTCAGAACGCAGTTGATATAGGTCAGAACTTAATTCTGCCAGAATGCGAACTCGAAGCATTGCTTGTTGCGACAAGCTGGAGTCGGCATTGCATGTTGTTCTCCCAAATCTTGTGGGGCTCCCGAGGCGGATGTGGACACGCGCTGCAACGTGGGGAAAGCACGTTTTCTGAATGTGCCACGCAGGATGGTGGCGCAAAGGCAGGGGTTGAGCTCTTTTGCCTTCCTCTGGATGGCTGGAAACAGCTCCGTCGACAGGCAACAGTGGCCGAACTCGCGTGGGCCCTGCTAGAGATGAAAGAGTATCCGTCTTTTGGCGAGTTTCCCACCCGCAAGCATGGAGGTTGTTGCAGTGCAATTGGCACCACGCTCACAGGCCATGGACACACTAAAATCCTGTCCAGCGGCAGTGGGCCGCAACATGCCGAACACACGCCGATCAACGCGATTCTGGTTTCGCGGTTGCGGACTTTCGGCAACGATCCACCGTGATGGAGCGGTCTGCCCTTGCTCTCCAACGAGAACCGACCGCCTTGCGCCGGGCCCGCCGCCGTCTCACGGCTCACGACTCACCCTGGCAGTACTATTTCATCCGACCAGACCTCGTGCGCACGCATCTAGCCGTGGGCTCTCGCTCTGGCCACGAGCCTTAGCGGAGGAAAACCCGCCACTTGCGGCGTAGCGCGCGCGGCAGCTTATTACCACGTTGCTTTGACAGGGTGTGATTTGAGAACTGTACCCAAAGACATGCGTTTGGCCAGCGAGCCTACCGTATTCGGAATCCTGTAACGACGTCGTCACTGCAGAGCCGAGAAACGTTCCTTCCAACGTTCTACTAGCAGCGCCCGGATGATGTTCCGTGCTTAGTCGCTTCCCTTCGCTCTGCAATCGATTTGACCGTTGAGCCTCAGCTGCTCACCTCCGATGTGTGACAAGCTTGTTGTTGGGCGATCTGGTACCGGTACACACCTGTGTGCATGACAATTGACTAGGTGCCTCAGGGACTAGCATTTGATGGGGCCGATTACTCGTGGGATACCTGTGGCACTACCTACCCGCCAGGATTTATCCGTCTACGGGAGTACCGGTACATTGTGTGCATGAGCATTGCCCATTTCACTTCGCTACTGGTCAAGAAGCGTAATTGAAAATTTTCTACCCAAGCACGGTGCGTGCCGAGGGCGCTTTCACCTTGATCAGGGACGTCGATTCCTTACCAAATTGAGTATCCTTCGCAAAGTGACACGTGCCGTGGTACACCAACTCGCCAGTCCCCTGCGTGAATCGAGCACTCTTTCGAAGCTGATAGGTACGCTGGCGGCCAGGCCTTAGGCTCGTGTGGTCTTACAAGCTGTGCTAGTCGATTCCTCCCTCTACAGCTCGGAACTTGGTTTGCAGCGCGACGTCACCTTCCAGAAGATCGCTCCACACGCGGTTCCTGCTCTCGACTGTCAGTGAACTCCTAGCGGCTCATCACCGGACGCTGCTGTCCGGCTCCTCGCATCCACTTTGGCCCCTGCCATCAAAATAGACCATCACTCATTCCAGCCAGCCGCGGAAAAACAGCTGCCTGACGACTCGCACTCTTCTTCGCTGCGACTTTGGTTCACCATCATATCCTGGATCGGCGTCTCTTTCCGAGATCTGCTTAGGACCCGATTCAGGCGCGCTCCAGCCTTGAGACGCGGTACCTTCAAGCTTCCCTACTGGGACACTGCAAGTACGGGAAGATCCATTCCAGTCTAGCAGCCCGCTTCTGTCGGCCCAGCCATTCCTCACGTCACACACCCTCACCTCTGGTCTGGCCCTTACAATGGACTGAGAACTACGCTTCCATTGGCTGTCCCCTTTACATCGCTGTCCCGACTGGCATCGTGTTCGGTTGCTATACCGAAGAGCTGCCTGTTCCGCCACAGCAGAATTATCTTGCGTTGACGCCCCGGCCCCATCATCTGACGGTTCTGGCATTTCCCTCTCGACACACGTGGGTACGCACTTCCTCAACGTCATGCGTAACTCACCATCTGGGTCGTCTGGAGGATTCGCACATGTACCACACGCTATTCGCACAACGACCTTGACTGCCCCACCTCTCTCACAAGAAGCGAGATCTCCTGGTTACGGATTGAACTCCTACATCCATTCTGCAGCATCCAGTACAGCGTCCGGCAGCGTAACCGAGATGCAAAATCACGACGCACCAAGCTTCGGGATATCATCATCGCAGATATCTTCGGCCAATTTGAATGCGCAGAAGCGGGCTTACAGACAACGAAGGAAGGATCCGTCATGCGATGCTTGCCGAGAGCGAAAAGTAAAAGTAAGTATGACTGCTTTGGTACGGTGTTCAAGCAAGAGGCGATCGGCTTTCAATAGTGTCGCAGTAAGAAGCGGGGACCACCTCTTGTCCCTGGCTACGTGATGCGCTTGCACCTGCGGTCACTCGATATGCGCGGTTGTACTCAAGTCGGCATCTTGGAATGGAGCACTGCAGGTACAGAATGGACAGCACGATCAAACGACCGTGTCGACTGTCGTGTCCCGCTGAGTCTATTTGCGAGATTTGATTGCCCAGAGCGCTGACCGTCGTCGCAGTGCGACGCCACAGAAACCTCAGCATGCTCTGAGTGCTCCAGCAGAAATCACAAATGCCAGTTCACCAAGGAAACAAATAGGCGGATGTCTTCGATCAAGTGAGCACACTGATAGGATCATGCTGGCGCATGCTAACAGCCCGTGCAGACAGGTCCAGGACCTCCAAAGCCAGATTGCGGAGTTGACACAGATGAATTCACAGCTACGAACAAAAACGATTACCAAAGAAGAGCCGACTGCAGAGCGCGCGGATACGAAACGTCGTCTCTCCGATCCACATAACGGACAACAGACCGCACGAGTTAAGCTCACAGCTACAGCCATGCGCGATTTTGATCACGTACGCAAAAATATTCAAACCCACTCACAGGGCATCTTCGAAACGCCTCATGTTCGAGCAAGTGCACCACTCGAAGAAGGATTGGGCTTACCAGAGGTACCTCCTCGGGCGGATTTCGCGCATTTGTCGAGGTCATACTTGAACCACGTGCACGCTTGGTATCCGGCTCTTCACTGGCCGACGTTTTCGCACCAAGTCGATGAAGTATACACTGCGCGCAGTTTCCACGGGATGCCTAGGGAATGGATCGGACTGTTCTTCGCAGTATTGGCATGCGGCAGCTTGGAAACCTCAGCGACACCTGGAAGTTCTCCGGCCACGTCTAGTAGAGCCTTGTCATTTTTCAATGTCGCAACCCAGGCGCTGACGCCATGGCCGCAAGATCTTACGATTGTTCATACGCAAGTAGCGTTGCTACTGAGTATCTTTGCTGCAGAGTGCAGCATGAAGGCGGTTGGACCCATGTGGCTGTCTAACGCCGTCAGAGCTGCACAGGAGCTGTGCATCAATACTGAACTTGAGTCTTGGCCCATGGTCGAAGGCGAGATCCGACGGAGGCTTTGGTGGTCGATCTACTCGCGAGACAGGTATGTGTGACTGACTACTGGACCCCGGAAAAAGCATCCGCTAATATCCTGCAGGATCACATCTTTTGAAGCCAACAAGCCAATGCTTATCAACGACAACGACTGCGACATCTCCTTACCTTCCCCCGCCGAAGATCGATACATTCAGCCCCAGGGCTTTTTCCGAACCCATGCGAACATAGCACCTTTCACCGGTTCACTGGCTATCATACAAGTTACCCGAATGTATGCCTCGTTGTACCAGGCCCTGAAGTCTAGCATGATTGCTCCTCAGACTCTGCAAAGCTTTGATCTGCAGTTTCGGTCAAGTGTGCAGCAGTTGCCAGAAGCGTATCAGACTAGCTCGACTGCTGCTCTAGAAACGGCTGCGCTACCACCACTTTTCGCCCTGCTTACCGCCCAGTACCACCTGTATCGACGTAACCTGTCACCTGTCTGTCACCTCACCGAGCGCAGAGAAGCCCTCCGACGATGTGCAAGCGTGGCCCAGGAGACCGCCAAATACATCTCGAGATCACTTCATAACCCACCAAAGGTAGAAGTGGATAAGAGCTGGTCTACAAGAGTGGCGCCTATTGCCAGTAACCAGACGTGCATTCATCTCTGGCGATGCATTCTGGTTCTGTGCCTTCACGGGGACTATGATGCGGCAATGATGTGTTCGCACATGCTAAGCGTTATTGGCAACCTGCGACAGATTGGCGTCGGATGCGGGAAAAATCTTGTCTTCGTTCTAGACAAGTTAGTGGACCGTATACGCAGCGGACGTGGCTCGCCTCAGCAGCTCGAACATGACGAGGAAATATTGGCCTACATCAGTGGAGATGTGCAGGCTAGCGTTGTACATGGCTGGGTATGGGCAGGTGAGGACCTGTCATCTACCAAATCACCTCGTGCTGCGTACGGCGCTCCCAGACATCCTGGCCAGGATCAGCATATGCACGAAGCAGTACCTCAGAGTTCATCCGCTGCTCTGCCTTCTGTCGAATGGGAGGGTTGGGGTAAAGTGGACCAGTTGATTCGACAATTGATGGACGAGGGCCGCCCGCGCACTGCACAGCCGCCGACGTACTACCCACCACCACATAATCCTGTCAAACGAGTTCAGCTCGGTCCTACCGACCAGTCACCGCCGAAGCCAGCGACCTTACCGAGCCCCGCACCGTCGAACGCAAGCCGAATTAGCATCGCGAACATCATATAAGCAGTGGATATTGAAGAGGGGGATAAATGAATGTGCTTCACGAAAGTGACATGCACAAGCGACGGCTCTCTTACGTTGCGCATTATGATTTGACCCTTAGCGTTTCCTTGGTCCATGGTCATATCTTGCAGATCTTCGCGTTGTTGCATTTGCATGCGTGTTGTGGAAGTAATTGGGAAGGAGCATACAGCATTGTCAGTTTCGGCTTTGCACAAGGCCGAAGGACCGGAGCATTTGCATTTGGCATCAGCACCCCTGCATCTTTTTTACAAAAGTAATACACCCACGGTCGGCGCCTAACACGACTCTATTCGCCAAGTTGATACACCATGCCTAGTCTTTGGCCAGCTGAGGCTGCATATGCATTTGAGGCTCTCTCCCCGCTGACCTAGGCCCGCGCCGCAGTCTCACCCGCAGATGCACCTTTAGCTTTCAGAAGATCGTCCAATCGAAGCCAGATCCTTCAACTCCGATGGGGCTTGGCAGACGATGGCTGCGAGAGACGGACCTGAAAGATCCTTGGCAGTGCATGCAAGTCGCTCGCGGGCACCTTTGCCGGCTGCAGCATGGCGCTGTGCCAATTGTTTAAGCTGAGTTAATCTTCTCTGCAACCGTCCACAACGACCTACTATACTGTATAATTGAAATCAAGTTTGCGGCGTCCCTGGCCCATCAAGAGCCTCGGCTGGTCGCCCCGCAGTAACATGGCAGCTACATGGCGTCACTTCATTTGTGGGCGGTGTGAACGTAAACCAAATCAAGCTCTTGTTGTGGCACAGCGCTAGAGAAATAAGCCTCTTAGTCCCCTATGACGATCTTCGAATGAGCTCTGGGCAAGGCACCGTGTTGTCAGCTGTGTATACACTGTCTCAGGCGTTTGCGCAACGAGCTGTAGAAGAGCACAGTGGTGGATCAGACGCAGAACTGCGGTTATTTGATTGACCGTCACCGTGACACGTAGCAGAGGAGCTGGCACGAGCTGGGAATGCCCGCAGTCGTGCCTTGGTGGCATGGTGGGGTAGCTAGCTGCGTCCCAAACACAGACGTAATCCCTCCTGCACCAGCATGCGTTAAAGCCACGAGTCCGCGCTCATCCGGTCTAAATACCTCATCCTTCTGCTCCGTAGCCTTCTCTCATCTTTTGTTTCTTCAATACCTTCTTTTCACAAGCCAATTGCCCTCTACCGTCACCATGGTACACATCAACAGAGTCGCTACCAACAAGGAGATTGAGTCCATCAGGTCTCAGTACGAGAACATTGACACCATCCCTCTTACTGAGGAGGAAGAGCATGATGACTTCACAGCCACGGTCTATGGCAGCAAGTATGCTGGTGAGGATCTGCCCCGCCATGAGATGCCTGAGCGAGAGATGCCGGCTGCTGTTGCACACCGAATGATCAAGGACGACCTCACGCTCGACGGGACACCGACCCTCAACTTGGCATCGTTCGTCACCACATACATGGAGAAGGAGGTCGAGGAGCTCATGGTGTAAGTATGGGAGGTATATCGACTCGGTCGGTCTCTGACAGCAATGCAGTGACGCCTTCTCCAAGAACTTCATCGACTATGAAGAATACCCCGTCAGCGCTGATATCCAGAACCGTACGTCCGAGACACATGTACGTGAGAGGGTAATGGCTAAGCTACAACAGGATGCGTGTCTATGATCGCTCGGCTGTTCAATGCCCCATCTCATGATGAGGCGAACACAATCGGCACCTCGACTATCGGTTCCTCGGAAGCCATTATGGTGCGTCAAACATATTAAACTGAAGACTAGCGGCAACTGATATGCTGCAGCTGGCAGTGCTCGCCATGAAGAAGCTCTGGCAGAAGAAGCGCAAGGCCGAGGGCAAGTCGACCGAGAACCCCAACATGATCATGAACTCGGCCGTGCAGGTCTGCTGGGAGGTCAGTACTGAGCCGTAAATATTTACTACTGGATACTGACTGGATTACAGAAAGCCTGCAGGTACTTTGATGTTGAGGAGAAGTACGTCTACTGCACCAAGGACCGCTACGTGATCGACCCTCAGGAGGCTGTGGATCTGGTGGACGAGAACACCATTGGTATCTGTACTATCCTGGGCACAACTTACACCGGGGAGTACGAGGATACAAAAGCCATCAACGACCTCCTCATCGAGCGTAACATTGATGTCAACATTCACGTCGATGCTGCGTCGGGTGGTTTCGTCGCTCCATTTGTCAAACCTGATCTTCTGTGGGACTTCCGTCTCGAGAAGGTCACATCAATCAACGTATCTGGCCACAAGTATGGTCTCGTATACCCCGGCGTTGGATGGGTCGTGTGGCGCGACCCACAGTACCTTCCCAAGGAATTAATTTTCAACATTAACTACCTTGGCGCCGACCAGGCGTCCTTCACACTCAACTTCTCGCGCGGAGCATCGCAGATCATCGGGCAATACTACCAGTTGATCCGCCTTGGAAAGCGAGGCTACAGGAGGATTATGCTGAACTTGACACGTATCTCTGACTACCTTGCTGCGAACCTCGAGAACCTTGGCTTCATCGTCATCAGCCAGAGGAAGGGCGAGGGTCTGCCGCTGGTCGCTGTCCGTCTCGACGAGGATCTCGGCAAGCATTACGACGAGTTCGCCGTGTAAGCCACACCTTAGTGTCCATTGAACTGTATTAACAACAAGACAGTGCTCACCAGCTCCGCGAGCGCGGCTGGGTCGTCCCCGCGTACACCATGGCGCCGCACTCTGAGAAGATGAAGCTGATGCGCATCGTTGTGCGCGAGGACTTTACAAAGTCGCGGTGCGATGCATTGATTGCCGACTTCAAGCTTGCTCTGCAGACACTCGACCAGCTGGACGCAAAGAAGATCGAGGAGCACAAGGAGTAAGTCACTCAACAAACTTTTGTAAGCGGAAGGTGTGATATTGACGCGTCATAGGCACCAATTCGCCCTGCGCCGCCGTACGACGCTTCATCAGCCCGAGGCCAAGAAGAGCACGAAAGACATGTATGGAGATGAGGATCACAGTCTGCAGGGTCAGCACGAGAAGACTCATGCTGTGTGCTGAGCGTGCAAGCGCTCGAGTTAGCTCATTGCAGGCACGGATAAGAGGCGATGAGGCTAATGAAATTAGAAAGGCCCAATACATGCCATTGTTCGATGGTGACGAGCCTTTAGTTTTGTTCTTTTCACGCCTTGAACCCCCGATCGAGCACAGCTTTAGCAGCGGTTGACCAAGGGAAAGTCCGAAAACCTAACTGTGAAGGACGATGTCTTCTGCGCGCTCTTTGTGAGCATACAATCCCTCGTTTTTCTCCTTAATTCTTAAAAGTCTATCACCATTGTCCAGGTTGAAAAATGGTGAGGTTTCTCAGCTATGTTCTGAGTAACTTTGCAAAGTAATATACAGAGATGACCTGTCAGTCTCTTCCAGCCAACGCCGAAAAGCAAAAGTGTACTCAAGCATGTCCTTGAGGAAGTGGACATTCGCATTCCGAAGCTCTCCTGTACAAACGGCCATCTATCGCCGCTAGATTTCCTCCCAACACCCTCAACCTTCTCATGGTCTCAAAGCCTTGCAGGACACGATGAAATCCTTCTACCAGATCAAAGTGGCGAAGCTAGGAGGCGATGCACCGTCTCCACAACTCCGCTTAGGCAGTCCCCGTACAGCCTGTGCTCAAATCGTGTGCGTGCGTACATGTTCCCGCCAGCTCGGTGGAGGTGGACAGCGATATCGAGAATTGTAGGATCAAGTGCAATGCTTCGAAACCTCCGCCGAACTCTGCTATGCCACTCTACACGTTTCCTGGGTATTCAAAATGAAAACCTTGGCACTGATGCATTGTGGAGCTCCTCAGCACTGTGTAGAAGTACCCATGGGTGGAATGAATTTATTCTTCGCCACTCTGATTTTGTCCTGTAACTATTCTGGAAGATGACGCAAAGTGCCCATATGTGCCCAGTCCGCGTCGTCGAAACAGCCACGGAAGCTTGCGATGTGTTTCTGTATCGAGCGAAGTCTGGTCCGAGATTGATGTGTTCTCCTCCCTAGATACTACGAAGTCACATTATGGACTGCTCCGTTTCCTGCCCTTATGGACAGGTTGTGTTCTTCAAAAGTGTTCCTCGCACCCAGCTATGCGGCTCTCGTGTGCTGCAACTGTCTAGAACGGACCAAGGCTTCGTATCAAGGCCGGTGATCAGCAGATTTTGAAGCCTACAAGAAGAAGGTCGGGTTACTATGCATACACACCGAAGGGGTATTTCTCCACACAAGCCACCGCTTGCGTAACGTATTTGCTTACGCCTTCCATGATGAAAGCGCAACGTTTTTCGAAAGCAATTCCTGTATTATATCGAGATGACTGTCTCTCGCTCTCGTGTCGTTCATATCATGCGGGCTGTCACGGCCGTCTCGAGATTGACTTTTCCAAGCCTATGGATTGCAATCTTTCAATCGAAGCTTTGACAAGCCAGTCTACTGCAAGTCTGCGATCGCATTCCCCATGACGTCCACCTTCTTGTTCGATATGACTTCCAATACTCGCCTACTTCCGCTATTCTCAGAGCACAACCGCAAACCCTCCACCTGATCCAAAATGGGATGCAGCTCGTATGGAAGAGAAGGCCTGGAAGGACGTGCTGCTTCTTCCCAGAGTCTGGCCTCCCGCACAATCATGTCCCTGGCACTTGATCAGACCTACGGTATAAGGGCATGTGGCCAAGCAGTCTCAAGGTCTCACCTTGACTACCAAATTCCTTGCGGAATCTCCTTGCACGCTTATTCAGTTCCTGCGTCTTACCTCAATTCCCGAAAACCAATTACGCCCTCACTGATGCCGCCATTCTCCGTGCGCTCAACAGCACCGAGCTGAAGTTTGATGTTTTCTCTGGCCAACGAGTGAATAAGATACGGAAATCACAATGCTATGTTTCAGCAGGCAGTGGAAGTGTTCGCATATCTCTCAGCTCTGCTTTGTCCGCCTTTTGCACCTGCATAAAGTTGTATGATCAATTGCAATGTGTCAAAGGGACGAGAAGCTCCAACGATGATCTGCTTGCCGTTTTTGCTTCTGTCAAAATAGAACCATCTACAATTGACTCGATACAAGCACGATCAGCGAGCACGTTCAGGTGCGTGTACATGTCCGAACCCAGATTCCCCTCAACACGGAGAGTTACGCACGTGCGCCACGGACAGGGCTTGTCTGGCCGCCGTCCCGCGCCGCATCGAGAAGTCGAGAGCCTGGAGCAGTGGTGCTGGGACGTCATGCTTCGACGGTGGATAGGTCTTCGGCGGCGACAAGCACACGCTTCTCCGACGTGTGTCGTTCGTTACTCACCACGCCGCTTGCGACGCTGTATCCGACGCGCGTTCACACGGGGCAATAGTGTGTACATGTTCCCATCTCTCAGGCTACACTGCACTGCACGACACTATCCGTTCTCCTCGACCACATGATCAGCGCACGTATTTGAGAACAAAAAAAGTGCCAAAAGACGATACATTTTTGCTTTTGCGTTACATATCTATTTCGCTCAAATCAACATCTCAAACCCATGCATCGCTGCGCATCTACAGCTCATCGCGCGTCGCCTGTCCAGCATAGTCCTTCATCTGGTCCTCGTCCAACTCGACGCCGGCCTTCTTCAGCGCCTCCCTGAGCTCGTCCTGCGTCGGCCCGCGGTCGCCGTGTGCCTCGGCGTTCGGGCCGTCGTTCTTGACGTCCTCAGTCTCGGGCTCGGCGTGGGTGTCGGCGGGCTTGTCAGTCTTGCTCTTCTTTGCCTTTGCGGGCTTCTTGGCCTTGGGCTTGGACGAGGCCTTGGGCTTGGGCGGCTTGAAGTGCCTCATTTTCTTCGTCATCATCTCCATGACGACGTCATCGAGTTCCTTCTTGTACGCCTTGAGCTGCTCGACGGTCAGGATGGGCTCCTCGTGGCTGGCGAGCTTGCCCTGCTTGGCGCGCGTCTCCTCGAGCCATTTCTTGGCCTTCTCGGTGGCGTCGGAGATCTTGGTGCGGTCGGCTTCGGTGTAGATCTCAGGGACTTCTTCTAGCTCGGGAGCGGCGGACGCGGAGGGTGCGGACTCGGTGTCCTCCTCCTCAAGCTCGTCGAGTGGGTCGACAGAGGGGGATGCGGAGGGCGAGGCAGAGGAGGAAGACGCTGCCTCGGCGCTCTTGGTAATGTAGACGGCACGCTCAGCCATCTGGTCCACAACAAGAGCATCGACCTCCTTCATGCCGGCAATGGTCTCCTCGAGGTCAGTGATCGCACCGGGACGCTTCCACGACTCACGCCTGCGGCGAAGGACGGGGTTGACAATGTCCTCAAGCTCCTTGAGCTTGGCGCGGAGGGACTTCTCATCAGCGTTGGGGCCCTCGGAGTAGACCCACTCGGAGGCAGCGTTGAGCTTGTCTTCGAGCTGAGTGAGGACATCCTTAGTCGTGACGGCAGTGAAGTCGTCGTCATCAAAGTAGTCACGGGCGCGGTAAGTGTAAGCCTCGAGAGAGTTGAGGACTTCCTCACGAACGCGACGAGCCTTGTCAGAGGCATCGAAGGCGGCGAGTCTTCATCACGTTAGCATTGGTACAAGGCTCATCTGGGCTCGTGCTTACCTATCCTGCATCTTCTTGAAGTCCTTGCGGGCGTGCTTCTCGTAGCCAAGATGCTTGACATCAAAGGTGATGGCAGATCTAACAGTCCTCTTCTTAGGCTTTCCATCGTCAGATGCCTCAGCCGCCGCGGCAGAAGAGGACTTGGAGCCCTTGGACGACGTGGACGAAGAGGCAGACGCAGAAGAGGCAGACGCAGAAGAGGCAGACTCAGAAGAGCTCTCACTCTCCTTGAGTGCCTCCTGATCCTTCTTGCCACCCATACCGAACAAGTTCTTGACGCCATCGACGATCCCTGCCTTGGCCTCAGTAGCCTCGCAAGTAACCCATGCAGACGTGACCTCAGGAGTACCAGTGACAGGGCTGAGCCTGACCTGGACGTAGTTGCTAAATGAATCGCGCTCGCAACCCTCGTTGTCAATCAGCTTGGTGACAGTCTCAGTCAAGTTCAGGCTCTTGAACAGAAGAGTAGGCTCCTTGGTATCCTTGCCGCTAGCGCTAGGAACAGACTGGTGGACGGTGAACTCGAACTCGCCCATCATGTTGAAAGGCAGGTCCTTGGTAGCGCCGAGCTTGGTGCTGGGAGTAAAGATGTTCTGGTTCTTGGTCCGGAGGTTGTGCTTGTACTCGATGCTGTGGCTGTAGCCCTGAGTGTCCGAGTCGCGGATTTCCTTGACGCGGAACGAGGGGCTCAGACCAGCGGCCTTGAAGGCTGCGCCAAAGACAGCGGCCTCGTCCGAGTTGACGTTGGCCCTGATCTTCTCCTTGCCAGCAAGAGCCTCGAGGCGAGCCTGGACGAAGGGTGTACGAGTGGCACCGCCGTGGACAATGACAGAGTCGATGTCCGCAATGGTCAGACCAGCAAGTTCGAGAGCCTTCTTGACGGGGACATCAATGCGGACGGAGATGTCGGCCGTAAGCTGCTCAAACTTGGTGCGGTCCAGCTTGTACTTGAAGTCAATGTCCTCGAAGAACGACTCAAACGAGGCCTGCGTGGCCTGGTTGGCGCTAAGAACTTGACGGATCCTCTCCGCCTCCTTGAACATCTTCGCAGCGGTACGTCCATGACTGCGGACCTGCTCAGCGGTGATGGAAGCGCTCTTCGCAGCCGGGAGCCCAAGGAAAGTGTCGACGATATCGTCCACGATGAGCGAGTTCAACGCATCACCGCCCAGTGTCCTGTCCCAGCTCGCTCCCAGAACATTGACTTCCTGGACAGTCTTGTTGCGCTTGCCAACGTCCTTGACGCTCCTGCCCTGGAACTGCAGGACAGTCGCAGAGGCCGATCCAGCGCCCATATCGAACACAAGGTTGACCTCAGGCTGGCCGGGGTCCTTCTTGTCGTTGACGACGGGAAACGTCCTGCCAGTTGCGTAGTTGACACCGACGGCCACGCCATCGCTGACGACACTGAGGACCTTCAAGCCCGCCAGCTTCGCCGAGACGTCGAGCGCGCGCCTCTCCTCGACAGTGTAGAAGGGAGGAACGGTGAAGACGACATCCTGAACATCGTAGCCCGTGCCAGCCAGGGCCTTTGCGTTCTCGCGCACATTCTTCAAGACCATGCCAAGCACCTCTTCGACGGAGAAGCTCTTCTCGTCGTCCTGGGAGAAGATGCCGCTCTTGAAGCTGACCGTCTTGCGTCCCGCTGTGTCTGCAATTTCGATCGCGGGGTATCTGCCGCTGTAGGTCTTGACCGCATCGCTGCCGCTCGAAGCGCCGAGGAGGTGCTTCAGGTTGGGGTATACGTCGCCGGGGAAGCGCGCCTGGAGGGCAATGGCGTCGGCGCCGTAGAAGCGTTCGGGGAACGAGCCCTCGGGAAGCGCGCCGCTCTTGAGGGGCTTGAAGGCGATAGCAGACGTCTCTTTGCGGCGCGAGTCCTTTGTGAGGACGATCTCGAGGGGAACGCCGGGCTTGACGAGGGCGGCCTTGATGTATTCGGTGCCCAGGTCGACGCCCAGGACGGCCGAGGCAGCCGAGGCGGTCGACGAGAAGAGAAACAGCAGGCCGAGCAGCGTGGCTGCGGGGGAGAGGCTATTTCGCCGGCGTCCTGGAGGCGCCATATTGTGTGGTTGAGGTGCGCGAGAGTTGCGGTGTGTCCTCGAGGTGGGACGCTGAACAGCGCGCGCGGGGAGATCAAATGGGCACCAACACAAACGCTCGCAACACAAGACTCGAGATGGTAGACGCCAAAGACAAGCAGGCGGGAATTATCCCAGTGAAGCAAAAATGGTAGTGAGCTGTGCCGTACAGTGGTACATGCAGCGTGAGGGACAAGTGTTTCGGCGAGGTGCAGCTTAAAGGAACGCCGGAGCTTTATGACACGCTGGCTCCAACGTCGGTGAAAGGCCACATTGACGACGGGCGGATGCCAACTCTCACGAATCACAAAAGCGTATTGGATTGGATCGAATGCTGGTCACGCTTACATTGCTTTAATAATTGCCGGTGCCTGAAACACTGCGGGACAACGGTGCCCATCTGTCTCGCTATTGAGTGCTCGCTCTTCCTTCATGTCTCTGGCCAATCGGTGGTCTCGCTTCGCCGCAGCTGGGCAGCCCTCAGAGCTCCGTGTCCCCCCCCTACGCTTCACGCGGACCTGAGATTGGCGAGTGCCATGCTTCCCAAACCCAAGGCAACTGCCTGACCGGAAGCCATGGTGTTACGTTCTAGGCATAGATTCCCCAGGGCCGCTCAGATACCGCGGTTGAACTCGACCTTTCCATCTTGACCACCGCGCGCATGGAACTCCGGCTCCAACGAGGTCGCGCTCACGCTCTCCCTCTGCGGGAATGCACCAAGAGCCAGCGGCAGCGCAAAGACACTCGTGGCGAAGATCAGACCCAGATTGACTGGCATCGTCATCCTCGGCCTCTGCTTCAGCCACTCCGTCTTCTGCAGCCTGACCAAGATCAGAGGTGGCAGGACCATGACGGGTGTCGCATTGAGCACGCGACTGATAGCTGTCTCTCCCACTGCGATCGTGGCCGCCTTCTTGCTCTTTCCCAGAGGCGTGACCTCCAAGTCGCCGCTCGCAACGCGCTGCTTCTCCTCGTCGGTCAGGACGGGGAACACGGGGATGCCGTGCTTGATCTCCTCACCGCGCATGAGGAAGACATTGAGCACACCGGCGCAGGCGACGGCCGCAAAGGGGACGAGGCGGCCGGCGATGAGCTTTGCGTTCGGCGACAGGCTCTTCAGGCGGGGAACGGTGGCGTTGAGGCCGTATGCGACACCGCACGATGCGCTGACGGCGAGGAAGTAAGACTTGGCGATTGTTGCCGTGGAGAGCGGCGTGGCCTTGTTGGCGTTGGAGTAGTTGACGGCGACGTTGAGCGACTGGTTGGCGACCTGCCAGCCGAGAGTTCCTGCTGTCTGCGCCCCCTTAGCTCGTGAACCCAGGCTCGAATTGACGTGTTGCGTACCGTGAGGTTGGGTGTGAGCATGCCGACTGTGACGACCATGTTGGTCAGTACGAAGGCTGACATGCGGCACGGCAGCAGGACCGGCTCGCCCGTGTCTTGCTTGTCATCAGCTCTGTGTTCCTGCGCCTTCAAGGGCAATCGCGCGTACCGGGGTGTATTGTCGAGTCGATGATCTTCTTCGCGCTCCACAGCTCAGGCGTCATGTCCTGCATCTTGCCCGTCTTGTACGCGGTAACGAGTTGTTTGGCATTTTCGAGGCCCGCCGAGGAGGTGAAGAGAGTCCTGCATCGTGTGTGGTCAGTCGTGTAGTCTTTGAGGTTTGCCGAATGCTGAACAGTCATGGTATGCGTGCCGTCTACGAGGAGAACACGTGCAGGGCACGAATGCGAGTCAAAGATCGTGGACTCACCACGCCTTGCGTGTCCGATGTCACATCAATCGCCGCGCAGCTGTCTCACCTCGGGTCTGCGATGTTGGCCGCATGCTGCACGCGGCCCCAGTACGTCGAGAGGTCATACTGGGAGCTGGGGAGGTCGCGCGTTCCGGGCAGAGAGGACGTCATGGCTATAGACAGTACTTCGAGGCAGTGGCAGCCTCGTCGACTTTGCGCAGCTTCTTATCGGTGTTGGGTGGTGGAGTGCGCAGTCGTTCACGAAAATGTCCCTTCGCCAGAGACCCCGATTAGATACCGGTAGGGCGAGGTCGGCGGTGAGCTTCGACGCGCAAGCGATCCCAGGCCCCAATCGTCGATTAGAACATCTCATCATTGTCGCCGTGTCAAGCTTGCTGCAGTGTTTTCTTTCAAAGGCACAGTGATATTATTCTTTCCTCTTCAAATTCACGCGCGTCTATATGGCGCACTCAATGCAATGTCGCTAAAAATCTGAAGACGATGCCATGTAAGGCGGTAGATGCAGGTATACGCGAAGACAAAATGGAAGAACAAAGCCACACAGTTTTCGCAGCCCGGGCCGTAAATGTCGTATCAGTAAATCGATCATCTTTTCTTCTTCTTGTCCTTGGGATTGGGCGGTGGCGTTCCCAGGATAGCGTCAAAGGTTCTGCTGGGGTCGCTGCTCGACTGCGGTCGGTTGACTGGTGCAGTTGGCGGTGAGATGCCAGGTGGCAGAGGTAAAGCCTCGAGCCCCAGGTTCATGACGCTGTTGCGATTGTTCTGGTCGCGAGGGCTCTGCGATCGAGGTCGCAGCTGCGCTGACGACGGGTCCAGCATGCTAGGCGGTTGAGGTAGCGGTGCAGCGGTACCGTTGAGCTCTTGCATAGCTGCGTTGAGCAGTGTGTCTTTCGCAGCCCACTCCTGCGCCCTCTTCCAACAATGGGAGCGCCTGAACACACCCTCGACACCGTGCTCGACAATGTCAGTTGGCAGGCTGACGACCTGAGCACCACCCTGAACACCAAACCATGTTCGCGCTCTGGTTGTGTCATCACGGACCCAGGGGATACCACTGCGCGGGACCTCGCACAGGAAGTACTCAACCCCCTCAGTAAAACGTACACCAGGTGCGTCGACTACCAGCATGGGCAGTGATTGGAGCACTGCGTAGACAAACAGCCACTGTCCGCTTCGAAGCTCCCACAGCTCATCCATGTTTGATCCCGACGCCTGCTTCTTCTCGAAAGTGAGGAATGCCTCCAAGAACGGTGTCATCTGACGCGCATCCGCATTGGTCGCATTTTGCAGCATCTTCATGAGTTCGTCGCTCTTGAGCTTCTTACCTCGCGTTTTGGCGTCCTTCTTGTCGTCGCCAGTGGGATAATCAGGACGAATGCCGTTGAGAGTAGGATACAAAGGCAGGTCGAACGGAATCGGTGGCTGCACAGGCGGCGTGCTTCGATCGTACTCGCTGAGCGTCTTGCGCATAGCACGGGCGTTGACAGCTACAAAACCCATGCCCTCGTCCTCCACTAGGAACCCATCAGCGGTCCTATTTGTCAAATCCTTGCGGTCGACGAGCAAGTCGTACAGACTGGAGAGGTCGCAGTACATGTCTCGCAAGACCAGCCGGTTGAGGCCATTGGTCGTGAGGTTGTTCTTCTTGTTTCGAGCTTTCGGTAGCCACGAGCCATACTTGTGTTTGTAGTAATCAATCATCCAGCTCCTTGTGCTCATGAAGGCAGACCGCCACCTCTTGAAGCCGATCATCTTGCCCTCCGCCGCCATGGCACTGTTCATAATTCCGGAGAAAATTGCGGCAAACTCAAAGTCTTTCAGCTTGAGGTTGATGTTGTTCTCGCGGTTGTCCAAGTCCAGAGCTGCTCGTGCCATGCGAGTGCCTGTCTTCGGACTGATCATGTGCCATTTGGGTGAGTCTAGGCTCTTCACGTCGTCGTACTTGCCAACTGCGTGCACAAAGCCTTCGGTGTAGAGTCTCATGGAGCGCATCGTCTCGCCGAGCACAATGGCTTCGATCGTCTTCTCGCGGCTCTGTCTGACATCCGCCATGTTCAGCTCATCCACGTAAGCGTCAAAGCTTGAAGCAGCGACCTCACCAAAAGTGGATCCGTCGACATTGGAGAAGGCATAGTGGTTCAGGATGTCGGCGATGCGCAGGAAAATATCAAACATGTCCGAATGTTGGGGTGTTGCAACGAGCGACTGGCCTACAAGGAAAGCGAAGAAGTTGCGGTAGGTCACCAAGATGTCGGTGTCCTTCAGTGTCAGACGTGGCTCATGTGGAGTGATGGCGTCGTCCGAGCTCAGCGCAATCGGCATGTACATGTGCCTCTCGGTGTGGTCGTCCTCGGTTGCATCGCTGAGTGCTCTCGATCCCTTCGATCCGTCTGAACCGTCTATTTGACTCTGGTCTGGAGAGGCGGTGCGCGACATCTCTTGCCCTCCCTCAGTAGAGACCGGGCGCGAGCTGCGCACTGGTACCTCGTGTGGTGATGCGACAACATCGTCGCTGTAGAGGGTTCCGTGCACGAGGCGGGTGAGCGGTTCCGAAGCTGCGTATACAGAGGAGTCGATCTTGAACGAAGGACCCTTGCCCGAAGTCCGTGGAAAGAGGTAAACAAATGTGTCACCTTGGTCGTCCCACAGTTCTGGCACCTGCGCTGTCCGTTAGCATTTTCCACGTGGAACAAGCCGCTAGGCCGACAACTCGCGCAACACACCTTCTCGCCGTTCAACAGCATCGTCAGATTGTACGGCACCTTACCCTTGTGCCCAACAATCCACGCAAGCGGACTGTTCGCTCCGCCTGCGCGGCTGAGGTCGACTGAGCTGCCATTGCTGCTTCCGAACAGTCCGCTCTTCCGCCTGAGTTTCCTCAGTTTCCCTTCGTTTTCTACTCCGAGGTTTGGTGTGCCTGGCCGGCTGCCAAAGCCACCAGGGGACGAGCTGCGCGACGCCACATCGAGGTGTGGAGGGGGTTCGAGAGGCTCGAGGGCTGGTGAGCCCACAGGCTGGATGGTCAGCAGATTTGGGGGTGACTGGCGGCGCTGCGGGGACGGCGGCGGGTATTCGGGTGCTGTGAGGTGTGTCGCAGACTGCTGCGTCGACGCGGAGGCTGCTGAGGAGATGCGGGTCTTCACTTTGCTAAGGCGACCGCTGGATTCCGACGAAGCCGTAGAGTTGCTCTGATGAGGCTCTGAAGAACTCCCGCCCAGGGAGAACAGGCTCGAGAGCCGGTGGCTCGACTTCTTCTTGTCACCCATTATGGAAGACACCTCAGGACCTGGAGACGGAACAAACGGGGGGGTGGACGACGGCTATGGGGGCGCCTGTGGAGTGATCACAGTATACTACACAAGCATGTAGGCTACGGTGCAAGGCGAAATAGCAAATAGAGCTCTACGCAAGGTCGGCCGGCCGCTGCGGATACATGTACTGCGCGGAAAATCGTCAGACTAGAGTAGGGCCTAAGCATGCTATATTTGATCTCTCAATGCCGTCGCAGATCCGGTGGGCGGTGTCGCAGAGGGCCCAAACTTCGTCATCGTCTTATCCCAGTCGGAGCTGCGCTAAGCATGGTAGGCAATTTTCTTCGCCACAGCATGCATTCATTGCAGCTGCCTGTCATATGCGGCCTTTCACTCTCAGCTAATCCTCGATTGGTTCGATGTTCTGCTTTTCAAATTCGTATTTGTGGAACTCTCTGCGGACATCCTTTCAGCCCCTTCAGAGTACCTACGATCTTCCCCGGCGGCCATGGACCGTCGCTTTGGGACCTGCGCCTCGCTACAGCATGCAACTGAGCCCCGCAAGGATCGCAGCGGGACCCACGGCCGGTCATGTCTGCGGTGATACTACTGGCACTTGAACCAACACACTCTGACACTGTCAATGACTGCCACTGTCTCCATTCCATCACCCGTGACAGTAAGCGTACTGCACGCGCATCCAATACTCTTTGTGCGAGCATAGGGCTGAAGCGTCGTGCTACCGTTGCTTTTTTTACACATCCACCCAACAAACAGGACGAAGCATGGGCCGGCAGGCAAGCGGGGTGACGTATACGCTTACGGCCTTAGCAGCCGCCTCGTGGATCCTCTGTCAATTGTCCGCGCGCATCGCAATTGCGCCATACTGAGCGTTACTCACGCGCCAGAGTCGCTCTCTTGTCTAGCAAATGGCTTCGATGATTCACAACACATTCGTCTCTCATCTGATATAAGCTGGAAGACAACTGAAACCTCGCCCCGTGGCAGAGCACTGCATTCTCGCTCTCACCGACACAGCGCCGCGCACCAGCCACAACGCCCCGTAATCAGGTTGTTGCCCCGTTCACAAGCAAGTTGACGCGACACCCGCCCAACAATCAATACTCGTCCTTCATCCATCCGGTTTGGCAGCCGTAAGAAGCAGCAGAACCGTGGAAATGACTGCCGGCTTCTCCCCGCACAACATCGCCGGTTCGGCCAACAGCAAGAAGAAGCTAATCAATCTTCTGAGAGGGCACGTCAGCTCTACTCCACACCATACTTGCCAATTGCATTCTCCCTGCTTCAACCAGACCCTCTTTCAATATTACGCGGCCCACTATCTCGGCATCGTTCGCTGCTAATGACGATGAAACAGGTGGCCGAACCATTCCCTTTTACCCACGCAGCTGCTTGATAAGTCTGCCCACAGAGTGCTCACCAACAACTCCGTGGCTTTCCCAGCATTGGAGTATGGACCGGATCAAGGGGATGCAAGGTTACGCAAGCATCTTGCGTCGTGGCTGACGGCCTTCTTCAAGCCCCAGGATCCCATCACTGACGATCGAATCGCAATCTCGGGAGGGGCCTCGCAAAACCTTGCAGTCCTACTGAATGTCTTCACTGATCCGTCTTACACCAGGAAAGTATGGTTTGTGGCGCCAGCGTACCATCTGTCTTTCCGTGTGATCCAAGATGCGGGATTCCATGACAAGTTCCGCGCCATCCCAGAAGATAAGGAAGGTATCGACATCGAATACTTCAGAAAGGAGATGAAGAAAGTCGAAGAAGAGGCCATAAGCCAGGGCATTTCACAGCCAGTAGGTGCTCCCGCGGGCAGCTGAGCCTTGACCGGGCTTACTCTGTCCAGCTCGTCTCAGTAGCTTCGCATCGAGGATGTAGCATCACACAGACGGAGCACTGACAATGTGAGTAGAAGCACAAGCCAGCGCATCGACCTTGGGCCAAAGTGTACAAGCATGTGATCTACGCAGTACCGACGTTCTCCAACCCCTCGTCCAAGACGATGAGTCTGAGACGGCGGAAGGAGCTGCTACAGGTGGCGAGGGAGTACGATGCCCTCATCATCACTGATGATGTATACGACTTTCTGCAATGGCCAGCCAAGGTTGCCTCCGAGTCTGAGACAGCATCAGTAAAGCAAGCTCATCAGCCTAGAATAGTAGACCTCGATCGATATGAAGATGGCGGAGCTGAGCGAAAGGGCGCTGATGGCTTTGGGAACGCAGTCTCGAACATGAGCTTTTCTAAGATCTCCAGTCCAGGCTTGAGGTGCGGCTGGTGTGAAGGCACACCAAAGTTCGTCTCAGGTGTCGCAGAAGTGTAAGTTTTGACTTTTCTAATCTCGGTCATGTCTCGGTGGCGCGAAGCTGCAGTGGGATCTCCAGCCTTCGTATTCCGCAAGACCCTGAATATCAGACACAAGGCGCGATCGGCACGAGCCGAGACGACTCTTAGCCTCGCCTTCCGCTAGGGCTAACGATGGGCTTGTCTCGGTCGCAACGAACTGGACGACTGACCGTGTATCAGGGGATCGACTCACTCAGGTGGCAATCCTAGCCAATTCGCTTCCAACATCCTGGCTGAGGCCATGGAGAACGGTGAGTTGCAGCGGCGTGTGTATGAGCAACTGCAACCGGCATATGGCAAGCGTTATCGATCGATGGTCAAAGCCATCAACGACCTCTTAGTTCCCCTTGGTGTGCGATTGCCCCAAACAGACCGTGACATTGTTGGCGGTTACTTCATCTGGCTTACTTTGCCGGATGGCATGGAGGGTGGTGCGCTTGTGGAACGCGCCCGGGAGGATGAGAATGTTGTTGTCGCACAGGTACGTACAGACAGAGCCATGGTCATGGGAACAGCTGATAGTGACACACATTCAGGGCGAGCTGTTTGAAGTAAGTCTTCAATCCACGAGCGCGGTTCCTTTGCTCACAGAACCAGATTCCCGGTGACAGCGACCATCCACGTACGTCCTTCAAGAACGACATACGAGTCTGCTTCGCAGTAAGTCCTACTAGTCATCTAAGCCACTCATAGCTTACAAGCCAACAGTGGGAAGAGGAAGATGCGCTGATCGAAGGCATCGAGCGCCTTGCGACTGTGATCAAGATCATGCAACACGAGCACAACACTACTGGTAGTTACAAGATCCGGCTTCAGGTGGAGCAAGAAGCGAAGAACTTCTGGTAAGCGCATCGACGTCTACACCAGAAGCCGCAGCAAATGCCGCAACATGTCGATTGGCTGAGCAGCAGAACATATCATTTGTCACTATCAAGAAAGCTCAGCGTGTGTTACGGGCTGCTCACCAAACTTCCAACCGGTGCCCGACCACTGCGACAGATCGTTTGAGCCATTACAATTAGCCGCAGAGGACGATGGTGGACTGCTTATCCCCGCTATACGAGAGTAATGTCAGAATTCATGCCCAAGCATTCTATTCTACAACATGATTGGGCAGCTACGAATTAAACACGCTTTTAAGCATAAACGATCCGCGCGGTCCAACTTCCTCAAATTTGTGCGGACGCGCCACGCTTGCTATGGGGAAGAACGATTTTGACAGCAACTACCGCTTGAAACATTGTTGCGTTTGCACTTAACACCCTCACCAGGCGCTGATTGGTACGCACCTTTGGGCCCTCAAATTACGGTCTGAGGGTCCTGCCTATTCAGTGCACAACGTGGAGAGACACGCAACAGCATTCACGTGTCGCACAAAGCCATGTGCACAACGTCCAGAGCGCTTCGGCGCCGATATGCGGGGATGCGATTCTTGTGAGTGATGCGCGATGCTCGAGTGATGTGCAAGATGTGAAGCCACAGCAGTTGAGATGTCGGCGCATCTGATGCGGCCAAGTGACACCCGCAGACGCCCTGCCTCAGCGGCGATTCGCGGCGCACCCAGGCACGATCTGCCGCGGCCCGTCGCGTGTACGAAAAGGCCCTTGGCTGGCGACCAGTGTTCACAAGAATCACCGCTGAAGCGCTGGTAGCGAGCCTATTTGCATGCAGCCACTCCCAGCCAGTAGACGCTTCTGTGCAGATAATTCGAAACATCTTTTCTGTTTCAGGCCTGGTCTCGCTTGTTTGGTTGTGGCTGCTGCACCAACCAGATCCCTGTCGCGCCAGGCACAGGATCGCCAACTTCAGCAACTTCGCCCTCACTGACTGGCCCACGACAGCCTGCTGTTTCACCCGCGTAGGTGATGCCAAAATAGAGAGACACTGTGTTCCCTGCTAGCAAACATCCCTGGGCAATTTGACTGTGGCGCAAGGTCACACAAGGTCGCATTCCTAGCTTTGCCTCAGGAGCCCCTTACGGGCAAGGCATGCGGATCGCCAACATGGCCACCGGGCCTTCTCGTTATGGGGTGGAAGACAGTGACGAGGAGGCACTGGAATCAGAGACAGCGCAAGAGTATGATGAAGAGGTGAAAGCGAGGCGGTGGTACCATGCTGCGGAGGATGGTATAAAGTGGGCATTATCGGCTGGGCAGTACGAGTCGAGCACTGCAGAGCGAAGAAGTCGACCCGTCTATTCGAAACTTGAAACAAGGAGCTCTGCTGAACTTGATTGGCGAGACCCTGACGTTACTATTGTAAGCTCCCACCTTCAATACAGTGTACTTATACAGTGTCACCCGCTGTCTTCACCTCCCACGCAGGCACATTGTCAGCTCGCAGCATTGTGTTGCTTCAACTTCAATTCCTATTGTTCTTCATCACTCATTTATTGAAGAACACCATTTCTACTCTTCCCTTCCATCATATTCGTTGCTGAGCAACTCCGCCACATACTTATACCCACCTTCTCTACATTCCAGCCACGCGTCTCTTGCCGGTCAACTGACGACAAAAATCATAGCCTTCGCGCTCATCTCGATCTTTCAGACTACCGAAAAACAAAACCTATCTAGCTATCATGGTGGCTTTTAGCGCTGGTGCGCTCCTATTGGCGCTGCGCGTCCTCATCGCCGCCGCCCCTTCCACAGCTGCTCCCATCGCTGCGCCAGCGCCACAAACTTCTGCACCGGCCGCAGCAGCTTCTGGCTACTGGTTTGCTGATATCCAGCGTCAGGGTGTTGCTCCTTACAATGCCAACAAAGATGCCTACAAGATCTTCCGCAACGTGAAGGACTATGGCGCCAAGGGCGACGGCACAACCGACGACACAGAGGCCATCAACAAAGCCGTCTCTGATGGCGCCCGTTGCGGGCAGGGCTGCGACTCTTCGACTACGACTCCTGCGATTGTTTACTTTCCTGCTGGTGTATACGCTGTCTCGGCGCCGCTCATCCAATACTACTACACCCAGTTTGTTGGCGACATCAACAACCTCCCCACTCTCAAGGCCACGGCCAACTTCCAGGGAATGGCTGTTATCGACGCAGATCCATATATCGAGGGAGGCAATGGCGCTAATTGGTACACTAACCAGAACAATTTCTACCGTCAGGTTCGCAACTTCGTCATCGACATCACTGCCGCCAAGGCCACCGCCGGTATTCACTGGCAAGTCTCCCAGGCTACCTCTCTCCAGAACATCCGCTTTGAGATGGCCAAGGACGAGGCTGGCAAGGACCAGAAGGGTATCTTCCAGGACAACGGCTCCGGTGGTTTTATGACCGACCTTGTCTTCAACGGCGGTGGTGTTGGTGCTTTCCTTGGATCCCAGCAATTTACTACTCGCAACATGACCTTCAACAACTGCGGTACCGCCATCTACATGAACTGGAACTGGCTTTGGACCATGAAGAGCATCTTCATCAACGACTGCAAGGTCGGTCTCGACATGGCGAACAGCCCCTCCAACCAGACTGTAGGCTCCGTCCTCATGCTTGACAGCAAGCTCACCAACACTCCCATTGGTGTGAACACCTCCTTCACTACGGACAGCATCCCTACCACTGGTGGAACCCTCATCCTTGAGAACGTCGACTTCACTGGCTGTGACTCAGCCGTCGTTGGCGCCGCTGGCAACGTCCTCGTCAAGGGTGGTAGCAAGGTTGAGGCCTGGGCTCAGGGTAACGCTATGGCTGCTGGCGGTGCGCAGGGTCGCGTCCAGGGTGATATCAACAATGGTCCCGCTAAGCCTGCTACTCTGCAGGGCGAGAACGGCTGGTTCGAGCGCAGCAAGCCCCAGTATGGTGACGTTGCTGTCTCCAAGTTCGTCAGCCTCAAGTCCAAGGGCGCCAAGGGCGACGGAAACACGGATGACACTGCTGCTATCCAGGCTGCCATTGACGGCCTCCAGGATGGCGAGATCCTCTATGTCGACCACGGCGCTTACCTCATCAAGAAGACCATTGTCATCCCCGCCGAGAAGAACGTCAAGATCCAGGGTGAGGTCTACCCCATGTTCTTCATCACTGGCGACTTCTTCAGCAACATGGACGACCCCAAGCCTGGCTTCCAGGTCGGCGCGAAATCTGGTGACAAGGGCACCTTTGAGATGAACGACGCTATCATCGGTACCCAAGGACCCGCTCCCGGCGGTATCTTGATGGAGTGGAACATCAACGCCGAGGCTGGCAAGGCTGGTCTCTGGGACGTCCATTTCCGTGTTGGTGGCTATGAGGGCACCAAGCTCCAGTCTTCCAACTGCGCAAAGAACCCCAACGCCACTCACAGCGCGAACCCCGACTGCATCGGTTCTTTCATGCAGCTCCACGTCACCAAGTCTTCCAGCGGCTACTTCGAGAACGTGTGGCTGTGGACTGCTGACCACGAGCTCGACCAGGCTGATCACGGCCAGATTGACATCTACAACGGCCGTGGTATGATCGTCGAGTCCCAGGGCCCTGTCTGGCTTGTCGGCACCGCCTCGGAGCACTCGCAGATGTCTCAGTACCACTTCCAGGGCGCAAAGGACATCTGGTACGGCGCGATCCAGACCGAGACTCCCTACTACCAGCCTAACCCCAAGGCCGATGTTCCCTTCACCAAGAACACCAAGTACTTCGACCCCGACTTCTCCGAGGGGCTGACATCTGCCTGGGCCGTGCGTGTCATTGACAGCTCCAGCATCTGGAACTACGGCGCGGGTACCTACTCGTTCTTCAGCAACTACGACCAGAAGTGCGTTCCTGGCCAGAACTGCCAGGAGCACATCAACGAGATCTCCAACTCGACCAACGTCAACTGGTTCGGTCTGTCGTCCAAGGCGTCGGTCAACATGATCACGTCCAACGGCAAGGGCTTGGTCAAGGACGAGGACAACCGCAGCAACTTCTGCGCCACGCTCGCCATTTTCGCGCAGCCGTAGATGATGCGTGGTGGTGCGTGTTCCGAGTAGTCGTTTTTGTTTCTTTCCCACTACGATGGGCCTTGTTGACGTGGTTATCTTGTCTGTGTACTTCTACCACTCGTCGAGAGTGGAATCACTAGAATGGCGATGGATAGCCGAGCATATCTTATACCCCGGGTTGGAGTTTGGTTTTAGCATAAACATGTAGATGGTCTGAATTGATCTGAGTTCTCTCAACTAGCTTTCCCTACCGTGATGGTGGTTTGATGGTGATGGAAACCTCCCCCCCACAATGCACGTGGAGGGGGGAAACTGCACGCGAAGCCGTGCGCGAAAACTTTCCCCGCTAAACCTGGCAGTCGCGCTCTTAAGAAAATAATACGTCAGCTCACCAACTCCCACGCCCCGCTTCACACGGCGATTGGACATGACAGACGACGGCGAGAACAACGGGCGACCCGCAAAGCGCGCGCGCCTCGACGACAGCGCCGCCTCGGCCGCGACACCGCAGGCCACGCCCGGCTCAGGGCTGAACGCGCCGTCGCAAATCGAGACCGAGTACGAGAAGGAAGCCCGCGCCGGGATCGCAGAGTACATCACACCAGACAATCTGGGCTTCACGGGCATTCTGAAACAGCGGTACACGGATTTCCTCGTCAACGAGATCGGGCTTGATGGACAGGTGCTGCACTTGAAGAGCACGCAGCCCGAGAAGAGGAAGAAGGATGTGAAGGAGGCGCCCGTGAAGACGGAGGTCGAGACGGAGGTCGAGACGGAGGTCGAGACGGAGATCAAGCCGGAGGTCAAGCCGGAGGTCAAGCCGGAGGAGAAGCTTGAGATCAGGGAGGAGACGGAGACTCCCGCTGTGGCTGCGCCTGGGTCTGTTGCGCCGCAGGAGGAGAAGCCTGCGCAAGCGGAGCCAGCGGCCAAGGCAGAGGCAGAGCAGGCGGGAGAGGAGACGTTTGCGATTGCCGGCGCGCCGAAGAAGGAGGCAAAAGAAGAGCTGTCCGAGGACGACACCAAGCTGCTCCACTCCATCTTCGGCGAAGCCACAACCACGCAGATCCTCGCGCTCGTCCAGAGCATACGAACCCGCGAAGAAGCGAAGGCGCGCAGCTTCAAGCCCGTCACATCGGCCCCAATCCTCGACAAGGAGACACGCACAAACGCACACCAGTCGATTCGCCGCATGTTCCCGAACCTCCTCGAGACGTCCATGGAAAACGACCAGTCGATCCGGATCAAAGCCAACCCGCCGGCCGAGCGTAAAAGCAAAGGCGGCAGGGGAGACCGCGCCAACGGCGACCATGCGAAACATCGCGGCGGCCAATTGGTGTGGGAAGAGCTGGGCGGAGAGTACCTACACTTCTCGCTGTACAAGGAGAACAAGGACACAATGGAGGTCGTCGGCTTCCTTGGGAGCAAGCTCAACAGCGGCGCGAAGGCGTTTGCTTTTGCCGGCACCAAGGACAGGCGCGCTTGCACTGTGCAGCGACTGTGCGTCAAGCGACAGACCGCTGAGCGCATCGCTGGGTTCAACAGATCGCTCTTCAACGCTGCAGTGGGCGACTTCGAATACCGCAACAACGACTTGAAGCTGGGTGATCTGATGGGCAACGAGTTCACCATCACGCTGAGAGACTGCAAGTTCCAGAACGAGGAGGGCATGAATGCTGTGCAGAGAGAGGTCTTCGCCAATCAAGTCGTCGGCAAAGCTATCAACGACTTCTCCGAGAAGGGCTTCATCAACTACTACGGCCTCCAGCGCTTTGGATCTTTCGCAGCTAGCACTGACCAGGTCGGTCGCAAGATGCTCCAAGATGACCTGGAGGGCGCCGTCAACGACCTTTTGAACTACAGCGAGGTAGCACTCGCCGCAGCACAAGGCACAGGCGACTCCAGCATCCTCGTCTCCCAGGATGACCGCAACCGCGCAAAGGCTCTCCACATCTGGAGGACCGAAGGCAAGGGCCCTGCAGCCCTGGAAATCCTCCCCCGCAAATTCACCGCCGAGCGAAACCTCATCCAGCACCTCGGCTCCCGCAACTCCAAGTCCGGCAAGCACGACCGCAGGACCGACTGGCAGGGCGCCCTGATGACCATTCCCCGCACCTTGCGCCTCATGTACGTCCACGCCTACCAATCGCTCGTCTGGAACGTCGTAGCCGGCAAGCGCTGGGCCACCCACGGCGCCAGCGTCGTCGAAGGCGACCTCGTCCTCGTCAGCGAACACGTCGACAAGACTGGCAACACCTCATCGACAGCAAACACAACCATCGACCAAGACGGCGAATTCATCATCAACCCCTCGGGCACCGAGAACGCCAACGCCGCCACCGAGGACTTCGAGCGCGCGCGCGCTCTGACCGCCGCCGAAGCGCAGTCGGGCATGTACACAATCTACGACATCGTGCTGCCGCAGCCGGGCTTCGACGTCGAGTATCCACGCAACGACATCGGCGCGTTCTACGAGGAGTTCATGGCCAGCGAGCGCGGCGGCGGTCTGGACCCGCACAGCATGCGCCGCGCGTGGCGCGAAGTCAGTCTAAGTGGTGGGTACAGGAAGGTCCTGGCCCGGCCACTGCGGCCGCTGGAGTTCCAAGTGCACGCGTACACGAAGGAAGACCAGCAGTTTGTGGAGACGGATCTGGATAAGATCAAGAAGGCGAGGGGGAAGAAGGAGGGCGAGCGGGAGGGCGGGGATGTGGAGATGCAGGAGAGCGAGGGCGAGAAGAAGATTGCTGTGGTTGTCAAGCTGCAGTTGGGGAGTAGCCAGTATGCGACGATGGCGCTGAGAGAGTTGATGAAGGCTGGGGGTGTCAAGGCGTACAAGCCTGAGTTCATGGGCGGACGGTAGAGAGCGCACAGCGACCGCATGTTGCAACAGGGACTCGCGCACGCACAACAGAAAATAATCGGTTTTCCTGTCAGCCTAGGACGCACCTAGACAGGAAGCCTACGCTATCCACCGTTTACTTGAAATCTCCAAACTTGTCGAACCAACCAAGCTAGCGCAGCCCTGCCTACCGGTACCCCACCTTCTTCACTCGCACACCACCGACGCACCATGATGAGCACGTTGGTGTCGTTGTGCGACTATGCACTACACTGCGCTTGATACAAAAAAGCATCAGATCAGGCTACTTCACCTTGCACCGTCCCCGGATCGACGAAGGGCAATCACCTGTCATTTCCGCACCATCTCACTCAGCCATGATACTCAGCAGTCCCGCTACGAGGCGCTCTCATATGCTTGGGGTGATCCCATCTTCAATCGCTCCATCAAACTGGGCGGTTCGCACTTCGCAGTCACGGCGAATCTCAGAGTCATCTTGAGGGCGCTGCGACTCACGCATCAAGAACGCGTCTTGTGGATTGACGCCGTCTGTATCGACCAGCACAATATCCAGGAACGGTCTCATCAGGTCTCGCGCATGAACGATATCTACTCGCACGCCGCCAACGTCGTCATATGGCTTGGTGAGCCTCTGTCAGACGCGGCGCTTGCTTTTAACTTTCTTCAAGAGTTTGGGCGACAGCGCAATGAGCTACCCATGTCGACCGATGAAGATCGTAACACGGAACAGACAGCAATGGCAGTGCGATCGCTGCTGATGAGATCATGGTGGACACGTATCTGGACAGCCCAAGAATGGATCCTCGCTGGAAGTACGACGTTTCAGAGCGGACAGTACACACTCGGAGGAGATGTGCTCATCCGATGCCTAGAACACTACCGCTATCATGCGAAGAGTACCGACTGTTGCGGCATGCACCTAACATCAGACATCTTGTTCAGACTGGGCGACTCGCTCCAGCCATTGTTCGCCCTGGACGCGGTCAGGCAGTCCTACTCCCACCAGGACTTCTCGAGCAGCCTGGGTTACCTCCGCATGCGGCAGGCAGCGGATCCGCGCGACAAAGTCTACGGCGTTCTGGCTCTCGCGGCATCTCAATATGCCGGTCTCTTGAGAGCTGACTACAGCGCAGCCGTTGAGCAAGTCTACGAGCAACTTGCGATAGCACTGATCGATCGGACCAAGCGGCTCGACATCTTCAGCCACATTGTCCCGAACCAGCCACAGCGTCTCAGCGTTGCTTCGTGGGCGCCGGACTGGACCGTGGACATGGGCAAAGAGTACAGTAGCGACTGGACCGAGAGATTCAGGATGATTGAAAAGTACGACGCGTGCGGGACGTGCGACGTTGCCGAATACCGAGCTGTGTCGAGCGTTCTGCACATCAAAGGGCTTGTAGTCGATACCATCGCGGCACTCGGCATCAGGCGCTTAGGGTCGTACAAGAAAACCCGCGCATATCGAAACCAGCTGCTGGACGAGATGTTCAAGATGGCAGAGCCAATCGACACAGGATACTACCACAGATATCACGGTCAACGACAGACTAAAAAGGAGGCGTTTTGGCTCACCGTGTGCGGCGGCTACGAAGACATGACGCAAGAGCGAACCCAAGTCATCAGCGAGCCGCACATGGATGATTTCGAAATGTTCGAGAAATGGGAGGCCTGGTTCAGGGGACCGCGGATATCCTACCAAACCCACGATCATCGGCTGCGCAGTGTCACGGATAGCATTGCGGCTGTGAGCAAGGGCCGGACGTTCTGCCGCACTGCTGCGCAGGGCCTCCTGGGATGGGTGCCGAAGAACAGCGTCACAGGCGATGTCGTAGCTGTCCTGACAGGGGGAACAATGCCCATTGTACTCAGGCCGCATGACGGCTATTGCACCGTGGTTGGCGACGCTTACGTCCATGGGATCATGGATGGCGAAGCATTGCACTCGTCCAGCTCACTGAGTCATCTCGAGTTACACTAGCCACACGCTCAATGCAAACACCCATCTACATGACACAATCTTGAGCTAGAATCCTCAAGAGTCCAGGAACGGGACGGGAATGTTCCTCTGCCTATACCCATACCATTTTGGCAGCGTCCGCGTCGGCAAACCCTCGGTGCTGAGCTGCAGATCCTCAATCGCACTGGCCCACTTCAACAACGTGCCTTCACTCCACGCAGTACCCATCAGCGCCAGACCAAACGGCATGCCTACATTTGCCTTCACACCGGCCGGGATGGTGACAACAGGATACCCTGCCTGAGCTGAGAGCTGATACGACTGGCCAACATCCGCGGGGGCGAGCAGTACATCCACCGGCCGTCCGTTGTTGGCTAGCGCTGCATCGATGCCGTCTTCTCGCGTGGCTTTTTGCGTGAACGCAAGGGCCTGGTGGTACGTCGAGTCCCTGACGCCCTTCGTCTCCAGCGCAGCGAGGAAGCCGTCTTGGCCAGAGTAAAACGCGGGAACGCCGAGCGGCCAGGGGTTTCCGCCCTGGGTGCCGTCGTTGGCATAGTTGTAGGCCACCATGTCCTCCAGCGAGCGGATATCTGTGTTCTCGAGCCCGGACAGGTACGTCTTGATGTTGTTGTAGAAATCGACCTTGACGACGGTGTACTCGGACTCGTTGGGGTAGCCGCGCTGCGTGCCGTAGTCCCAGTTCCAGCCATCGGGCGAGATGGTCAGTTCGCGATTGGGGATCTCGGTGTTGTTGAGCACCGTCGCTCCCGCAGCCTTGATTGCTGCGACGAGTGCGAGCAGCTGGGCTAGCTGGTCGGCGTCGGCGTGCTTCCAGAAGCTGGCCCAGGGGATACCGAATGTTGCGTTCTGTAAGCTGGACTTGGTCTTCAGGTACGGCATGTAGCCACCAGGCGGTGTCTTGCCCTTTTGAGCGAGGGTGTAGTTGTCGCGGGGATCAACCCCGTGGATGGCATCAAAAGCATATGCAGCGTCACGCACTGTGCGGCCAAATGTACCTACGCTGTCCTGGTGCTCACACTCTGGCACAACACCGGCCCTTGAAGTCAGCCCAACTGTAGGCTTGATACCAACCAGCGCATTCCTCTCAGCGGGATTGATAACGCTCCCATCTGTCTCCGTGCCCAACGAGAACGTCACCACGTTCGCAGCGACAGCGGCCGCACTGCCAGAGCTGCTCCCACCCGGGTTCAGAGCAAGATTATACGCGCTCCTCGCCTGTCCGCCGCGCGGCGAGTACCCTTCCGAGTAGTTATTCGACCGCATATCAGCCCATTCCGAGAGCGTCGCTTTGCCCATCAGAACCGCACCCGCCCGTCGTAGCATGGCGACTACATGAGCGTCCCTCGGCACGACACTCCCGAGCAACATGGGACTTCCACAGGTCGTCTCCATCCGGTCCTTCGTCGCAATATTATCCTTGACAAGAAACGGAATCCCATGCAACGGTCCGCGCACAACGCCAGCTGCCCGCTCAGCATCCAACGCAGCAGCAATCTCCTCAGCATCCGGATTAATCTCCATGACAGACCCGATGTAGCCATCAACCTGCCGGACCCGGCGTAGATAGCACCGCAGAAGTTGAGTCGAAGTAAGCACGCCACTTTCCATGTAGTCCGCGAGCTGATCGACGGTGGCTTCTTCAAGCGTAATGCCCTGGCAGTCTGGCATGGGGAACAGCGCCGAGGTATTCGCAGCATCTTGAGGCGGGAAGTAGTACGGAAACGGGTTCTGGAGCGGATCGACTTCGATGATGCTCGACGCGTTCTGTGCGCTCACGATACCGGTAAAAGTGAGGCTCGAAACAACCACGCTGGTTGTCGTGAGATATCGATACATCATACCGAGTAGATCGAGGACCTGTGGAGAACACAGAAGCATCGCAATGGTGGCGCTTGCGATCGTATATGTACCTGCATGCATGTATGTACGAAGTGTTGCAGCTCAACGCATGCCTCATCGGATCGGTGATGCAATCAAGTGTACCCCACTTCCGGGGGGGGGGGGGGGAGGCCTGACAAGCGGTGACAGAGGCGTTTGGTCGCACAACACACCCGTTACACCCGTGTACACATCCAGAAAGCATGGCGAGGAAAGCGCGAGGATGGCGTGTAGAGTGGATCCCCTGTCACTCGTCATTCGCTCCCTTCCGTAGGATTGATATCTTACTTCGTATCATGCACACCATGTACCTCGATAGATCGAAGCTTCTCATATTTGCTGTAACGGGCGTGCAGATATACCGCCGTAAGTCCAGGTCAAGACGCACCCACTGCAGCCACACTCTTCACGTTGCTAAGGCCAAAGGGTAAAGTGCTTGAGAAGTCAGCTGCCAGTGTTCTGACAGCAGCAGCTTCAAACATCTGTACTGACAAACTGGGTATGGATTGTCTAGTATGCGGCTAAGATAGGCTCTGTCTGATATGGGTCGTGTGAGGTCTTTTGCTCTGGATCGCCCCGACATCATGCCATGAGTCTTCTGCCTCCCAACACTCACCGCCGACGGCTTGCTTGGCGGTGTTCACAACGTGCAAGCACCGAGCCCGTCGCATCGTAGAAGTACTCGATCTGCGATCCCTTCCGCCTCGCACAACCCGATTGCCTCTCCAGGACTCGTCGTAATGACTGTCGGTTCTTCAAATTCGCATCGTCTAGGAATCTTCGTAAAGACTGTCGGTTGTTTAAATTCACACCGTCCGGGGCTCCGAGGTTCGTAATGTCGTAGCAGCACACAGCGTAGGCAATTCTCGCAGCAAGCCAGTGCGCAGAAGTCGGTATATCATTCTCGTATCGCCCTTCGACACAGCTCTCATCCATACGTGGTATTGCTGGCACTACAAGAACATCAGCCTCATCATCACCAAACCGGCGCTGCATCCAACATACTCTACGCTTGCAGTCGCAGGCCGCAGGTTACTCCGACTCGAAGAACTGTACATCTGTTGCTTCTGGACGAAGTAGTGCGGCAGCTTACCCCACGTCCTCTCTCTGACCTCGCGCATGTACCGATCCTGTTCGACCGAGCGGCTCATGTAACTGGTATCCTGCGCCTCGTCGCCGCCCCAGAAGCGCATCACCGCAAAGCCGCAGCAGACGAGCGCGCCGGCGCCGAGGATGACGAGGAAGATGATGAGGGACGGGGCGACTTGGAAGCCCATGTTGTCTCTTTTGTCGAGGTACATGATTGCAGTGGTGTGGCTGCGTCACTGTGTGAGGAATTGGTCGATTGGCGAAGAAGTTCGATGGAAATTGATAGCAAGCACTCGCAATCGAAGAACAAAGTCGCAGAACCCCTCTCAGTCCTGGATGCCGGCTGGCGTATAAGATGCGGGACGTCCGGAAGCCGTCTCCAATGGTGTGCTGGTCAGCTGTGGCCGTCGGGCTTACACTCGCTGGCGTAGCGCAGCAAACAACCTCAAATCGATATCCGGGACGACGGGAATAGGTCGCACAGGGAACAATAACATTGGCAAGCCCGGTAACAGCACGGCGATGTATACGATGCTGCTTTTGAACATGATTGCTGCCTTCGACCCGCCCTGCGCACTTCACATGCCGACGTTGGACCTGACGTTCCGTGTCATGACGTGCCCTTCACCCAAGCATTGTCATTGGTCTCAAAATACAGATTCCCACGTGTCCCAGGCACACCAAGACTCCGAGGTCTGCGCGACCCACCTTTTGACTCGGAAGAGCATTCCTTAGTGCCAGGTACGCGTAAGATGTTTCGGTCTTGGTGGGTGGTTTGCCGTGGTGTTGCTGCGGATGGGCCGGCGTGGCTGTGCTGACGAATACGACCGCGAGTGCGGCGGGAACGAAGGGATCGAGCGGATTTTTGACGCGGGCTTCTAGGACTCTGGGCATTACCTGAACGTTTCATATCACTATTCTCCGATTCAATGTTGAAAAGTGGGAGTCTCCAATCATGTATTCGCCGCGATGATTGCGCTGTTACCTCTAGATTGTGAATGTTGAATCTAGTGATGGAGATCGTTGAAGCGAGCAAGTCGTCGATGCTGACGCGTCCATGCGCTCGTCAGCATCGACAAACTCCGCGTGTGCTGTCTGCCTCGCCGAACCGAATTGGGATCAGCCACTAGGCCCTTCGAGCGTTACTCATGTTCTGGCCATCTGTAACGGCCTAAACCTGGGTGTCTCTCCATGAATTTCCCCATACATCACTCGTAAGGATCGGCAAGCTTGGGACAAGATGTATGACAGTGTGGCAGAAGTATTGCCGGAATAAGAAGCCGTTGATCATTCTGGTGTCGACGAATAGGTCTTTGCATTATATTGGCATGTCCAAGATGCTGGATTGCAGCGCTGTAGATCGACTTGGATCGTGGAGCTGCTCGAACAGATACAAGCATATGTATCTAGTATCTTGCTCTAGGGGTACAGCTGTATTTGTCAGCAAAGTTAGGAGGTTAAACACATGCTCAACTTACAAGATTCACAAGCCAAAGGGCCATGAAAACACCGCCAACTCTGTAGAACATCTTCTTGCGCTCTCCTTTCTGCGCCTTGCGACGGCCCTCTACGTCATCAATACTCTCGCTATCCGAACGGTGCCATCCTGGCAGCTCCATGACATCCCCATTCGCGGCTCTCTCTTGCTGCTGTCGATTCGCAGCAGTTTCCTGACCGTGGATCAACCACGCCGTAGTCATATTCGTAGCTCCGTGCACCTTCCACGCCATCCACACGAGAATTGGGGTCAGAAAGACAACATCGCGCCATTTGTCGTTCAGGAACATACCGCTGCTGTAGCGGAACCCGATACGAAGGACGCCCTTGCCGTCACCGGCCAGCCAGATGTGCTGCGAGAGGATGTACACTTCCAGGGATACGCGGCCGAGCCAGGCGAACGATGTGCAGTACCGTGCACGAAGATAGGCTGTGGCATTGCGAAGGACCACAAAGGATAGCGCGGGAAGCCAGGCGGTATATGGCACCCACCACTCGTAAACACCCTTGACTTTGGCGAGCTGCATCAGGACCAGGAAAGTCGGTATGGTGATGATCGCGAACGCAAGTAGAAGAACTTGGTAAACGACGAAGTACTGTTTGATCAAAGAGCCAAAGTCGTCGAGGTGCTTGTGCGGCGTCCGAAGTATCGAACGGACCCTGACGTTGACTAATGCGACCAAGATCCCGACGAAGACGACGTACTGATCCATACCGAGATGGGAGCGCACATTGCCGACGTCAATATTCGCTCGAAAGACAATGCCGAAGAAGGAAGCCCACAGCTCCAGGATCCCCTGGGCATGAACAAACATCGTAGTTACCAACCCCGCGAGCACGACCTTGACCAGCAGCAGTCCGAAGGTGTTGTTCCACTGTCGACCGATTCTGAGCGTAAGAAATACCACGAGGAACCAGAAGGTCGTTAAAGGAGCGAAGTAGTACGAGGTGTACGGCCTATCCATCGCCAGTGCGAGTAGAACAGGCAGCGTGTTGAGCCGCAATACCACGCCCAAGACACGTTGTACAGAGAAGTCATTCGTCCGTAGGAAGTAGGTAGCGTGGCCATAGCCGGAGAGGAGGAGGTACAGCGCGATGAAGATCCGGAATACCTTGAAGAAGTCCATAACGTCAGACGCGCCCGTGTATGCATACACCAGGACGTATATCTGCATCCAACCCTTGAACTCCTCGGAGATCTCTCGAGGCAGGAAAGAAACCGATCGTACAGCGTTCTCTGATGATCGTTTTCGGCTTTTGGCGGTAGCTGGAGAAGGAACGCTTTGGACATTGAACAAACATGTCAGAACTGTAACGCCCAGCATTACCCGGAAGTCGATATTAGCGAACTCCTTCGGGATCTTATCAAAGACGTGTGTTCTGTCGGCGATGAAGCAATACACCGCAGCAAGCATGAACACGGCGAGCGCATCAGCAAGGTGAGCGATGCGTGACCTTTGATCTGGGCTGCGCAGAAGGCTGGTGACTGTCAGCGCAGCAAGTGGGGCGGAAAGAATCGTGGCGATAATCTGAACCCAGTTGACGGGTCTGTAGGCACTGCAGCAGGTACGGCTAAATGGATAGCCATGCTTTTGCGCGCTCTTCGCGTTGCACCGGTAGTTGAGTACAATATTTGCCATCTGTTTTGCAATGCGATTGGTGACGTGCAGTCCACTCTCACCGACCGTTTCAGGCCAATCCGCAGTCATCTCCCGGTACGTCCAAGGCACGTTGAGCCCGCGATTCGACCAGACTTGCAGATGATCGTTCATTGCCCAGACCTTGTTCTGCGTAATCGTCACTTCTCGAGACGGACTCAGTCTGTCGACCATCGGGTCTGGGACCGGTGCGAAGAAGATCTGGTCGTCGACTCCATCCTTGCCATGTGCGCGTATGTTCCCAGGTAAGGTGAGGCGGTCATGTGTGGTGGACATGACAGCTGCAACACGATCCACCACATGATTGAAGGCTGTCAGGTACTCGTCACCCAGGTGTCGAGCATGAAAAAGCCCACCGCCAACGAACAGCAGCACCGACCTCCTCTTGCCGCTGCTCGGGTGAAGCGCCTTCTCCTCTGCGCTGTTGTCCGGCTTGTTCCTGTCCATGTACGCTTTCAGCTCCTCTCTGAACCCTGTGCCATTAAGGAATGGGTCCCACAGAAAGCTGACTCGCGCGTGACCGACCTCGAGGTGCAAATCCTCGTGTTTGTCAAGCTCTTGCTGTCTATCAGACACCCAGGAGCTATCCAGCTTGCTCGCCGCGGCCCAGAACACCTGCCGCACATTCGTGTCGCCGACGAACATGATCTGGCCATCTTCGTTACAGTCGGCGATATCGGATGAAGTGTAGTCGTGGAGGAGGCAGCCTGGTACCTGCCAGTTGTGGAAGGGTTGACGTTCGGGACTGCGGTCGGGCGAGTCGAGCCACTGGCCCTCATGAAGCAATTTGTTGCAATGGTAGAGATCGGTTTTGTCTATGATGTGTGAGTGTTAGAGGATTATCAGTAAATCAAGGTTACTCTACCAGAAACTAAACGCCGATACACATTTGCGCAAACGACCGCCAGCAACAGCAGCAGCGCAATCCTACTGAACGCACTCGGCAAGCTCGCAGGCCTTGCCAGCCTAAGTCTGAGCATGCTTATCGCTCATGTGACCCGAGTAGCACCGAACTACTCTCTGTCTTACTAAAACTGTCGCAGTGAGCGTGGTAGTGTTGAGAGGTGTCGCGTGCACTTCTCCAGCAAACAGCGAAGAAGCCATGTTGGCGAAAGAGGCAGGGCAGGCTACAGGGGTACAGCGGAGTGCTCAGACCGACTGTGTCTCCACCGCTTGCCTTGTGTGCGTGGGCGTCACTTCCATGTTGAAGGAGCTGCCGTTTTCCCGCAGCCAAGGTGACGCGTTTGTGGGACTGCTGCAATCTGTGCACCGCGTCACAGAGAAGACGGACTGATAAGCGAGTCATTTTTGAGAACTGGGCATCATAGATATCCCAAATATAGGTGGATTGCAGATCTATAGAAGACTGCTGATAGTCGGAGGTCCGCGGTACCTGAGATTGCATCGAGCATCATGCTGGATACGAAGCCTTGGCCGCGCTGCCGCCGGGCCGACGCGGCTCACTCGAAACGCCCTTGCATATTGGCTCGTTCGTTCGTACCCAGAGACTTGGAACCACAAGACGGATCGTAACGATTGTAGTAAACTGCTGATCTGCACGATATACCTCAACTCTAGACACTATATACTCAGAACCCGTGACAGCCTCGAACAGCATTGACACCACTAGACAGCTCTTCCTACACCCTTCCGCACCCAAAACTACCACTCCAACTTACAGCCTCCAACTATCTTCTTCCATCCTACAACACGTACCTGAAGTACTTGTTCTGCTTGTCCGTCAGATCCATAAATGCCATCTTGTCCCTCTCATCCTCATCCACGGGCAGCGCCTCCCTCTTCTTGTTCTCCCTCATCAGGACCACGTACAGCGCCACAGCAGCCACAATGGTGATGCAGTAACAGATAATCAGCCCCGACCAGAGCTCCGGATAGTGCTGTGTTTTAGTTTGACTCTTGATAAGCTGCGGGCCGACAATATTACCCACACAGTATGCTACGAAAATCGCCGCGGCCATGGCGCTCTTCTTCGTCGCGCCCGCCACATTGCTCATCCCCACGACGATGGTCTGCGACACCACGGCGCCGAACGTGCCGATGATGGAGTATCCAGCTACGGGTGTAGCAGCGTGGTACGTCCAGGAGCTTTTCCATATCATTGCACAGCCGGCGATGACGGGGAGGCAATGGACTATCAAGAGAATGAGGCGGATATTAGGGATTTTGCTCGAGAGGTAGCCGCAGAGCAGGATGGTGATGAGACACAGAGCGCCGAGCGGGAACTGCCAGAGAATACTCTGCAGCGTCGACCAGCCGAATGTGCTCACAATCAGCGGGCCGAAACCGGATACCGCGCCGTTGACGGTGTACGCGGATGCCATGAGAATGAAGACGAGCCAGAGCTTGAGATCCAGAAACGCTTCGCGAAGCTGCAAGAGTTTGATCTTCTGGCAGCGAACGCCCGTTTGGCCGCGTCGCAGGCGTTCTACGGCTACGATGCGTTCCGCGGGGGTGAGGAACCAGGCGGAGGCGGGCGAGTTGGGGATGAAGAAACACCAGATGCCGAAGAGGAATGTGAGGCAGCCGGCCAGCAGGTATATGTACTGCCATCTGTGCAGGGCGCCGCCGGTGATTTGCGCAAAGCCATAGTTGAGGGCGCCGCCGATGATGGTGAAGAGACCAGTTGACGCGAACCACCTATTGGTGTTGTTAGCTAGGCAGCCTAATATGAGTTATGGCAGCGCTTACCAGGACTGTCTCAATGCTTGCTCCTCTTGCGTGTAATACCCGCTGACGATGCACATGAAACCTGTAGGGACGATACTCTCTACGAAGCCCAAGAAGAATCTCTGCACGTACAACCCTTCATGAGTCGTTACTGCGGCCGTCAACATACAGATGCAGGCCCACACAACAACCACACCACCGAGGATCCTTCCAATGTTGAACCTCTGCAGCGCAAAGGTCATTGGGTAAAGCCCAGCCAGCATGCCAAAGTAGAACATCGACGTAGCCCAACTAAGATGCTGAGTGCTAGTCGTAGGCGGCGTAGTGCTGGTGTTGACCACGGTCAGAGACAGGTCCTTGGTCATACCAAACAAGACCGCAGATCCAAGGATAGCTTTGTCGTAGTACACCAGTCCGTAGCCCACAATCATGGCGGGAATCATGAACCTAGAAACAGATCAGTAAACGGCAAAACAAGATGTTTCGATCGAGCTCACCAGTCGATCTTCCTGAGCACCTTGGCCTCATCCGCCGGGTCGATCTCGCGCGCATGTTCACCCACGAGACCAATAGCGACGTCCTTGTCGAGCGGGACGGAGCTGGTAGGGGACTCGACAAAGCCATGCTCGTGTGGTGGCGAACCGGGCTGCACGCCTTTCTCGGTATCGTTCATAGTGGCCGGGTTGCTCCTTTCAATCGAGCGGAGTGCTGTTCTTTCTCAATGACGACGTTATGTTTCTTTCAAGTCTCGCAAAAGGTCCTGTGCCAGTCAGTAGCAGCCTCCGAGTGGGAGAGCTCGCATGAAGTCCTTTCGCAGGCGTTAACCTGATCAAGTTCCGACCGTATCTCTCAGAACGCTGACTGTCCTGCCTCTCACCACCATCATCAACATCATCTCCATCGACCGAGGGAGACGAGGAGGACAAGGATGACTGAAGACAAGACAGACAGCGAACACCGGTCTCATGCACTCGCTTGTGAAATACCTTGATCAGGCTGGTGTCGGTGATGAGACTGCATTGTGGCTGGTGTGCCGTACGATTCACGTGCTGGATGGCTTGGGCGATCTTTCGAGAAACTGAATGCGGATAGAGTGATGAAGGATAAGCGACGAAAGATGTTCAAAGTTTCTTGGATGGGTCTCCCGCTTCAGATCGCGGGATGCCATGCTTCGCTAGCGCAAGGGCTTGCTGCAGTGGACTTTTTCACAGCACAAGGCCTTCCGAATTCCTGGGCAGCCCCGGCTACTGGAGGGCTTCAGCTGTCATCCATACACATTTCCGCGGCTTTAAATTCTGATTGGACGCCTGAAGTTCGAATGCCCGATGACGAGAGGTTGGGGCGGTCGATCGAGTGCGCTAACGACGAACGTGGTTAGCATTGAGTCATGTGACCTGCAGACTGGAGAAAACTTCGTTGAACAGCCGTGGCTTGTCGCTGCCACCCAAGCGTTGATAATGCGCGATGTCAAACCTCTGCAGGCACAGCCGCCAAAATATTAGGGTGGCTTCTGAGATGAAATGAATATCTACGTAGCATGGTCTCTTGCCTCGCTCGATCTGTTGCTGTATCAGCAGACCTTGAGCTGGATGCACATTCGCTTTACGAAGCGAATGTCGTACGAGACAAGAACAACACCGCGACGATCTTTGAGTGCGGAGCCGATTGATCAATGTGTCGGACTTTGCAATTAATGCGTCGAGACATACCCACTATTACTCACGTTTTGGCTAATGTACGCGAAAGGTATTCAATTTGTGAACATAGTAATGTGCGTGTATTGACATAGTATCAAACTTCAAACAGGTTATCGCTCTTTGCTCATCCAGACACCGGCTTGCCCAAACACCATAAGAAAGTCTGCCGTAAAGGTACCCCTGTGATCCAACCGATCGAGTCCCAATGTCAATCGTGCAACTACGTAGCAATGCTCGCTCGCTTCAAACGCCAACAGCCCGAGCCAAAGTCGTAGCTTCAAAAAGGTGCGAACCCCATATGTACATTGCGATGTCTCTCATACCTAAAAGAGAGGAGATATGCTAAGAGATGGGGTATAGTTAGATCCGTGAAAACGAGAAACAGTGTGGACGGAAATTACAGTGATGATGATCTCATCGGCGACCTCCTCGAGGTGTGCGAGAAGTCTCGGTGGCGCTTCGTACACGTATCGTAGGCTGTCGGAGTTGCGGTGTGTCGTTCACCGCGGTATCGTAGCTTGGCAGAGGCCGTTCGACTTGTTGGTCATCTCGCAGAAGAAGAGCTTGCTCGTGCTGATCTCCTCTTTCTTCCCAGTAGTCCCGCATGTGTCGGCCAGCTTCAAGGTTCGGTGATCCAACAGGGCTCGTATATTCAGGTGGGAGCTCTCCAGGCTGCAGGAATCCGGGTCCACGTGCGGTCTCACGGGCTACATCGTGTGCATTGCTGGCCTCTGCACTGGTCCCCTCGCCAATGTCTTCGTTAGAGTCCACGAGGCTAAAAGCTGCCAGGGAGATGTCAGTGGGGCTGCATTGAGGGCCAGGGCTTGTGGGTTGATTACGTCCAAGACGCACTTGCTGGCTGCTAGATCTTGCGTGTGCATAGCCCGCAGAGATGTAGTTGCCAGCCATGCCTTCCCTGATGCCTTCGCGCCCAGAATCCAAAAGAATCGATCCTTGTTCGCTGCCGTACGGTGGAGGAGGAGCCAAGCTGCCAGTCTGAGGGGCCAGACCCCATTTCTTTACGTTGGCCTCGATAAAGACAAAGCCCATCTGCCCAAGGTTGACATGGACCTGGCATGGTCCTTGAGCGCCGACCGTGGGGAAGAAGTTCTGCGCCTTGAGACCGTGCGCAACATCATCCAATTTCTTGCCATTGCGGGTAAAGAAGATGGTTCCAGTGCGGGGTCTGTATCCAACTCCGATAACATCGCCCTGGACATATGCGGGTCCGTAAGCGGAAGGTGTAAAGGGCTGGTTGAAGCGTCGGTTGCCGTTCGATCCGTACGAGATGGAAGACTTGTGATAGCCTGCGTATATGTCAGTGTGGTAATTCGACATGCTGTATACGAGCATACGTACCTGGCAGTCTGAACAGGGGATATGGCTTGGTCGTGACACCAATTGCAATGCTTGTGTTCTCCGGCTTCTCGTAAATCTTGGCTTCCCAGTAGTAAACCTCGTTCTGCTTGGGTATCGGTAGGTTGCTCTGAACGCTGCACTCGGAGTCGAAGAACTCGATCTCGGTTCGGCCTTCGACGAAGCAATTTGCGATCTCTAGTTCTGGCTCGAACTCCCATGCTGACACGCCCTTCTCTTGAATGGCGAGGAACTGCGATAGAGAGATATCGGTGTGGACGGACTCGGGAGGGTTGACTTGTACAAAGGCTGGTGCATGTTAGCGAATGCTGCCCGACGTGAGGGGACTCGTCTCTATCTTACCTTTCGCTCGTAGGTACTCGGCTCTCTGCAGGTCGTCCATCTCTTCCAGGGCCTCGGCCTCCTCTTTAGCGAATTGCTGCTCATCATCATACTCTCCAGGGCGTGTGATTCGGTCCAGGAACACGCGGCCTTGCTGCGTGTAGCGGAAGTAGCAAATGATGGCGAAGACGAGGAAGCAGAAGCCTGCAGTGCCGAGTACCGAGAACACGCCGATCATGATGCCCTTTGCAGTAGAACCCAAACCATTGTTATTGTCGTTGTTGTAGCGCGCTATCCGTGGGGCGTCGCCAGTCGATATGTGAAGGGCATGCGCCGCCTCGGCGAGCCCAGTAGCTGTCGCAGAGAAGGCAGAGTGGACGGGAAGATACGATCGCGCGAGTGTCGTTGGCGGCAGGACGGCCTGCAACGGTTCTTGCGGCAGCATGATGGCGTGCGGGGTCTCTGCAGCCGGTGCTGTTCAACAGCGGGGGTATTGCGAGGTGGTGAAGGCACTACCAGCAGGCGCAGCAGCGCTCGTGGTCGGCGAAGGAGCTGTTCGCTCAATGCGTCGATCCAGCGGCGGGGATCGAAAGTGGCTGGTGACGCAAGTAGGTCCGCGGGAGTCGCCGGCGACGAGATAGCGATGCGGAGGGCGAAGTCGGGCTGAACTCGCTGGAGAAAGGAGCGCGGCGGCGGGAGAGAACAGGAGACGGGCGATGCGGTGGGTGTTGTGCCCAAGTGTGTCGTGAAGAGTGAGACTACCTACGCCTGCCTGCGGCCGTGAGACGGCAGGTGCGGGTTGCTTGGCTTGCCACAAGGCGATCGCAGCGTTCGTAGTGTCAGGCCTGCAAGATCCGCAACGCTGCCGGTAAATCTGAGCGTCCGACGATCAACCAAATGCAGTGACACGAGAGAAAGAGAGAAAGAGTGCACACGATCCGTTGACAAGTGCATCCAACGTGCCGGAGGGGGTCAGGGTCAGTTCGAGACCATGGAGCCGGCCTCACGGCCTCACCAACCACGAACTACTGCACCGTTCTAATGCGCTTCAGGAGACAACTCACACAGCGCGTTGTAATTTGAGATTCCTTACTTCAGAACCCGCAATACACCTTGCAGCACGATATTGCTCTTGTGCAACATCCAGTCTTCCTTCTGCAGACGTGCTTTGCTTGTGCTCGAGGTATCCAGTCGTCCGCTTGTTACAACACAACCTGAAACACCACTTCGCAGAGCCGCCATAGGGCGCTATCTATGTATAGCCACATTGTCAGAGGGCCGTTACAGGGCTAGCAGCCGGTATTGCAGACGTGCCCGTGCGTGATTTTGCGGATCGAGTTTTGAAGACGTCTGCTGCGCGTGCGTTGCGAATCATGAGGTTCCTACTGAAGTACTGCCTTGCAGCTGAGAACAACAGACCTCAGATATCAAACCTCGCGAGTGCCAAGTAACTTAGGCAGTGCAGATGGAAGCACAATCTCCGCGCTCATAGCTGCATGCAAAATCGTACGTAGCCCCGTGCTGCACGTACAGTGGCTGAGACATGTCAGCCTTTGACGGGGTTCGTAGTGTCGTGGTTTGAATAGCATAGACATTATGGGTTCGATGCAGGTGCCGATGGAGAACAGATAAACAAACATTACTCAGCACCTGATCACGACATGCTGGGTGGGTGACGTGCAGGTGATTATGCAAGATCGATGCAAGATCGCTGCAGGCAATGCGTCTTTCTGATGGCCATCGGGGTGGACACATCCAGTGCAGTCACGTTCAGTACGCGCAACATCACTCGACCATACTCATGCTGTGCGCAGGTCGGAATTTGAAGCCAGATAAATCATATGGAGGCAAGATAGGGTGCAGGTGGTTGGAATCGATTTTGGGAGCCGTCGATGCGACTGAGCCGTGCAGTCGTTGTGTGCTACAGTGCACCAGTCGCGCAAACAATTATCACCAAGGAGTCAGTGGATCTGGTCGAGTTTGCCATTGGTATGAACAGAGGGTAGCACATATCGATGCGCGGAGAGCGATGACCGCGTTAGAAGTCTTGTTGCTTCCATTGCAACCTCGTAACGACGAGCGTTGGATAGCGTGCAGCTGTATCGACCAAATTGTACTCAGCGTGGCCTGTTGTAGGTCGCAGCTCGTTGAAAGGAGCTTGGAGAGCTTATTGGCAGCTTTCTCGTTTCAACGAGGTGCTTCCATAGCCATAGGAGTAGCGCCATGGGCCAAAGCTGGACCCCTAATCACTCATCACCAACTGGAGGCCTAAAATCAGTGTTCTCTGTAAGCTAAAATCTGAAATACCAGGCCTTGTAGTAGAATTTGGAGCATTACGCTTGTTGTATCGTCATCAATTGCAAACGTGAGTGACGTCTGTTGCACTTAGCCAAAAGTACCCGTGAGAAGTTATTGGTATGTCTACTTGGCTCGATCGCAGAGCGTTCCGATTGACCGCGAGGGTTGGTGAGCACAGAGCTATGGCGCTTTATCTCGCCCGTTGCTGTTACTTTTGTCAGATGACCATAGACTGCTGTGCAGCACCTTCACCACGGCTGGGCAAAACTGCTGGTTTATTGGAGCAGTATGTATTGTTAGCAGTTGTAGTCGCGTCTGCACATGACGTGTCTCGATCAGGATGTTGCTGGTAGAGTTCGCCGTTGTTGTGTCACCACGTGTTGGGTTTCGATGTGACAGAGCTTCTTGATCCCGAAGTGAGAAAGCGCCGACTCCACGACGTGTGCTGCGGCGCATTCCTCTTTCTGCACGACGCTCTTGTTCAAATAGGATCTCTGCTCTTACACCGTGTCCCATATCATCGAAGAGGAAGGAGCTGCGAAGCTAGGTCCAGGGGTTCTTGACTAGGTCTTGGACGAGAAAGCGCTCGATCAGCTGCGAAGCTCGATAATATACAAGATGAAGACGAGTTAGACAATGAGAGAGCCTGCATGATGCCAATTATTCGATCAGAGCTTGGGTGACAGTGCTTGCGCCGTGCAACGTGCGATTTGCTACACGTCAAACCTGTCAGCAACACTCGGCGAGCCCTACGCTGCGCAACACTGCAGTGCATGCGGTTAGAGCAGCGATCGACTCCGGTCTCTGTCGAGGGTGAAGGCGGTGTGTTGAAGAAGCGCTGAGTAGATAGATGCACATGTTCGGGGCTTTGGTTTAAAACTCACCTAATCCAATCAGGGAGGTGGGTCGAGCGCACTTGACATTTCTCTGCCTGCACCTTTCCCAGCGGCATACGTCCCGAAGAGGCCACACGTCGTCGTCGTCGCTTCGGAATTCTCCTGTCACACTCTTGTTTTCACCTGCACTTTTGTCACACGCAACCCTATTTCTAGTGTTGTGCTTTTACAGGCACACAATAGCCCCAGCCGTGCCTTGTCGTGCCCCTCCCAAGCTGCACGCAGCCGTTCCCCGCGTCATTCTACGAGCAAACTTGCAACCGCAACTCACGCCGAAAATTCCTAGACCACTCGACTTCCTGTAAGACCTGCAAAATGATTGTGGCTTTGTAGAACGCACCGATTCAGGAGCTGGTACGTCCACTTGCCCTTCTGCCAGTTCAGTGCATTGCTCTCAGCAGACGCATAGCAAGAGCTAACCATGCTGCAGCAACAGAATCAACTTGAGGCGCCACCACAACACCGCAGCCCCTTACCGCCGTCGATCTCGAATCGCAGTACTTTTCCCGCTGAGAAAGACTTCTCGAACTCGCGCAGCGCACCACATCTCGACCCTTCCCCGCACCCTATCTCAGATTCTTGTCACAATGTCGTGGCAACCTGAAGAACAGACATTACGGCAGCTGGCGCAGTGCCTGAAGGACTCGCTTGGCGGTCACGATGCGAATGCACGCAAGAATGCCGAAATTGTACGTCCCTAGCATTTGTAACGTGTGTCGCAGCAGTTGCGCTGACTTTCGGGGCCATACAGATGCTCAGGACTGCTAGGGCCTCGCCTGATTTTGACAAGTACCTGGCATACCTCTTCTCCAGCACCCAGCCTCCGTCAGGCGTCGATATGGACGGATCCCTCTATTTCCAAGCGCGCGCGGCAGCCGCCATCATGCTGAAGAACGATGTAAAGACATCGTTGAAGACCATGGACGAGAATACAACAAGTTACATCAAGAACATCATCATGATCGGACTGCAAGATTCGAACAAGCAGATGCGCCTGTATGCCGGAAACGTCATCACTGAGGTAGTGCGACAAGGTGGCATTATGGGATGGCCTCAAATCCTCTCAGATCTTGTCAACATTGTCAGCAATGCGAACGGCAACTCTTCTGTTCAGGCACAGGAAGGCGGTATGAGTGCTCTGTTGAAGATCTGTGAAGACCACAGGAGAGCGCTAGACAAGGAATACCAGGGTCAGCGACCTTTGAGCTTCATCTTCCCAAAGCTTCTCGAGCTTACCACAAGCCCCGTCCCCAGGGTTCGCGCTGATGCGATAGCGGCGATCAACATCTTCATCCCGGACAAGCTGCAGGTCGTGCTCTCCAACATCGACGCATTGATGCAACAGCTGTTCTCCATCGCCAGCGACACAAGCGAGGATGTCAGAAAACAGGTCTGTCGAGCCTTTATTCATGTAGCCGACATTGCTCCGGAAAAGATGCTGCCGCACATGAGTGGCCTGGTCGACTACATGGTTGCGCAGCAACGTAGCAAAGATGACGAGGAGTTAGCTCTGGATGCCGCTGAATTCTGGCTTTGTGTTGCTGAGGATGCAAGACTGCGCGATCACCTCGGTCCTTATCTGGCGAAGATCGTGCCCGTACTCCTCGAGAGCATGATCTACAGCGAGGACGATGTTCTGCGTCTCGAGGGCGAAGAGGAGGACTACAATGTCGACGACCGGGAACAAGATATCCGACCAAATTTCGCATCGAGCAAGTCGGGGCGCATGACAACAAATGCCGACGGCGAGACGATTCTCACTAACGGTGCTGGGGTCGACGACGACGATCTCAGTGACGGTGAAATCGAGGACTACGATGACGATGATTCAATCGGCGATCCAGAGGATGCATGGAATCTGCGGAAATGCTCAGCTGCAGGATTGGATGTACTTGCAGGAGTGTTCCACGAGGCAGTCTTCGAGGCGACACTTCCATACCTCACATCAAACCTCAACCACGCTGAGTGGCCCAACAGAGAGTCTGCTGTCCTTGCTCTCGGTGCTATTGCCGACGGTTGCATGCACGTCGTCCAACCCCATCTCCCCATGCTTACCCCTTACCTCATCACGCTTCTGCAGGATCCCAAGCCTGTCGTTCGAAAGATCACATGTTGGACCTTGGGTCGCTACTCTGGATGGGCAGCGCGTCTCGATCAGGCTGGAAAGCAGCAATATTTTGAGCCCATCATGGACGGTATCCTGAAGAAAATGCTGGACAGCAACAAGGGTGTGCAAGAAGCTGCAGCATCAGCTTTTGCACATCTAGAGGAGAAGGCGAACACCCAGCTTTCTGAGTACTGCCCTGTCATCGTCCGCCAGTTCATCCAGTGTTTTGCGATGTACAAGGACAAGAACATGTACATTCTGTACGACTGTGTTCAGACTCTTGCTGAGCACGTCGGACCAGCGCTCGCTCAGGACGAGCTGGTCGCCATGCTGATGCCGGCTCTTCTGCAACGCTGGAACAAGGTGTCGGATCATTCAAGGGAGGTCATCCCACTTCTCGAATGTCTCTCATATGTGGCAACTGCGCTTGACAGCAAGTTCTCTCAGTACGCTGGTGGCATCTTCGCGAGGTGTGTCGGCATCATCCATCGAAACCTTCAAGAAAGCCAGATGGCCACCGAGAACCCAAGTCTCGAGATGCCTGACAAGGATTTCCTGATCACTGCCGTGGACCTTTTGAGTGCCATGATCCAAGCCCTCCCTCCACAGGACAGCGCCCAATTGGTGGCAGGAACTCCAAACTTCTTCCAGCTCCTTGCTATCTGCATGAGCGACTCCAGTAACGATGTGAGACAGTCGGCCTACGCTCTGCTCGGTGATTGCGCTATCTGCGTTTTCGAGCAACTCCAGCCTTGCCTACCTGCCATCCTTGAGATTCTTATTGTTCAGCTCGAGCCCTCACCCGCACAGATCGGCCACGATGAGTCGGGATACTCGGTCATCAACAATGCTTGCTGGTCAGTCGGAGAAATTGCTATGCAGCAGAAGGAGGGGATGCAGCCTTACGCCGAGCGATTGCTTCAGAAAATTGGCACAATACTGTTCGACAGCAAGGTGCCGGAGTCACTCAATGAGAACGCCGCTATTGCTCTCGGTAGGCTCGGCTTAGGCTGTGCTCAATATCTCTCCGTGCATCTTGCTCAGATGGCGCCCGCATTTCTACGCGCCATCAGCAAGGTCACGTGGAACGATGAGAAAGGCCATGCGCTGGCCGGCTTCATGCAGATAGTCCTGGCAAATCCAGGCGCAATGGAGCAGTCTCTTCTGGAGTTCTTCAGTTTGATGGCTTCTGCTGACCGGAACTTCGTCACTGGACCATCTGGTCAGAACTGTCGTCAACCATTCAAGACGGTGAGCAAGGTCAAATATATATCCACCGACTCTACTGACTCCCGACACAGATTATCGAGCAATACAAGAGCATGATCTCGGATTTCGACAGCTTCCTGGACGGCCTCCCGGGTGACCAGCAGGTCACCTTCCGTGAGCTGTACGTTGTTTAGGGAACATTCACACACTCGTACCACTGCTATGGCTCTCCTCAGAAATGTTGATGAGCATAGGAGCGGGCGATTTCCTTACATGTCAGCCGGCGTTGGATTGATGCTGAATCGTTAGAGGAAGAGAAGGATACCAAAAGCAGGGCGAATTAGGTGGAGCTAGTACTATAGGCGCGGAGGAATGAGCAATGAGCATTTACGAACGACCACGGAGGTTCCGGCATCTATAGACATTTTCCAGCGACTTCTTGCTATGCAGGCGGGGTTCTCGGCCATCTGCTTCACAAAGGCGATGTTATCATGCTCAGGGGGTCGGCGAATCGTGCTGCAACGTATCATTCACTGGCGTTCTTTTTCTTGTTGGTTGCAGCACCACACCTTTATCCATAGCCTTTAGATAGCTGTAGGTGGAATTCTAAACCTTTTCCAAGCGTAGACTGCAAAAGCGGACAGATTCCGCAGCCATTGGCTGCTGCTCCGTCGGCTATCTTCACTGTAAAGAACCATCCACCAAAGGCGTGTCCGTATTTGCACGACTCGCAAACCGCTGCTGCAACGAGCTTTCTAGCGTCGTGGAGCAGCGCACGCGGAACGAGGATTGGCGGCGTGTCTGACTTGGTCTGCGCGGTTCCCGAGGCACTGGTGCAGGCGGTGGCGATAACTTTCATGCCGCCGTGCTATATCAGGGTCTATCGAGCGTTGAGGCTTTGCACATGGCGATATGAAGTCATCTGTGTGCTGCAGGCACCCTGTTGTCTTCGCGGAAACCTCGGGACCAAGTCGGTTCCATTTCGCTGTGTTCTAGTTCTAGGACTCTTCCAAGACTGATTTTTGGCAGCATGGTCGCATGCCCTTTTGGGACACTGAGGGTGCCATTCGATCGGTGAAAAAGCTGTGGTAGCGATGGGAGATACCGAACTGCGCGATCAGCGAACAGGCGTCGTCGATCTTATCCCTTTTGGTGCACTCTTGCTCCATGGCTTCCGCGAGTCTACCAGATCTCGACGGAAGTCGTACGAGTATTTGCAGGCATCGCAATCGTTCTCACATCTAACCTCTTTCCGAGGGGACTGCACTTCGACTGTCGCCAGTTGAGTTTATGATGGTTGTCGCAATTCTCAGGATCACAGTGAGGGTTTTGCAAATCCCAGGGGCTGTTGGTTCCTCGCAAACCTCGGCGAGGACGTGAGGGCGGAGATGACCGCGGACAACGTGCCTCGGCCTCGGCTGGACGTGCTCCAAAGAAGGTATACTCGAGGCATCCTGACGCGTAACATTGACCACCAGTCCCTCCTTTTACTACTTACCTATTGAGAGCTTCGAGACGAGAGGGAAGAGACGGGAAAGTAAGACGAGATGTTGTTCATCTCTTCCATTATTAAAGATTCAGAGGACTCGGTGAAATCTTACCGAAGGGCCTTTAGATGTTCGTTATCATGCGGCTCACGCGGCTCATGACTGGCAGCACGGGATCATCCATGTCGTGCACCACGCGAGCCATGCAGGTAATGATTCTGCGCATGTTACAAGCAGGCTGCTCAGCATTGCATCAGGCTGCAAGGCAAGTGTGCCTTCCCTTTAGAGCTGCTTATGACGCAGGCCAACCTGCTGTGGTTCGTGAGGACAAAAGGAACACCCATGTTCCAGACTACGCGAGGAGCATGGAAGTACCGGCTAAAAATACACCGTTGGCTATGGTGTCTCACCGTTGAGAACCACCACTGATGATCACTCAGCTCCTCTTCATCTGGGGTTTGTCCAAGGCATCATGGCAACAGATGCGCCCTGCAGCGCATCGGGATGACCGAACTTGACAAATAGCGCCTCTCAAATTTTCTAATGGTGATCGCTGTGTGCGTTGTGGGGTTTCGGAGCAGCTATGCGCAAAGTCATAGGTAACACATTGCTATCTTCGAATCGACAGCCGGGGGATATGTTTCACGGTACGAATTCTAGGAACGACCCGTCTGGCAGAAAAGAGGGCGGTGCTTTCAGCAGAGTGTGGAGAAGATCGGAAAAGCATTCCACGCAGGAGCCCGGTGGAAGGATCGTGGGAGGACATGTGTGTCGTGTAGCCTAGCACCATCCCAAACAAGGCAATTGGCCGCACCGGCGGTAGAACAGGGTCGCACTTATTGAGGAGCTGTCTGCTAGTGGGTTGGGTAGACTCAAGGGAATGATCATTGCGGAAAATTGGGTGGCTTGTGTGCAGCTATGGAGATGTTCGTTGTGCTGCTGCTCAGCTCTGTGATTTTGCTGTCAGCACAACGCAGGATCGAATGTAGGAACGGAGGGTCTCGCAATCCTAGCCACCCCACAGACAGGGCATGGGGCCTCTAGACGCACGCCGACGCAGGTAGCAAGCTTAAGTGAGTTTATCTCTAAGAATAGCTATTGGAATCACCTCACTCGTCGTTAGCTTACATATGCTGTCGCCTGCACTTGCTCTTGCGCATCTGCCATGTCATTGCAGACTATTGCTGCCGTATCTCGGGCTTTCTATGGTATCGTGGAGTATTGGCCAGCAAAGCCCTGTTTCTAAGAACGGCACATCGCACCTCGTGTTTGCTGCTCACTGCTCCATTGGAAGTAGGCGATTTCGATAGACGAAAACAGCGTCATTGTAGCGCCTGACAGCCTTGCAGCGGGAGACGACACCGACGCGCGGGGGGCTCTCACAACATCTTGTACCGCCCGCGTCGTGTTGTACGGCACGTTGTGCACATGGGCAGATCCAATGTAGCGGCTCGCCTATAATTGTAGCCCAGTTCTTGGTGGCCAGGCAAGACACTGGCTGAACCCCGGCGAATGAAGCTGTGTAGAGTAGTCTACGAGCTTAATGCCCGGCGAATCCTTCTGGTACTGCCAATTTGTGGCCCTAAACACCCATGACCGCCGCTCCAAACTGAGGGCATCAGCACACCGTGACAGATCGGCAGGACCGTGGGTTCAAGTAGCATCATTAGGACGGTCAATGCAGGACGCCATCACTGTTGCTCTAAAGGCTGCATCGCGTGGGCGACGAGTGAACAAGCGCACGATGCTGTCTGGTGACTTGTTGAAGAAGCGGCCAAGTACGGCGCACAAGGGCCCAAAAATAAACGAAGCCCCGGCACTTTCGCCAGTCCAAGCGGCTTTGGAGCTAGCGCCATCAACTTTGCTGCATCCTCCCCTCGTCTGATTCGCTCACCCCAGAGTGAGCAGTGAATTGGGTGAATGGCTCGCTGCGACTCTACCTGGACTCCATGCGACACCATCGCGACTGGCCTCTGGTGGAGTGGCAATTTGTGAGCGTCCGCCCTACCAGCACTTGATCCGCTCGCTCCCTCTGCCGCTCATGTCGCTGCTGAGGCCGATCGCCTCCGCCGCATCGCACGGCCCGTGGGTGTTGGCGGCTCACGGATTAGGGCCTCCGCTTTGCGCGCTGGTGGTCAGTCTTTGCTGCTCATCGGCAACAATGGCACCCACTCCGTGTCCATCCCATCAGTCCCATCTGCACGCCCAACGATGCCAACCGTCAGTCGCCATACAAATGACAGGGGGGTGCCCGAAGAGGGGCCACCCCCAGTGACCGAGACGTTCACTGTGCGGCCTGGGATTGCCCTGCTGCTCGCTCAGTAAGCAGGGTTTCATTCCTGAAGCACCTTGCTGCTCAGGGACAGCAGTACCATCCGATGCACCAAACCTGGGTATCGCTACTCGAACAGGAAGTGTTAATGTCCCGGATAGAGCTCGATCGTTGCTTAGGAGTTACACTGGGCTATGCCATACCAGCATGTGCCTCGAGCACCAGCGGTGAATCACTCCAGTGCTGGCTCTGTAGCTCCCGCATGCTTCACTAGCCTCTCCCGTCACGCCGTCTCTACCGGCTGCCACACATGTCCCCTTCCGCCGCTCGTGGCGTCACTGCTATTTGTGTGGACGCTATCACCCCTCTAATTGTGGTTGGCTCCATTTGAACGTCCCCGGGCTTTTTGGAACCGAGCGCTGGCTGCTCTAGCGCTTCTGCTTCCACCCAAGGCCTCTTTGTCCCAGTGAGGTATGGCCCAACCATCCTGCAGGGGGCACGTTGCATGCTCTTGACCTTTTCCGCTGTCACTTCGACCTGTCGCACCTCCGCCGGGGCCTCGCTAGCTCTGCGTCAATACTTCTCAGCCCTAGATTTGTCTAAGCTCCCCATCTGCGCTCTGCGCGTATATATCACCAACCTGTTCCGGCTTCCAGTTCTAAACAACGCCCGATTGCCGGTCTACGACCACATTACTCTCGCTTCACCAATTCGCCAACTACTACTTGCAGCGTGCATATACTCAGCCCCCACCAACACCGCCCCTCATCACCTCCAGTTTTTCAGAGAAACACTGAATACTACGACATCAACGCCCAGAGCACTCGAACGCGAAATCATTCGAGGGCACTGTGCGGTCACTTCTCACATTCGCTCAAAAGCTACGAGGCACCAACTCAGCCAATGGCTGGACCAGGCGGAGGCCCCTCGAGGCGCAGTCACACAAAGTCCCGAAAGGGCTGCAAGACTTGCAAGAGGAGACATATTCGCTGTGATGAGACGTTCCCGCAATGGTAGGTTTGGGAGACGTCTTGACATGCTTCAAACGCTGACGAGCTCACAGCCGCAACTGCACCAAACACCAGGTGCGGTGCGATTACATGGATAGCCCCACTGCCATGATGCCCGAATCTCCGCAAGCGCCCCAACAGCCCAACCTCCTCTGGACACCAGAAATCGAGGCTACGATCGAGCTATGGAGCCAGACTGGAGAGTTCCCCTTCCCCGAGCTTCGAATCTATCCCCAACCTCAATGGCGAACATATGCAAAGACTGATCTTCGCTTGATCCACCACCTTTCCTCCATCACCAATGAGATGTTTAGGAATAGAACCTCCAAGATGACCCTTTGGGCGGACATGATGCCCAAGTGAGTGCATAACAATATACTCCACTGCTCTGTAGCTGGGTGACTGACCAGTTTAGATTCTTGAGCATTGCTGCGTCGCATCCTTTTGTCATGCATTCCATTCTCGCTTTCTCCGGTTCGCACCTAGCTTGGATCTCTCAGTCGACCGAAACGCGGAATCTCGCTTTCCACCATGCTAGCATTGCGCTTAAGGGCCTGCACGACGGCATTTCAAGCTTCACCAAAATGAACTCGGATGCGGTCCTGGTTTCGTCGCTCCTACTAGCTTGGCAAGCCACTGACTGGAGGGGTTGGGCTTCGCTCGTCACCGGCACAAAGACAATTATTCAGTCTATGCAGCCCTGGAGACACGAGTCTCTTTTTGCAGATTACATCGCAGAGCACAGCCCAACGCCCAACAGGCACTTCATGAACCCAGTCAGCACGCCGATCACGCAGGAAGCCCGTACCCAGCAACTGAACACCCTCACCGACATCCACAACTCCTTGCAGCGCATGCAGCCATACCTCAGCCGCAATGATCAGGAGACAAAGTGGGTTGACCAGCTGAAGGGGTATCTCGACCGATTGCGATCATCCAACCAAGCACAAACGGCTGAGGAGCAGTTCAATCAGCTATACGCGCTCCGCAAATGGCTGTTTTGGGTCCCGATCTCTCTTCTATCTGCGAAGCGTGGGGACGTCAATGTTCTCTGTGTCCTTGCTCACTTCTACGCAACCGCTCTGGCCTTGGAGCCAATGTTTCCGGATGTTGCTTCTGTTTTCGTCTCAGATATCTCCCTTCTTCCGCTGGAGGAGATTGTTACCGTTATCCAGGGATATCAGGATCCAAGATATGACTCCAGAATCCAGACCATGTCATATCTGGTGCAATATCCCATCGACATAGTTTCGTCATACAAGACTAGGAGAGAATGGACGCGGCAGCATATCTCTGCTGTCTCTCCTGTTCAGCAGCCACCCTATGCACTGGAATCTATCAACCTGGATCTCGAAAACCAGATCGCGCAGTATAGCTACGGTCAAGCTCACAGTCTCAGCCCAGCTTTTGCTCCTTCGCCTCTAGGACTCTTGCCTCTTGGGATGCCTTCCACTCCAGCTTCGCCATTCCTCGATATTCCGCGAACGACTGCAGATGCCTATGGAACGAGCACGTACGCCACTAGCAGCTATCCGTCCAGCAGTTACGCGTCCAGCAACTACGCGTCTCCACTGGGCTCACCTGGCAATGTACTATTACCGCCGTATGTGGCGCCTCCAGAGCAGCATGCGTATAATTATGGGATGTCTGGATATACCAGCGGGTTCGTGGCTACACCTATCTGGACGTAAACGCAAGCAGACTGAACGAAACCCCAGGAACACCAGACTCGCTGCCCTGCCACCCACCAGCGCCGCGTCCGTGGCCGGATATGCAACCCACCCAATTCCAGTTATACAAGTCCCCTCGCAATACAGCAACGCTGGAACCATGTAGGGCCGATCGAGTTCTCAAGACACGCCAAGCGTCTTACCCTACGTACCTGTAACGACAGGCTTACGTCGAATTCAGCAATGACATCCTGTACATCTTCGCAGGCCCGATCACAACAATCTAGCGGCGTTTCGCGGGTTGTAGTGGCAGCCAATCAGATGACCTCGGCGCTATTCAGTCGGGACAATAGCTGAACTGGACGTTTTTGCGAAAGGTCACGCTCTACACCATAGCGTCACGTGGATGCTAGGCCGGAAAGAGTTGGAAACACTTTCGCTGTCATGGCACCAAGGAACCGGGACGGCTTATGCACGCACGCGCATTTGACGGAGTTTCACGATTCACGACTGCATTATTCTCGGCGCCGATCACGTTGGTCCTCAGACACCCGTTGCATGTTAGTTTGATTGTAAGAGGAGGATTGTAGATACACCCCTGTTTGCAAGAATAGACTCAAAGCGGCGGAAGAAATAGAACATCATCGATGTCATCGTAACAACAGCCGCGCAGTGATGGGACGACGATTCCCCCACTGTTGAAGCGGTGGAAGATGGGCAGGCAGATTTAAAGTTGGCATCCTAGTTTAGCTCCGCTGGCATGTTTTTCCCAGTTTTCTTCTGAGCAGTCGTGGCCTGATGGATAACTGTCAGCCCAGAATAACTGGCCAATCAATTTATCTCGCTCCGAATCAATCTCTCTGCACTCTACAAAACTTTACGTGCGACGTTGGCTTTTCAATCATGCGCGCGACAGCATGAACTGCGAATATTTACCGACTACGAGCCGCGTCACAGGAAGATCCCAGCACCGGTTCGATGTGCATTGAAACGTACGCTAGTCAAGCCACGCGAATTACGCGCAGAAGAGCTTGATGTCATTGAATGGTTCCGAGCACCAGGTGCCTGAGCAGTGGTCGGCTTGCCCTTACGACCATTTGAGCGATCGACAGAAATCGTGCGTCAGTTCACCCCGCCTACCGCTTTCGTGTAGTGAGCGCGGCCAAAAGGCACTGGTGGGCGCGCACAGCCACAGGGTAGCGGCCAAGATCTGGACCGGTGACAGGCTTCTCGCCTGAGGTTGACAGCGAGGCGTTCCCGAAGCTCTCCCATGGGCTGCCATGACTTCCAGTAGGTGGTTTGGAGATTATCTCGAATCGACATCCTTGTGCAGGCGCCGTTTCTATGAATGCAGCTTGGCAAGCAGGATCAAGTGCTAGCACTTGACTGGACGGAGACACTTCCGCCGCTGCTGCATTCGCTGCCAGGTACGAGTGGATCCATGTTCTACTTTATTGCGAATGCATACTTTGAGTTTGAACCCATATTGATGGCCATTCGGCAAGCTTTGGTAGCACAAATTCTTGGGTCGGCCTTGCAGCCGCGCTTTCTCTCGGTATTACTCCGGCTCGGATGACCTTCGAGCTTAGCCACTGGGCCAACGCTTGCGCTAGAAGCAGGCTAAGATGCAAGCGAAAATTGCAAGGTGCAAGGGCCACTAAGTTCCGCTCCTCGCAAGCCAGCGCTCCACCCCCTTCTCGACGGCCGCCATCTCTTAATTCCCTGTCGATCAAGGTAGGATGACTAAGAAAGACTATGCCTGCGACTCGAGTTGCACTCTTGTCGATCATCCAACCTCAAGGTAGCTTCTGCTCGCCTGACTTTTTAGCATCGTTCAAGCCATCAATCGTTGCAACCACACTGAAGGATTCTGTCAAAGCACATTGTAACGATGATCTTCCACGCTGCTAAGGCGCGGGTTTCCAGCCAATCGCGAGAGTGTTTGACCGATATGCGCCAAGGGCTGGAATGAAACAAAAGAGCACCACACAAGAGCTGCGCAAGAGACCGGATAACGCCCACTCAAGCACCATCGGATGTCTGGCCCTAGCTTCTGAGCGTGCGCTGGCTTCTTCCGCAACACACTTCTCTCAATGAGGTTTCATCGATCCTTCTAGTACGCTTGTGGTGCATGGTGTCTTGCACGTTTCCTCTCGGAGGTCTCTCCAGCACGTCGGTGCGGAATTAGCCGAGTTGCTGAGAGGTTCCAAAGCAACGAATCGATTGGTCCGACGCTGCGTTTGATGCGCATTCGGATGCGCATTCGGAGAGATCAGAAACGCAAGATCTGCGAGCCGGGAGTATCCTCCACCATGGCATTCCCACGAGGGAGATCCAGAAGCATCGACATAAGCGAAGCTACCGTCCTCCACACATCGCTGCGTGTAATCGATCTCCGTATCGACCGTAAAGCCATACACTGTCGTACGATGGGCCGTGTTTGTCTTTCCGTTCCTAACCACACAAAGAACAAGCGCTCATCGGAGCACGAGAATGAGCCGGCATCCACCGATACTCCTTTCGCATGTGCAAACAATAGCAGCCCTCTGTTGTACGGTCATCCTGAGAAACGAACCATCGATTGCGACTCAAGTTCTCCCTGGAGGTCCTGGGAATGCACTTCGTCGGGGACTCCAATAGTTCGGTGTCGGCTCTTGATGCCTAAGGCACTAACGCAGCACCTCGTAACGCCTCCGCATAAACCTCAAAATGCCCTCACGTAGCTTCTGACTCTATCCCGGCTATCGTCGTCTTCCAATAACTCGTCATCGGTTGGAAACGTGTCCATCATCGTACGATATCGCGTCATGCACCACAAAGCCGCCAGCTAGAGATGCACCGGAGTGCTCGCCAAATCGGCCCATCAAAAGGTGTGAGTTCGACTCGAGCCAAGTCACACGTGTAGGCCCAGATCCGGCTATGCGGTCCAACGTCCCCTGCCGCTCGTCTCGCCGAGTGCGCCGGAAGCATGAGACTTGAGAGCCCACCACTCCGAGGGAACGGAAAGCGGTGTGCACAACTACAAACTCTAATCTTGGATCTGAGCCGGCGTCAATCTAAATGCTCCCGGTGGTGTAGCGCTCATGTGTCCGTATGGGTGATCCCTAGCGCGCTGATTTGGAAGCATGGCACGTACGCTGTTACGGTGAAGTAGTGTGCAAAGATCAGGGACACTTGGTGCCCACGGATAAAGCTCCGAGACGAACGGCAACAACACAAACCGGCTGACAATAGAGCTTACGAACATCTCACTCTTATCGCACAGGCTACCAGGCACAACTGGAGCTGGTATTGCACATCCCCACGCAATGATGGCACACTGAGCACGCACACAACGCAGCCTTATTCTCGGAGCTGCTGACACACAGCACCGTTGGAACCATCTGGATGAGAGGCTATTCGGCATACAAAATTGACCAGTCGAAGTACCGAAATCAAAGGCCTTGTCGCTAACGTCCCTAACGACAAAGCAACCCAAACCCTCGAAGATCGAATCACAGATCATGGCGGAAGTTTCCACACACTGTCCAGAGTCAGCTACAAGCAAGCAAGGCAGTTAACCATCAGACCAGGCCTGGCACGAGCCTCATGGTGATCTTTTCACAGTTCATCGGGTAGTCGATTGAGCGATCTACAGATTGGTTACTCGGCTGTCGATGACTACTTCCAGGTTGGAGAACAAACTTTGACTTAGAAATTATCTGCCATGTGACATAGGCCATGAGAAGTGCGCCGTCGAAAATAGGTCATGAGAAGTGAGCCATGGGAAATAGGCCATGAGAAGTGCGCCTTCGAAAATAGGTCATGAGAA